TAGGAAAGTTTATTACGATTATCTGAGTCTTAAAGATGAAGAGCATCAAGCAGATAAATTCTTGTTAGAGAAAAAGTTGCGAGAAAAATGTTAGATCAGAGCTGATACTTTTAGGACAGTAATTTACACACGTGCTTTTTATTAGATTCGATATTCAGTGAGTTTTGTGACGATAAGTTTTCGTTGCCGAGCCAACCTGGATTTGTTGTTGCTTAGAAGTAGACCGGTTACGGTTTGGGCAGTCCAACTTGTGAAGTCTAAGTACACAAGAGCCGAATGCCGTGCTAACTAACTCAGTCACTGTTCAATGGTTTTGCCGCAGGATTGGTAATCATCGCTGGGCTAGGAAAACCAAAAAAATAGCACTAAAATTATTAGGTTCAGAAAACAAATCTTACAAATAGTGTACTCTTAAAATTCCAAAACTTAATAGGATATGTATTTGTTGTAAAATGATAAATATTATAGGAGTGAATTAAATGGGAATAATACATAAAAGCACACGTTCCGAAACTTCTCAGAGGGATGAGTTTGAATGAAACTCGTCCAACTTGACACGATTTGTCCAAACGATCTACGGTTTTATGGCCAAAAAAGGTGGCTTTTTCCTGCTTGATCTCTACTTATTCTAAACGTAGTAAGCTTATTAGAGGAACTTTCTCAATAGGAAGATTCGTTCCGGTCGAATAACTCTGTGAATGCACACCGAACAATCCCAGAAGGGTTTCCGGAAGTAGAGTATTTTTATTGAAAGTTTAACAAAAAATTATATAAAACCATAATTGAACCCTATTCATAACGCAGAGAGCAGTCGAGATTTTCAATACTCTAGGATTTCTTCCAGATAAAAAAATCCGCAAGCAAGCATTTTACAAACTTTGGTTATCAAATTGAACTAAAAAGTAAAAAAATTATGAATTTATTGTCGACGCAAGTAAATTTCAAACTATTCTTAATGCAAAGCAAACATATTAAAACTTAAAAGAAATGGGTTGAATCTAAAATTTATCATGCTTAACCGACCTGACCTTTCTCCTTTAGACTAACACTGATGGACTAAGAATTATAGTTGTCCAAATTGATCAATCAGGTTCGTCCATTCACTTTTGTGTTAGAAGTAAGACGCGTTTGAAGGCATGATTAAATTCTAAAAACGTTCCAAAAAAAAAAACCTCGAATCCAGTTGCTTTCTTCAGTAATAGATGCCTTACGATATGGAATCTTTCATTGTGTGTAAATGGTTTTCATGAATCGGAGAGAGGTAGATGAGATTTTAGGACTTGTTTTATGATTCTATTGAAGTCGGGATCATTCAGATCAGGATGAGGAGTAAAAGGAGATATTAGAGAAATAAATCGGCTTTTCTTCATCCGACGTAGCCCAAGAGCCATCATCTCGGTGAAGACGAGAAGGAACGGATTTATAGGGTAAGATTCTGGGTGTTCCAGTCCAACAAGATGTCCTGAGTAGTCATTGAACGTGTGTCTTAAAATCGTTGTCCCAGGTTCTGTAGTTCAGTGAGTTAGTCGGTTGTATAAGCGTTTGTCAGATAGGTAAATGAAACCATAGTTTGTCAGATAGGTAAAACCATAGTGTTGGTGACAATGGTGACATAGTGGTTATGTGTAGATCTAGTTCTACTAGGATAGTTTTTTGTAGTTTCAATAAAATATCTAGACGTTGCCTAGGTCGTTGACTGTTTTTAGTGGTATGAGTTAGTGTAGTTTTAGTTCAAGGGCTGCATCAAATGAATTTCAATCAACATTGCCTTTTATTACGGTAAATTTTGGAAGAGATGAAAAAGGAATTGAATTTAACATCAGTAGAAATGATGAATGATGGTGTGAGTGCGGTTCAATCCTTGTTTAAAAAAGATAGTTCCTTCTCACAGTATGTTGTTTTCCAACGATCCGGGTTTCGAGCCCTTAGCTCATCGTCAGGTTGAAGGACTTCTACAACCACGTCTCTCGACATGAATTGAAAAAGTACTACCTGTCATAAAAGAGGCTCGCATTTTTTTTTTCATTGCTAAAGCATGTCTGTGGAAAACACAATGACTGCTGCAATCTTTTGATTTATCTTTTATTTTAGTAATCACCCTAATCGTTCGACCAGTCATTACTTGTGCACCATCTGTGCACACGTCAATGCAGTTAGACCATGGAATTTCGTTAGTTGTAAAAAATCGTTCAACAAGCGGAATATTTCGGCACCTGTTGCATTGGCAGGAAGTGGTTTGCACAAGAGAAGATCGTCCTAGAAACATCCCGAGTATTCATAACGTACAAAGCCAGTAAAATAGCCGACCCCACGATGTCAGTTGATTCGTCGATTTAGAGAGAAAATGAATTGTGTTGGATGCGAGAAATCAGCGATTCTTTCGCATCGTTTGATAAATCAATTATCCGTCATTTGACAATATTGTTTGATGGCACCGAAGTTATACTGGTTTCAGTGATGGTGGTTTACCTGCCTGTCACTCCATAACTTATATAAGTTTTCTAAATTTTCATTAACATTTTTTGCATGGGTTGTAATGAAGTTTTGAGGAACAGCCATTTCAGTGCGCTTCCTCATGAAAAAAGTCTGTTTCTCCTGGTGTTCTGGGTGTGTTCCATCAAAAGGACGACGCAATTGAACTGAACTGTTTGGAAGACTTTCGAGTAAAAATAAACTTAGAATGGATAAATAAAATTTAAAAAAGGTTCGTTTTCAGTACTCATTTTTATTGGTTTTTAATTTTCAAATAATATTCATTATACGTTTATTTTGTAATTATTAATTTTTCTTGAAGTTCGCCGCGGACCCCTAGTTAGGGTGGGCAGACCACAGCTTGGAAAGCCCCGTTGCTTATTGAGTAAATTTTGAACAGATTATAATGTACGCCAATTCTGTAATATTGTTATGAGATACACTATCAAGTTGGAGTTCTTTTACAGACAAACGATTTTATCTTCGCTTTCATGCACTTACTATTTTTATTCTAGGCTAACAAATCAATTTCCTTGCAGTCCTTAGGACCTCGTCAGTCACGATATGCTATTTCAAGTTTGTGACATCTAGGATTGTACGGCAAGCGACAAAAAAACACGACTATTGTAAGATTTCTTCATGAGATCTGCGGAGTGATGAACCTGTCTTGTGGTCGCTTCCGATCATCACGGTCCGCCTGTACTCGCTGTTTTCGTACTGAAGATAACGAAATTCAGAAACTGACAGATAAAAGCAACGAGCATAGGAAGACCAAGTTGACCGGAAACGTCACAAATTAAATAACATTTCTTCACTTTATTATTTTATGATTTTTATTTTCAACCCGCAAGAGCAATAAGTATAGAATCAATTTATATAATTTAACCCAGGAAAAACAGACATCATTATTTAATACATTCTAACTCTAAGTACATTCATACACTAGACTTTTTTGTAAATTAAATTTTGTAACGTTGAACGAAAATTTTGAAGCAAATAAGCTAAAACACAATAACAATTAACAAAAACTATTAACCCACAAATGTGGTCTAAGATAAATAAGTTCGACGTAAACTGTCCAAAAAATATCCCTTCCTTAAAGAATTATTATTTTAATTATTCTTAGTTATTATCGTAATACTATGATTTTAAGCTTAAATAGATTTAATTATTAGGTTAAACTTAATTCATAAAATTCCTTCAAAGAAGGTTTAGCCCATTGTACCCATTGGGGATATGTTCATACATGTTATTCAATATAACTTTAATATTCAATTAAATTAATCCATATTGACTTAGTGGTCATAATTGACCACATTAATTATTCCAATTAAATATTATTTTTATCTAAGATTTTTGGTTGAGATGAAAAATTTGTGCCACGAGCGGGATTCGAACCCCCGATCTTCAGCTAACGTCACTGCTCTAACAACTTGAGCTCCCATCCTTCGGACACCATTTCCTCAAGCTGAAGGTCGTGGGTCCGAATACTGCTCGTGACACTAATTTTTCAACTGAACCAAAAACCTTAGAAAAAAATAATAATTAATTTGATAAATTGATCATGCATCTCTTTTGTAATATTCTTGTTTAGGTTAGAATTTATGTGAGAAGCAATATCGGCCATGATGCACGAATGCAGTGTAAATCGGTTTGATAAGTAGATTGACGTTTTAAGTTGATGTGCGTGATGCAATCGAATGATAACGAAAGATAGGTACTTAATTAGTTCAGCCCAGGTTAACTTGAATTAGTTAACTATATATAAGTTAATAAGTTGGTCAACTATACAAAATAAACTGAAATCGTTTTGGTACGAAATAACAGAGACAGTCGGTTGATGGCGATTGATAATGAGTACGACGCTTGGTTACATTTTTAACATATATTTCTTGTGAGTGTAGTTCTTTATTTTGACTGAAACATGACAGATAATGAGTGTAAAGAAGAAGAAGCAGATGCCCGATGCATCCTACCTCCCAAATTAGTCAAGAAAGCGATTCTGCCCTGTCTAATATTCGCCATTGAGTCAGAGATAAGATTTTCATAGTTAGGCGGATAAATCTGTTAGATTTGCACTAATCGTGAGTAATATTACCTTTAGGCACATTTAAGAAGATCTACAGAAGGTTGGGATGAAAAAGTTATCCCTATCGTTCAAACTGAATGGTAACATAGTAAATATTTACTAAGCAAATTGTATTTAAATTTTAAACTCGGATGTTGTGCTGATGTAATTTTTTTCATCCCTTGATATTCTTTATTATTAACGCTCATCCTTAAGCATTACATTAAATGAAATATCATAACGCTTTGCCGGGCAGGGTGGTGTTTGTTTGGCTTTTAATTTATAACAGCCCTAAAATAAAAGATGCAATTAAATTACGTTAAATTTACATTATAATATAAAATATTGACTGTGCCTGTCAATAGAAGCATTTGCATACATTGTCTGTCAGAGTTACCTGTGTAACTAGCAAGGTAAGTTTTCCCATGGTCGTTCCTTCTGTGTTTAGGGAGATGGAATTATGCTAGAAGAAGACGAAGACGCCAAAGATAATCTTGAAGAGGAAGGGGTCAAACCGAGACGGAGGCACAAGCATCACAGAGGCGAGAAAGGTCACCTGTGTAGGAGGATATGCTCATATCTGAGAACAGCATGGACTGGGGTGAAATTCTCATTGGGTGAGTCGGAAATGCTTAATATGCTTTGCTATTAACCAACAAGACATTTTATTTTTTTCTGTAACATGACAAAAAACCTTCTGTTAGAGAATAAACAAACTAAGGTAAAATATCAATAATTTGTCATTGACAATAAATTTCTTGTTAATTTCTTTAAACCGGGTTATGAGAAATCTGAAAAGCGTAACACTTACCTGGAATAAAATTATTTAGCTTAACTATTGGCGTTTTTATATTGTAGACTCTTCTCAACTTCAAATGCTGCCATTTCCGAGATAATTTTTTTGTAAGCTTATCAGTAGATTGAACAGAAGGCAAATAGTAATTAAAGTTGGAACAATTAAATTTGGTTAAAACTTATTTGGCCTGGCAAACATGGATGTGCACAAAAAAATTTGTCCTTGATGTGACCTTAGAGAGGAACTGTGACCGAAGAGCACATTTTTCCGAACAACAGCGAGTTACCTATCTGGTTTTGCGAAGACTGATTATCGATGACATGAACAGCATTAAGGCCTGATACAAAACCCAGCAAAAGAAATGTCTTCAAAAAAGCATAGTTGATATGTACGACTGCTTTATTAATAGTGGTGCGTAGTGCAGTCAAGTTGCATTCCCAGAAATTGTCTGATTGCCCCAGAGTCAACCACAAAACGTTTATTCGTGTTGCTCGCATTATGAGGAGATACGGATCAGTTGCTGTTCCATCACCAAGAAACCAGCAGCGTAATTTCGACGAAGAGCTGAATATTTTACTGTATGTTCGCGAAAATCCCAATTCCTCTCTCCGAAATGTTGGAACGGTTTTAGGTTTTTCAAAAAATAAAATTAGAGATGTACTTCGGACTTACTAATTTAAGTCGTATATCTCACATCTTTTCCAAGGACTTCGGGACTCTGATTATGACGGGCGTCTAACTTTCCTTGCACAAATATCGATTTGGGAGGCCGAATAAAACGTTCTTCCATCATTCTGTGGACTGATGAATCCAAGTTCACCTCTAATGGTATATTAAACCCTTGGAACTTTTGAACGTGGGCAGAGAGAAAATCTAAGAATTTCGTACTCTTTTCATCGTCTCATCTTCTTCTTATTTCCAGTACCAAGGTGTGGACGTCTCGTAAATAAATTAATTGGGCCTCATTTCTACGAAAATAATTTAAATGGTGCTCAGTTCCTCCATTTTTTGACGTATGTTTTACCAACACTATTAGATGAAGTTCCTCTGCAACAACGATAAAGAATGATTCTCCAGCTTGATGGATGCCCCGCATACAATTCTTTGCAGTTGAGACGTTATTTGAATCGTCACTTCCAGGATAGGTGGATAGGATCTCATGGCCCAGATCAGTTGGCCTCCTCGGTCACCGGATTTAACTCCACTTGCCTATTTTCTGTGGGGCCATTTAAAAAACAGTGTCTACGCCTGCCAATAACCCTGCAACCTTAGCTGAAAAACTGCGGCAAAGGATAGAAAATGTTTGATCCATCTCCCCTGACTCTTTGCATCTGCATCTTTGCGCAAGACAGGCAGTTCGAACATGAAATGTGATTAATAAATAGCAAACCAAATAACTGTTTTTTGTTTTTAAATACTTTTTGCCATAACTTTGTTATTTTTTGATCAAAATTGCTCCATTATTTTCAGCGTACAAAATCCTTTGAAAAAGTATGTTAGGATGCATAGGATCGTATATGAAATTTTGAAGGTGAACTGGACTTGAGGTACCCTGTATAATTTTTCTCTAAAAAAGGTAAAAATTTGAAACTAGGCTAAAAAATATTAAATACATATTTTTTGTTTCTTTTGATAGCGTCATTGGTTAAAGAGAAATTCAGCCGGGCCATCTAAAAAGGACACCCTGTATATGTACTAGTGTAATTTACTGTTATGTATAATAATTATTTAAATTTCCACGTTAGATTTTTTTAGAGTTGAAAATAGTATTTATTATTTATGCAAACGGCAAAATAATTTGTGAAAGGCTGAAAAGGTGTGACACGGGAGCCCGCTCCGCCCAATTCAGGTAGACGGCCGATTTAAATTTATGGTCCGGCATCAATCCTTCTGCAATCGGTCCCTGTAATTTAGTCAGGAAAAGGACATTTGGCCCTCGCCCTTTGCCAAGTGCAAAAGTCACTTCATCCACAGCCCCACTCGAGTGCTCAATTCGGGCCTTATTGTTGTCTTTATCCAAGAATAAATTCTCTTGTCTTTTTGTGTTTTTTTTGTTTGTTTTTTTGTTTTGTTTTTCTCGAGACGAACAAAAGAAAGAAAGAAAGATAGACAATGAAGAATGGAACTGCTCTTCAATTTTCCGGTGGAAAAAGTCTGCTATTTCATTTATCACCTCCTTTTCAACGTTTGCGATCATGCAGGAGGAAGTGGGCCATTGCTCAGGCGAGGTGGTGGACTGAACTGATCCCGGCTTGATGGACGTAGAATAAAAAAAATACTAGGCCTGATGAAAAGTTTCCTTTTCAACAAAATCACACAGTGTTAAATCCAAAACTGTTTCCCATAGCTTAAAATCTTAATTGCGAATCAATAACAATTTAGAGCGTGAAATTGTCCATAGTCGAAACGTCTCTTCAATTTAACGTGAGTGAATGAGCCAACGTTTTCTGCTGAAAAAACACTTCGGTGAGTTTCACAATAAATTAAATTGAAAAACCGCATGAACTCGGTTTTTACGAAATTAATCCCAGTTGGTCATATTGTGTGATAATAAATCATGACATCTTCTCTTCCAGATGGGGCTGGGCGAAAACGTTGTTTCAGTAATAACTGAGAGGCACCAACTATACCCCATCAGAAATTTTACAGTACAAGTGTGTTTTTAAATGTTCAAATCGATATTGTACCATAAAACGAGCCTGTTTTTCGCAATAAAAACATGAACTGTCGTCGGTATGCTACACATGATGCCACTAACTGAAAAACATGTAAATTTTTTCATTGGTGTTGTCGGTTGTCATTATTTTGCAACATTTGGTTCTCTTTCAATGTACAGGGACTGCAAAAAAGTTCATTTTATGTTTTATTATCAAATTGTGCAATGTCTTGAAATTGTCTGGATCTGGATTCAAATCTACGCCAAACGTTATATGACAATATTTTTATTCTTGTATATTCATAGTTTAAAAATAACACTTTTAAATCGAAACTGCATTCGATATTTACTTTTTTCAGACCAGGAGGTCGAAGAAGGTGAGCAACTGCCGCCCAGGGCCAGGCCCGACTCGCTCAAATCTTTAACGAAGGCGACCAGATTCACGGAACAGGAGATCAAACGCATATACAGAGGTTTCAAGTCGGAATGCCCCTCTGGACTCGTCAAGGAAGAAACGTTCAGAACGATATACTCACAATTCTTCCCTCAGGGAGGTAAGTGCAATACACATCACGATCAGACAATCATTAATCATTCAATGCAGATAACGCAAATCATAAAAAATGAAAATATGCAAACAGTATGATAGGGCACACTCTTTTGGCAAGACCTAATGAGAAAATGAGCCTTTCCTTCGTACCATTATCTGAATTAATTAAATGAAAATTTGTTTAATTTAATAATCTGTAAACTTCAATCGGTACAATTTAAATTTCTTAGAATTCTTGCCTATAAAATAATAGTAATTATTACTGACTATAAACAATTTGAACAGTACTTTATCCTTTAATTTAATTCCCCTAGAAAGTCGTAGACTTTGCAGTTCGCTCTTATTTACTTACACTTTTTAATAATTAAATACTACACTGACAGACCTTTTTTACTTACAATTAAATAAACTTTTCTGTACCGAGCTACTTGACCAGGCATAATAGATTTTTTCAAATTTCCTACCATTTTACTAACTATTGTAAAAATGCTCCTATTGACAGAAATATGTGTTCAGCTAAAAACTTTCCACATCTTACTATTTTTAATTCTTCTTTTTCCCCATTCTAAGTCAAGTGTGCGGACATGTTAAATCTTGAATTATTTTTCTTTACTTCTATAACAATAAAATATTTTTCATGTACATTATTTAACTTGCACTTCTGTACGAGTATGTAGGTATATGTATATATTTACATATTTAACTTATATTATATTTAATGAAAAATATTTACTGAATAAAATTCATCTAAATATGCACAAAATACTCTTATTTTAACTTACTTACTCAACACATTTTTTTGCAATTGTTTTCTAATATTATTTGTATAACATTTTAAAATATTAATTAATCTTTTTATGTAAGGTCTTAGTTGAAATGAAAAAGCTAGTGTCACGAGCGGGATTCGAACCCACGACCTACGGCTCAATACGCCACTGCTCTAACCGAACGAATTCCAAAAAATTGGCAAAAAGGAGGGAAAATTCGAAAGGTTGTAGATTGAGAAGGGTAGTTGTTGTCCGAGTGGTTTGAAGTAACGATAGCTCAAGTGGTTAGAGCAACTGCCTATTGAGCCGAAGGTCGAATCCCGCTCGTGACACAATATATTATTATATTATATTATACAATATATATTATATGACAATATCACCTATTATATTATACAATATGTTATTACATTATATTATTATATATATACTATGATAATAATATTATAGTATTATTATAATTATTATAATATTATTATAATATAATAATGTATATAATATATATCGTATATATAATATATAATAATCTATATATTATATACAAATTATAATTTAGGGGACCGCGGTAGCCGAGTGGCTTGATTCTGGTAGACCTTCCACCCAGTTACATACATGTTGAAACAATCAACTACGTACACTGGCTAATATGCGAGCAAGGCAATTAAATAATAATAATAATAATAATTTAAAACAATGATCATATATATTTGTTTGAGTAATAATTAAAGTATTTAAGCAACAGTTACACGTGTTATCGTGACATTAAGATAGAAATATAGCAAATATCAAGCTGACCTCTGATACAGTAAAAAGTTTTCACTTTCGCTTTCATGCACTTAATATTTTATGTTCTCAGATAACAAATATATTCCTTGCAGTTGAATCAGGACGTCAGTACTATACTATTTTGAATTTGTGACATTTAATAATGTACGAATAATGATTAAAAACAACAATTTTCGAAAGATTCTTTTCTTGAGATACGAGGTAATAAATTTGAGCTTCGGATCATTTTCGTCAGCCAATCCTTATTGTTTTTGTCTGTCCGATGCATTCAAATTTTTGAGTATTTTATTTGGTAGAATTTTGTACTCTTTTTCAACCTAAATTCAGCCTGTTGCAAATCAACTTCATCTTTGTGCAAATTAAATTCACTATTTTACAAATTAAATTCACACTTTTGCAAATCCATTTCAACCTATATGCATTTTCATTCGTGGAGTTTTGTACTCGAACCTTTAAAAAACACGGCTGGCTATACAGGTTTTACAAAATTAAATTTACCATTTTGCGAATTGAAATCACCCTTTTGTAAATTAAATTTTCCCTCCAGCAAATTAAAATAACCTTTTTGCGAATTCATATTCATTCAATGTCATAAAATAAATCTTTTAGGTAGCATTAGACGAAAAGGAGACAAAAATAAAAAATAATCCAGGTGATATTTTCCATACTTCAGTTAATATTTTATGATAGGTGAAGTGCTTAGATTATCCATGATTGTGTAATGTAAAGTATAAGAGAAACTTGAGAATGTAAACTTTGTTTCATAACTGAAAAAAAGTAGTATTTGATGGGTCTGGATTACTTATTCTCCAATAATACTTCTTATTGAATAACCTTACAAAGTTACGATAAAAGTCTTTTGTATCTTTTCAATTAACTTTTCCTTTCCCGTATTTTCCACATAAATAGACTCGTCCCATTTTGAATGGAATTTTTATAAAAATTTCTTTGGAATAATTTATTTCGAGTCGAAATTCGCCAGGTTAAATTGAAACCGTTTAGAGGAAAGGAAGAGAAGACACGTTCCAGTCAATCCGGCACTTTGTTTAAGTCAGGATCCAGGAAGAGCTTTTCGGAATTAGAGCATTAAGTTTATTCTTGTTTTTATGTCCTATTACGACACCCTTTTTCATTTTCGATCAGTTCAACTTTTATTATGTTTTGACATGGTAATTTATACCGACAGGTTTATGAATTCAATATTCAACTGGCCTACTTTTTCCAAGATTTTATTTGAATTTTCAGAAAGACCATTGCAGTCAGTAACTCTCAATGCTTTTGACTTAAGTTATTGTTCACATTTCAGAAATAAAATTAAAGGTTTAATTACACAAAAACGTATTTAAACTTTTTTTAGGAAGGGAGTAAAGTGACAGTACCTCAAATCTTGGAAGGAAAGTTGTAAACAAACGATGTTATAAACACTTCCATATTTTCTTCCATAAATTATAAATGTTTTACTATTGTGTTTCCTGTTATGTACATAAGGTACATAAGCTATATTTTTAAGGATAATACAGCATCAATTACAGAACGACACATGTAAGCTCAGCAGCAGCTACGCTAATATCATAAATCAAATTCAATATCGATAACATACATATAACACATAAAACATATAATACAACATATATAACAATCCTTACACTCCCCACATCAAACTATTCTTCATAGTCTAAATCTTCAACATTTTACCTCTGCTTTCCATAATAATCCCGTCTGTAATAATCCTAAATAGCTGCCTAGGCCGGAACGACAAATTACTACTCCTTTTTTTCCATTGCTTCATTCCCTTTCATCTCAAAGAAGTCGACTTCTCAAAAAAATTTAATTTCTTTCCCTATTTCCTTCCCCACTCTTTCAAAATCAAACATATATAAACAAAAAAAATATCTGACTAACTCTCTCAACAAGACACACAATAGTGACACATCCACTCAGAAAAAACCACTTTGATTAAACCTAAAATTTCTATATTGTGTACATCATTGTATAAATTCATATTCGTAACTTATATGTATTTGCATCATGTAAACAATGTTTATAATCCGGGGGCTTGAAGATGATCTCAATAAAGATCGAAACTTTGGCATGATAAAAAAATGTTTTTCTAAACCTACATTACACCACATCGCATCTCACGATCTCTAAATAATCATTTTTAAGGATAACTCGGGCAGCCACTAGGCGTTCCGCACATCGACATGAGTAGATGTATTGATCTTCAATTTTTTATAACTCACTGGTCAGCTTCAGGTCGTTATTCAACATGTACAGCTTGCCAGCGGCTCCTTGATGTAGGATCTTGATTGCGGTTTTTCCACTCCTAGTTGCAAGAATGTACACTTGAATAGACCCTCATAAATCATAGAGTGTGTTTTGCGGTCTTCTCTCCTTCCTGGTAGTATCTGCACAGTATTTCTTCTATCAGTACTCCTTGCCAGTTTACATGCCTTCTTAGGCGGTCGTACCCTTTCAGGAGTCTAACCAAAATCCTGGTTCTGTTGCTTCCAGTATTTTCTTTATAAACCTTGCGAATGGTCCTATTGTGAATCTCTTCTGGGGTGTTGCTCCGCCAAGTTTTGTACTCAGTAAGGATTCATTTTTGGATTGGATATTTTTGGCAAAGTACTATGCCACAGAAGGATTCGAGACCTGGTGAATTCATATTGGCTCCTTTACGGCCATGTCCCATTCCAAGGTTAGGTCACTGGTGTGACTTTCGGCCTGGGATTCCATACAATTCTATACGCTTTTTACCTGAATATAAGAACTTAAGTTCCTGACTATCAGAGAAAATACACATCTTCCTGGAATAAGAATCGGCTGAAGTTACAGTTTTTTTATACTAAAACAATCTGATATTTGTTAAGATGTTGTTGCCATATTTATGCCGAATAGTTCTCACACTCTTCCTGGGCCTTTTCGGTTGTTTTCTTTTGATTTCTTTGAAGACATTCTCAGTCGCAACATCGCCAAGGACGGTAACACTATTAATAGTAACAATAAAAAATTTGAAACGATCTTTTACAAAAAAATAAATTATGTTACCTTGTAGAAATTTTAAAAATCGTATTTCCATGGTGATGATGACCTTAAAATAGGTCAAAAGTTCGGCAGTACAATTGAATTTGTTTTCATCCAGATTATCGTGTATAAAAAAAGTGGTCAATACACCTAACATTTTAAACAGAATGAATTTAACAACTGTTTGTTTTCGGGGCTGAAATGACCTAGATGTTCGTAATAGACTCGGTAGGTGGACGTACAAGACCGAGTCTGACCCCGGACTACCATCACCCAGGGTGGGTGATTCTCCAGGGCTACCGGTAGTACTTTACAATAAAGTACAAAACTTAGAATTGCCGGTGGACTGGAGAATAGTTATGCTCAACACTTTACACACATGTATATATTCGTACTTGCTTGTGCGATTTGAGCTCATATAAATCAGTATTCGTATTGATTCAATTTCTACAAGATTTCAATAAAAGTATAAGAATGGGGTGGAACCAGACTAATATTTCCAAATTACTGTCTACTTCTATGCAGTTTTTAGTTCATAATTTTATTAATTTCGTCGTGTTTCAAAGTTATTAAATTAATTGTGCAATTTTCTTAGTTAGGGGCATGAAATAGAAAATTTCCCTGCCAGACATAAACAATAACTTTCTCATAAAACTATTCTACTTCGATAACTTTTATACACCATATTATTTTATCCTTCGTTATAAAATATATTACTTCTATCTTCTCCTCCCGTATAAAACTGTTTATCACTCTTTCGTTTGACCGTTTGCTTTAATGACAATTCATAAAACGTCAGCAAACACCGAGTCCTCTGGCATAATTCCCTTTTATACAAAATGGGAGATAGGATGGGAAAGTAAATGTCGTTTTCTGATACGTGTCTGGGGTCTGGCGGATGAGATCAATCTCCTGAATTGACATTAGACTCCCTTTTGCTCTTTCAACCTAGTCGTTTTTTTCCGGTTCCAAAGCGACCATTTGTTCACAGGGGTCGTTTAGATAAGCCTAAAAAAAAATCGAAAAATTTAATACATATTTCCCTTCTGTTTCAGCAAACACGAGCCAATATGCAACCTACGTGTTCCACACTTTGGACCAGGGGAACAACGGAACACTCAGTTTTCAGGTAGTCGTCTAAAATGTAACTATATTTTACTTAATACGCTGTTTATTCTTTATTTAATTAAACTCACATTCAGCCTGATAAAGGTCCTTGATAAACGTCAACATTGTTTTGTTGTCTTTTAATCCCAAAACTGTGAGCATTATTTTCTTATAGAATATCCAGCATAAAATTATGTAAAAAGATGTATTGATTACAACTTTATACAAAACCTAGTTGAATTTTTTTGCATGTTGCATGTTTTCAGTTGTGCTTCTTGAAGAAGAAGATAAAATAATAATAATAGATCTTTATTTGCAAGAATGTACATATTAATTTATAACAAAAAATAATATTTTGGTACATACCTGCCTGCTGTCAAAAAGCAAAGCTTGTACTAAACAGCAGGGGTTTTTGAAGATCATCAGAGAAATAAACAGAATATATCTTTACAAAATCATAACAAAAAACAAGCGAATAAACAAACAACAATAACATAAACAAACAATACAGAATAAACGTGTAGCATGAAAAAATAAATCTTGGCTTTAAAATATCTTTACAATTTAAAATTTTTGAAATTATAAATTTTTTGCCTTCTTTGTAGTTTTTGAAATTTTGAATGATGATCCTCTCTTTATATAAAAATATTGCGTAGTTTTTACATTGTAAAAATGTGAGAGCCAATGAATTGTGTCTTGTGTTATATTCACTGATGTAACTAGTTACAAAATTATTTATATATATAAGATTTAAGAAAGATTGGGCTAGATTCATTACTTTAAATTCACTGTATAATTTTTTCTAATAATCTATACGGTTTACGTAAAATAATTTTAAAAAGTGAGTTCATAGTTACATCCACACTCTTAGTGTAGCATTTATCAGTACCTACTCAGGAAACGACACCATAGACTATTATGGATTGTTCAAGAGAAAAATATATTGCCCTTAAAAGTTCAATTTTCATAAAGTTGCGTACATTTCTAAATTTATAAAAGAACTTTCTCAGACGAGAAACCAAAGAATCAATATGTAACTTAGATCTGAGTCCAATTCACACCAAACTATCTAACACAGTAAGCAAAAGGGATAGGCAAGAAAGAACACACATCGTTATCATCATAAGTATGAACAGCAACTTTTAAATTTATTTATATTTATTTTATTTTTTAATGAAAAGTGTTATACAATACAATTTTTTGTGTTTAGAAGTAGAAAGTTTGAGTTTAACTATTTTCATATCATTATTTATACTTTTAGTTAAATTGAGTAAATTAGCACCTGAAAAAATAAGACAAGTATCATCTGCATAACTAAATATTTTTTCAGAGAATTTAATTTTCAAAAAATCATTAATATATAAAAGAAACAAAATTGGGCCTAAGGCTGTACCTTGTGGTACACCGGATTCAACGCGTAAAGAAGAACTGTAAACTGTTCCAAACTTTTGTGACTAAAGTTCTGTCCGATAAATATGCTTCAAGGAGTTTAAGGGGAATATTAGAGATACAATACACTCAAGTTTTTTTAGCATCAACTTATGATCGAGTCGAAAGCCTTTCTAGTGAAATAATAATTGATTAATCATAAAAACGATATAATTTACAATAATATAAGTATTAGGTTTTTCTCTATTAAAACGCCCTCGAGTGAATTCTAGTGCTGCTAAATTCCGAAGATGTTTGTTTTCTGGTGTCTAGAACCTTGGACGCGTCGATCCTTAATTAATTTCTGTCTGGTTTACGTTTTTCACACGGTGCAAAAAGAGCATTGGGCAGGCGGGCCACGTCAATTTCTGTTTTACCCCATTTAATTAACACAATCTATTCAGGTTATTAATTCAAAGAGGTGGGTAATCGTCGGCCGGCAGTGGAGAACCCACCCCAAAGGGGATGAGAAAGGGATTTCTCGAGAATGGAAGAAATAAGGAATTTCGCATTCCCGTTGAAGCCCTGCTTAAACGGATGAATTCAATTATACCTTTCTTTCCATTTACATCATCGATTCGGTCGACGCTGCGAATTTTTTTTTGAGGCGGCCCAATGTAATAGAATCCACAATATATACACGAACAGTGCCACAAAACTCACATTCGCTGGAACACATCTTCTGTAAAAACGACAGGAGTGTAATAAATATTAAATAATAAATTCGAGTTTTAAATATATTAATTGCTTGACATTTATATTGGTTAAACTTCATTGGTCCCGTATTGGGTTGTAGATTAAGTCCGTTGCGTTGTTCAATAATCCCTATTGTGTTTTGAAGCAAGTTCATTTACTATTGTTTATGCACTGAGAAAAGTTATCAGATGTATTTATTCGACAGTTTCCGTCGAAATCTCGTATTTTGGCAAGAACTTGTGCTAATTTCAAATAAGGAAAACAATAGGACATTTTCGTACTTGAGTTTTTATTGCCTCAAAAGGAAAACCTCGGTTACAGACCGCTAGGAAAATTTGTGATGTGAATGGAGATGAGTGATGACGCTTTAGGAGAAAGCACCGTACGTGGTTTGCCCGGTTCAGAAGCATAAATTTTGATTTGGATGATTCAAAGCGCTCTTGTTGTCCTTCAACTGATGATGAAGCTTTTTTCCAACCCACACAACAACCCACACTCAACTATACGCGACACTTAACATATCTCGTAAAAGCATTTCAACGTATCTGAGATCAGTTGCATATGTATGTCACAGCGAGGGTAAAACATCAAATCAAAAAACTTTATTTAAAGGCAAAAACAGTGTACATTTTGTACGTAAGCGTTATGTTATATAATTAGTTAAAACACACACACATATATATATACATAAAATTTAAAAATGATAAATTATTCATTAGATAATTCATAAATGACGTTAAGTCATAGAGCGCCAGTTCCAAAAGCAAGTTATGGCATTTTATTTTAATCCTGCTTGTTTATTCTGTTGTAAATGTTTGCCATTCAGTATAAACTTCAATAGAATGCCCAAAAGGTGTAGCGCGATGTTGGGTTAGAGGGAATTTATCGTTGTACCTGGTGGTCGTGACATGGACTTGTCTCGGTGGTCGCATACAATATTTATCGTTTGTAGAATCATCAGAAATTGTAATTATATCGACCTGTTGAAACTTACATCAACAACTGTCTCTTTACCCCAGCCCAAGAATCACTCTCAAAACCGTCTTGAAGTAGAATCCGAATTATACTCTGCCACAGAATCCAATGCCACAAATCTTATATGTGACATAAAAATGGCAAAATAGGCAGTTGAGATAGGTGTACAACTGGTTTCAATCTTCTGTCAAAAATGCATTCAGGTTAAGCACCAAAAACATTAGATGACAGTCAAAACGATAGCTATGTTCAATACTCAAAAACATCGCGCTCTGCCACAATTTGAATGATGATGTAGAAAGAGTAACAAGTCAAGCTTGTTAATAGCAAACACTGGCTTGCCCTGTCAAATATTTCATCAGTTCGACATGGAGAGAATGAGCACGAATCATAAAGTTGGAGTCAGTAAAATAATTAGTTAAAAAGCAACCAGGGGCACTAGGTAGGCGACCAGATCAATCTAGAGTTAAAACAATGGTGGGTTTACTATGCTTCCTTAGGGTACTCCCATATTATCATTTTTTATGGGAATCCATTGTCACATTTAATATACACTGTCTTTCCTAGAGATATGTGCCAAACCATTTAAATATTTCATCTCTTACCATACTCCCTCAACTTAAGTAGTGTAGATAGAATATATCACGACCAACCCGGTTAAAAGCTTTGGGTAAATCCTGGAATGTCACACGTGCATAATCTCCCTCATCCAAAGTAAAGCCTGTTGATTTACCTTTCAAAAACCTATGTCGGGACTTGGATGATGATCCAATTTTATTTACACAAACGGTAAGATATAATATGTTCGAACACTGTGTGAATAAGGTAATAAGGTATATTGGACTACAGTTGTTCAATAGTTCTTGATCACCTTTCTTATAGATGGGGATGATAAATATACGCATAAAAGCATCCATAAATAACAACTCATTTGTAAAAATATCGATAATTGAGAATGAAAGGTGGGGTTCTTTACAACAATGATTTTAAATATTGAAACATGAATGTACTTGTAATTTACGTACCCCTTGTAATTTAATTTTTTTTAAAATAAATAATCGCAAGTGGGTTGTTTTTTCCATCAGAATAACATGTCTTTAACATGTTAGCGCCAGAAATTGTTAGACCTTGGCTGGGATTTGCTACCCTACCCATTGTATTTACCCGATATTACGCCTTCAAATTTTCAATTTCACGCTATGAAAAACTCTATTAATGATAAAATACTTCACTTGAGGGCGGCAGAAAACAAGTCGATGAGTTAATCACCCAAAAACTTGAGAATTTCTGAGAGACGGAATTACAAAATAACATTGAAGATGGCAACAGTGGTGCAAACTTTTTCATATAATTTTGATTAAATTTTTCACAAGACCTGAAATGTTCATTGAATTTATTGTCAAAAAACGGACGTATTTTACAATGCCATTTATAGGAGATAGAAATTGTTTTAACTTTAAAGCTTATAATCGTGCCAAGATTAAATGCAATTAAGCGCTTAAAATGCAATTAAAAATGGCTCGAAATGTAAGTCAAATTTGAAAAATATTCCAATTAAAACGATAAACTATGAATTGTCAACAAAAATCACCACTGACGCTTCATATTTGGCGACTCGTCTGGAAATTCTTCAACTACGGTATCCAATTTGTTAGACCCTGAATTGATTAGTTAGACATTCGAGCATAATCAGTTTTAGACGAAACCAATTAAAACTTCATCAAATAAGAGTAATGACTTTCTGAATATTTTATACAGGAGGAGTTCGAAGATCGAGGGAAAAAAGACCGAGGATTTTTCTGATTCATTTCACCATCCTCCTTATAATATCTGGCAATAAATATTTCATTAAATAAAAACGAGGGGTTCATAAGCAAGTACCTAATATTATGAACCTTATATATTACATGATTTCTCTGTTATATTAGATAATTTTATCTGCCAAAGATTAATCCAAACTTAATACGCCAAAACAAATTGGGTAGATGAACTTTCAATAATAATACAAGAAAAAATAGTGACTTATTTATCGAACAACTGCTTGTTTCCATATGATAATAATATGGTAAGTGGCTTTGAGAGGATCTGATTCAGATAAGAGTTCATTCTCACCCGGCTCAGAATAAGCCATACTTGTTGCCCCACGAACTCTGACTTTAGAGCCAAGGTCCGCGATACCTCCGGCAAGTAGATAAAAGCTGTAGTATGTATTGGAGACTGAAATGACCAAGCTGCTAATAGGCCGGGAGGTTTGGTTGCAGTACGGACAAGACCAAGTGATTAAAATTCCAATAACATGAATATTTTGCTTGAAAACCTAGTAGTTGTTAATGCTCTTATATAAAAGCATTTTTTTTTTTTTACAGGATTTGGTCATAGGTCTTTCTATTTTATGTAGGGGTTCTCTTGAAGAAAGACTGAGATGGACATTTTCTTTGTACGACATAAATAGGGACGGTAAAATAACCAAGGATGAACTCGCAGATGTTATTACGTCGGTCTACAATCTTTTGGGAAGGCTGCAGCCGACGGATGAGGAGGATGAGCTCACTGCCAAAATCGACGTCATTTTTCAGGTCCGTTAATCCTGACAGCTCCAAATAAATGATTCACACGTTGTTTTGTTTTTTTCAGAGGATGGACAGAAACAAAGACGGTTTCATAACGTGGGAAGAGTTCCTCGAATGTTGTATAACGGATGAAGTCATAACAAGCTCAATGTCCATATTCGATACGGCCATTTGATTGGCGGCCTGCTGATCGTCGACGTTTCTGACAGGGGCCGTCCAGTTGTGACTGAAGATGACGGTTTTCGTCTGCAGCGATGTCGAGCTGGTGGACGAATTCAACGGATAACAAGAACTGATTCCGATTCATCGATAACGGCGTTCGTCTTGCATTTTAAGCTCAACTAAGAATTTTTTTATATAAAATTTCTTGATAAAATGCTTTGACGATATTACATCAATTATCAAGAAAGAAACGTGTACATTTACTACAATAAAAGTATTTTAAACGGCGTTAAAATCTTCAATAAATTAAAAACGTCTAAAAAAAATTAAAGGATGATAGTCGGTATAAAAATGTTTAGTCGTTAGCGTCCAATGACCATTCGATTAGTGTCATTTGATTGACCATTTAGCCAATTGCAACAATTAGAATCCTAGACTACACTAAATCACAGACCAAAAACTGTTAACAGAACTCGAATTAACAATTGTTTCTTTTTCCTTTTTATTCCTAGACCAACGTTGAGGGGACGCATTCAATTCAGCAGACCCCATGAAAAGAACATTTCCAATTCATGACTTAAGCAAATTCTCTCATTCCGTTCCGGGCTCTCGCTCCATTGATCAGCGGTCAAACAGAAACCCTTTTTTTATTGGGGAACCAAGCCATATCACTATTCCAATCGGTCTGTCAACCTCGACACAATCTGTTAAACTGGATTAAAAATATACGCATATGAAGGAGGAGAGAGAGAGAGAGTTTGAGAGAGAAGAAAGGGAGGAAGAAGGATAATAGAAAATAAAAAGGAAAGCATGAGCGAGTGATAGAGTAAGCGAGTGTGTGTGCGTGTGAGAGAGAGAGAGGAAGGACAAAACGACAAGTCCATTCGAAAGTATGACTATTTTTGATATTAATTTTATTTAAAATTTATTTACTTAAATAGAAAAATCATTGATACGCTTTTCATACATCTGCATGAAAAAAAGTTAAAATACACATTTTAATCCACATACTCTCTAAGTTAAATTTCGTGGATAACCCTTCAATATGTGAATACCTTTTAAAAGCGTTTTTTAGATAAAAGTAAATAAACAAAAATAAAATGCGTATAAAACATTGATTTTGTTTATAATTCACCCTTTTAGCATACCCAGACCGATAGGGATCTTTTATTCCCCAATGTGTCCCAGGTTTTAATAAAATTTTAATTAATTATAATTGATTTAACAAAACCAAGGTAACATTTTCCACATTCGTGTTAGTTTAAAGTACTTCATCAGTCAATTTTAATCATATGTCGATTATTTGAAATATAAAAGAAAATTCTTTACATTCATAGATGAAATGCATGTGCGACTAAATGTTTAGAATTCACAATCAAGATGAAAACGTTTGGTGATAGAATTTTATGTAAAATATGGTTTTATTACGAATTTATGAAGTTTGAATTATTAATTAATTATCAAATTTAATTCCCTTAGTTAACAGAAGCTATGTTGTATTTTAATTATAATTATGGCTAATGAAAGGTTCTTAATCTCAAATTTGAATACATTTTTAATCACTTAAAATTAACAAATTATAGCTTTTGATCGAGTTTGGCATTCGAGCTTGCTGTTCTTGCTTTAATGACATTCTTCACTCTAACTTCTACCTTATCCTTCGAGCTACCTCACTTCCGAGTCATTGAAGGGTCGGTGTCATCCCCAAACTATCTTATCCTTATCTATCTCCGGACTTACCTCAGTGTTCTGAACCCCATGCTGTACCAGGTATACCTCATATCCCTCCTCAAACTACCACCCTAATCTTTGTAGACGATACAGCGATCCTTTCAGGTAACTCTGAATAATTTGATCCAGACATTCTCACTCGAAACCGTCAGGAATACCTCACACAAGAAAAAAACCCAGAAAATTCCACTCGCACAACATTCGCTCTCAGCAAAAGATTCCTCCCACGAGGTGCAGACCCTAGGACTATACATCGACAAACGACAAAAATCCTCAAACACGACTTTAACGACAAGAAGGTACGAAACGTTACAGAGTTCTTTTTCAAGACTTCTTGATAAATGCTTTAACTTACCTCTCTTAAACAAAAGACTTTTTTGGGGGGTTATCGGGAAAAAAGGGCCAGAGGCGACGGTGGGAATCGAACCCACGACCGCGGCGTGAGAGTCTCTCATGCTAACCACTCGGCTACCGCGGTCCCCAACTTCTTTATTACATCATTGTGAATCAGGTGTGGACTTACGGATTGGAAGTGTGGGGTTCACCCAAATATTCCAATATCCTCAGCACCCCAAGAGCCCAAACCATCTTCAGAAAAACACTTAATGCTCCCTTTTATTTATCCAACGAAACTACCCATACAGACCTAAATATTCCTTTGATCCAACATGTAATCCACTCCCGTTATCGTCAATTGCATACAAACCTCAGAACCACCATTATACTCAAAAACAAAAACTCTCATTTCGACGAATTCCCTCGAACCCTTCTCGCCGACTAAAAAGACGATGGCTCCGGGATCTCCTTTCCAGTGATAGTGAAACTAACCTCAATTAACACATTCATAAAGAACACCTAGGACCTATAGGAGTACTGCCAATGGGTAGTTTCTTCATTCTTGTTTATTTATTTTATTTTATCCACTCACTGTTACTTTTACCCGATTGAAGGTAGTTGTCATATATTGTATATATATATAATGTGGGAATTTTAGGGGCCGACAAACAGCTGAGGTCATCGCCGTCCCTCTGTGTGTTTGTACTTCATTTTTTGGTCTTTCATTCGTATTTTTCAACCTGGAGCCATTTACGCATCTCGATCCGTTACTAAATTCTAACTCTGTTAAATTTCTAGCCTCTCATTTGTACTTCAGGTCAACTACAGAATACGTACTAAACATGCAATACATATATACACATCACCACCCTGCGCAAACATAGACGTCTGGTCACATTCAGCCCCCAGAGTACTCCATATTTCTCGGGGTGGGGTTTTAACCCACTCCATTCTCGCTAATAACTTACTTTTACTCTCTCGACTCACATTTAGCACGAAGTTTTCTTCAGGGCGCTGTTAAACAACCCCTTCCGTTCACCTTAATAATGGCATTCATTCCAATAAATTAACATAAACACAATACCAAATATAAACATAGAAGTTCAATCACATTCACACCCCCAGTGTACTCGATATTTCTCAAGGCATGGTCGAACCATTCGCGCTAATAACTTAACTCTCCAGACACACACTCACCCCAAACTACTCGATATTGGGAGGGGGGTTAACAACCTCTCCCTTTTACACTAATAAATTCATTCCAGTAAATTAACATAAACAGAACACAAATACTATAAACATTTAGAAATGCCTGTACCGGAACAATGCACCAATGTAGGGCAAATTTTAAAAAATATATAATTGTTTGACGAATTTTCAATAAAAGTCTATTTTTTGTCATATTTTTCCGATATAAATGGTATAATTTAGAAGTGTTCATGTAAGTTTTAAGTTTTTCTCATTGCCAACAAATGCATTTTTGTTATAGAGAAAAGATTAAATGTTTAAAATTAGGAAAGAAGAAAAAATTTCAACAGGCGAGTTTTACCTCAAAATAATACAGTTGCATGATTATTTCTAATTATTCAATTTAATTTCCTTAATTAGAACGGGCACGCTTTTTAAATTTAATTATATATATGTATGTATTGTTGAACTTTTTTCCTTTTACTGATTTAGAACGCGATTAAGGCCTAAAGACATCTTAATTTTTAATAAAGCGAGTATGAAAACGCTTAAAATTGTAAAATTTAAGTACATATCGAGCTTTCAATCCGTTTATCAATTTTTTTTAGTTCATATCAATTAGCCAAATTATAAATATATTAGTAACGAACGTTCCGCCGTAACGAGAAGGTTTTATCTCGGTCCTTTTATTTGTACAGCATTAAAATATATCCGTCTTTCTCCAATTATTCTTTTCTCTTTTTTACCCCTCAAAAAGAAGGCATATCTATTGTAGGCGTTCGTTTCCCGCATCGTTTACAGCGGAAACAAAAGGAGATTTGGAAGGAGGAGAAAGGAATTGGAATTCTGAAAGTAATTGTCATCGGTAATATTGGTCAACCTCGTTAAACAAAATTGACAACGTAGTACATGCCGGGGGATCGGAGGAGATAATGGTTTATTAAGACTACCATAACTTATTATGCCATGGGTATAATTAATTAATCAAATTTCACGAGAAATATGTGTTACACCTGATAAGTCTGAGCGTCAGGTTTACAAAAGAAAGTAAATATCATCGTAACGCTTTCAAATTGGCACGATTCAAATTTAACCATCTTATAATCTGTTTACTTTTACTTTTAACAATCCTATCGTTTGTCTAGATCTAGATAAGTATTACATGACATTTGAAGGAATATAATTAATACAATACCACACTTCTGAGGAAAACAATACTCATGCATGCTCGTCATTAAAATTACATTTACAGTCGGCTCTCCCTTGGAAAATTAGCTGCTGTATACTTCGGACATTTGAACGCCTAAAAATACTATTGATTTTATTTTTTTAACAAGTTGTCCCCCAAGGAACACCCCTGACCCGTCAGGTTAGAATTTCGAAAGGTCCAGTTAAAATTGTAGGTGTTTATGAGAATAGATGGTTGGTGGCATACATTTTTGAAAATGCCTGACCATCACTTGACCAAAACTTACCTCAAACTTTTAAAAATTAATTATAATTTAACTAGACACAAACATAACAACTCAGGAGTTGAAATTAGCTGAGAAAAATTATAAAAATATTGTTGCTACGTTTGAATATAAATTAATCAATCTAGATATACCTATAGAGTCATGAACAGTCGGTCTTGTCTCTATTATCGATCGTCGTGAACTTAAGTTTGAATGAGCATTTCTATATTCATATTATATTAACAAGTTCAGACTAACTGTAAAACTTCGGTTCGGTGACAAAAATAAAATTGCCGCCTTTATTTTACCGGACAACAATTTTATTTCAATTTAGATACAATATGACCTTTATGTGTCACTCAGGTTCCTAATGACCCATTTAACTTTTTAATTAACTGCCCTGTTTTGACTGCTTTCAGATTTAAATATTTATCAAAATACATCGTGTTCTATGTGACTTAGAAAATTTAATATTATTATTAGATCTTCTGACTTTAAAAACAAAATAAATGATATTTTTATATTCAGTACAAAAGGTTTTCGGAATAAAGTCTCCTCAACAGTTCAACTATTGGATTGATTCCAATATTTACTACAATTTCACTTCAAGCACATTTTTTCTTTGTGTGTATCGTACTACAACCAACGTTCTTTGTACGTCTTAATTGACTATAACCGAATAATTATAAATAATGTATAGACGGCCATAAAATTTAGAATATTGTATGGGATATTTACAATATAGTCGGAGTTCGTTGTAGTGACTGTCATTAAAAATAAATTGTTCATAAATAAGTTACGCAGAAATGTGTGAACGCGGCATTTGGGACCTCCAGGCTTTTGTAAAGGTCGATCAAATCAATTATACGAATGGCAGCCTTCTGAAATAATCTGTGATATTCGAGAAAAAAAAACGCTGCTTCCAATTTTTAAAAATCAAATCAAATTTTGTCAATTTAAGTTCTATATTGGGTATTTTAGTGAGATTAGATTGCGTAAACGCTGCCATCGGACACCAGGGTTTTCTACTTGAAGAATACGACCCAGGACAATAGAGTAAAAAAAGTATGAAATTCGATAATTTATACAAACAAAATTGAATTCTACCTTCACCTTTATATGTATGAGCTTGCTTAGGTAGGAAATGTTAGCGCATATGACTGGAAACGGACGCGAAATTTAAGTAACAAAGATATCATTTTGTTTAAATCTTACAGACTGACGTAGGAACGTTTTTGAAATCACATCAGGGGTCAGTTTGATAAAAATACGCCATATAAAATTAAGAAGGAGCAAAGAGTGGTATAATTTATTCAACAAGTCACATTTTAATTAATTCTGCTTGAAACGTTAGAATTACGAACCCATGAGATTTGAAACATTTTAAACTCAATTACGTCACCCTGAATTTTTCTACAATTTCTTCATAAGTCATGCTATTTGATTCTACATGTTTAACTATTTACTAATATCTCTCTCTCTCTCTCTCTCTCTCTCTCTCTCTCTCTCTCTTCTGTCTTTACCAATTGCAAGTCACATTAAATCATTTATTTTTCTTCTAATCTTTATTATTTTCCACAGAGAGTGGCATCTTCTTTTATAAGCTTAGGAAATACAGACGTGATCACATAAAATCTGCCTACGACTAGCAACGAACGATTTATAGATAGGCCGGTGAAGAAAACCCGAAACATAAGGAGTTGGACAAACTTGACAAAATTAGCTATGAGAATAAATCCTTAAGGGTTTTTTCTTCTTTTGCAAGCTGTTGATTTAAATAATTATTATCCTGACTTTCATGTTCGTTTCGTGAAACTCCCACTTGGCCAAACCAACATACCAATCCAACTTAATTAACTCAACCTAACCTAAGCCAACAAATCCTAACCTAAACCAACCCAACCTGACTTAACCCAACTCCTGCGCACACCCCCAATAACGCAAAATCGATTACGCCAAAATGGTCACCTCAAAGAAAAATTTGGTTATCCAGCAAAAAAGAAAAGGTGTGAATCTCCTCTCTCACCTCGCTTGGATCTGGACAGCTTAGAACATATCCATCAAAATGCTAAACAAACCTTGTGTTTTTATATCATTATTGATAAATTGTGTAAAGCAAGTAACATATGTTAAAGAATTGCAGTCCCAGACTTTAAAAAGTAAGTTAATCAAGGTGAAAATAACAATAAAATAGTTCCCATTTAACACTTAACTTTAATACCTTTCTCCCGTTTTAAACTGTAGTACTTTTTTATATAGAGTTTATTAAATTTTAACTTTCTTCTTATGCAATGTAAGACAAGAATTCAACCAACTAGAAATGATATTGTATGGCACTAATCGAATAAGTTCCAGTGATTCAAATAAATTATTAATTAGGTGGGTGTGTCAGATGTTTTACTCTTAAGTTCCGAAATGTCAAAAATTGGCCGTCCGGTCTGAATGAAAATAGTGAATTCGTTCCAAGACATTTTGTGAGAAAACAGACGTGCTCAAAAATAATCGGTCACGTTTTAGAAGAGCGTTTAGAAAAAAAACCTTAAAAGAGGACAAAATAAATAAATTGAAGAAATAAACTAACCACTATTTTAGGAAAGAAAGTCTAAATAAAAATTGACGTAAAACGTAAGATTCTTTAGTAAATAACACTATTCAGTCGAATTAAGAATAGTTTACAAATACTTTTAGTAAAAAAACTGTGTTGTTTCATTAATAACAATTAAACGATTGGAGGAAGAATAAAATGATTTAACGGCCTCCCATATGGATTTACCTATTTTTAGTCTACTCTTAGCTCTGATAAACATAGAAATGAAACATTACCAAATAAAATGTGTTATGAGATCGATTTTATTCTAAATGTTTTTTGAACTTGTGTCAAAGAATTTTATCGTTGTTAACTACTGCGTCAAGTGCGTATTTTTTCTAATCAAATATTTAATAAAAGCAAAATAAAAATGGTTAAAATGATGTGCGTAATTAATTAGATATAATAAATGTGATTTTATTATATCGAGTCTAGTATTACAATTTATGGGGTTGTTGTTTATTGAGTTATTTATTGTCCTGAATAGAGATATATTTATATATAACGAAATATCATTTTTATATTTCAAACGTTAAAAAAATTGTAAATAAATGTGTCTTTTAGTGTTTGGACCCCTTAGAACAGACTGTTTGGCTGTTATACAAGTGATTTGTATAAAAAATATATTATTATAAAATACAATGTTATAAAAATATTTTTTTTCCTTTTAGATATTTGATCCTTGAACTCTTCAATATTTAACATTTATCAAAACAAGGACTAAAACGCCTCTATAATTAATTAAAGTTCGTAAAATTAGACTGATTAATTTATTGTTCGTGCTGCAACTAGCTTATTTCTGAAGCCTTGCTTAGCCAAGTAAAAATGAGTACTTACCTTGTAATTTTATCGATTTTTATTCAATATGTGCAATAACTGTATAAGCTAATGAAAAATTATAATTATAAATAATAAAAATATAATTATTAAAAAATATATTAAAATAAAACACCTCGGTAAGTTTACAACAAATACCAAGGTCCTTGCACTATTTCTTGTAAACTTTTTTTATCTTTTAATAAAACAAAAACACATAGTAGGAGTGTCACATGGCGTAAGAATATATCTAATCGTAACAACATACTTTATTATTAACAAGATTTAATTTGATTAATTTTAAATCGTGTTTTTGAAATGTTAAAACGTATAGGTTGAATCGGACTAGTAAAACCCGCTTAACATGGCCCCAAATCAAAAGGCCTTGGCGGGATTTCATTTAATTCTCACATTTATGTGAAAAAAAGTCTAAATTGACTAGGAAATCAAGAAAGCCTGGTGTCCTTGGTATCGCTGGAATCAAATCAGTCTGCAAACATGAAACTGCTCGTGCGGTTGTGCATGCTTTCAGCACTCGCCCAACTCTTCGTTTCTGTTTCGTCTTTTACGACCGATAGTAAGTTTACTTATTGTTTTATCTTTTATTAAGTGTTAAAACTATTAGAAACCCAACTGTAAGTAGGTCTTTGCGAGATCCGAGGAATAGACCAAGGACTTTAGAAGAAAGGATGCAATCCTTCAAAAGCATGTTGAAAAATATCGTTACTGTTTCCGACTGTTAAAACTTATAGAAACAGTTAAACATTATTGTTTCATATGTGAGATTGATTAAGATTTCACTTGCATATATGAGTATATGCAATTTCATAAATAAAAGTATGTGAAAAGATTTGTTTGCTTTTTAATTCAAAAAAGTAATACGCCCTTTGACTTACTTAAGTTAATTTAATAAACTAAATTAGAATGTAAATTATTTATCAAAATATTGATTGTTTCAAAAGTGACAATCTTAGTGCGGCCATGACGGTTCATCGTAGTGGCATCAACTTGTTTTTCTAAGTTCTCCAATACTATCAAAACTTCTGCGTTGTAGCCTCTCGCGTGAGCATAATTAATAATAAAATCTCCGTTGAATACGTTGGTCAATTATACAACGTACAAAGTTTTTTTATTAAAAACTCTGATATCAGACAAATCAACATAATGTAAAATTCGTACGTCTACAACGCAGAAAAAAATAATTGTTTATGTACGACAAAAAATTGAATATACTCTTGTCTAACCAAGCATCGCCGTTTTATACCAATAAAAGATAATAATTATCATTAAATAATTAGAATAGTTGATGATATTTCTTGCGTTCTCACTGATTTAATGAATTCAGGAGTTGTACAGCTGAAAGCAACAGGCGATCTGAAAGAAAAAATCATAGAAGATTCAAAACGTGGCACAAATGGTAATTAACTAAGATAATAGATCATTCAGAAAGTAAATCAATTAAATATTCCAGGAAAGAAATTTGGTGACGATTTTATCAATAAAAATTTGGTGAGTTTATAATTATTATTCAATTAGTCTCTCATTTCGTCTTTCTTATTAAATAAACATTTCAATTTATTTTTGTGTTATATTAATGGTTGTAAAAGAGTGGCTGCAGGCATACTGCAAAAGGCAAAACGTCATGCGTCGAGGTTGGCCAGTGTAGAAGAGAGGAAATCCAATACTACGAGACTAAATATAAATCTAAGAACTGCCTCATGCCCAACGGGTAAGCTAGAATTTCCGGATTTAAAATTTACTGAATAATCATATCCAAATCGTAATCTTAGGTATTTAGGCGAGTGTTGTCCTAAAGGTGGTGTACAAGAAAGTAGGCAAAAGAGAGCAGCAAGCAACGCCGTCGTTAATATTTTAGAAGAGTATAATGAATCTTCGAAAAAAATCGATTTGACGAAACTCGGCGACATCACTAGTAATTATCGTAAAGTTAAACTTACACACCGTAATTTTATTTTAACCTGGGTAATTTCAGATTGCGGACGCAGCAGGAAGGTTATCAATGAAAAGTTCCATGGAAAACAAGAAACGGAGTTTAGTGACTACCCATGGCTTGTTGCTCTCGTGATCAAGAAGATCAAGGCGCATTACTGCGGAGGAGCTTTGATCGACAGAAAGCACGTGCTTACCGCTGCCCATTGCGTCCCAGAGTAACTTCCAATGCTTATAATAAACCTCTCATGTTGTTTTCCTGACTGTTTTCATTTATTTTTCGTTCAGGGGCGTAGTTCCAGAGGGAATCCTGGTTAGAATCGGCGAGTACGACTTCGACAAGAACGAAACGCACTCTTACGACGGTGTAGTCGAAAAGATCAATTACCATGAAGATTATGACCCGGCGACTAAAGAGCACGATATCGCTATCTTAACGTTGAAAGACAATGTGAATTATAACGGATTCGTCAGCCCGGTCTGCCTTCCGCAACCTGATGACAATCATTACAAAGAAAACATTACAGCGATTGTAGCAGGTAATTTTATTTGCCCAACATCATAAATATCGTGATTTTGGTGATATCTGACCGTCCCGATCCATTCCTCGCTGGTTTGATCTGTCATGCCGGTTTTGGGTTGTTGCCATATTTATCTATGTTTTTGTCACATTGTATAAACTAGTAAGTAGACAAGAACAATCAGGACGATAATTGACGACAAAAATACAAGTTCATCTCAGGTATCTCTCAAACAAACAATTTTTGTAGTATGGTATGCCTTCCTCTGTCCTGCCTGCGAAAGGCGTTACGGCAATTCGCCATTACAATTTGTGGGTTTGTTTCATTGTTCAGGCCACAACAATTCCAAAAAGACACGTTTGAAAATATTACGAAGAAAGCAACCATTAAATATAGATAAATGTACAAAAGCATCTGGCAGACAAAACAAACGAGAATCGGTGGACCTGGATGATCAGGAAGGCCAAAATAGAGGAATTCATGCCATATTAGAGATACAAGAGTTTTTTTTTAGCTGAATCTGATGACTTTTGTATGACTCTCCTTGCTTTTGGTCTGTCGGACGGCACACGGCCATCTTCAATTGTGGGTTTATTTCGTTATTTAGACTTGAAGACTTGAGAAAATGACACAATTGTCTATGTGATAATACCGTGACCAAGTGCTAAAGAGAGAAAAGTTGAAAAACGTCCGACAGATAAAAAAGCGAGAATAGGCAAACCAGGATGATCGGAAATGATAAAAATAGATGTTCACCACGTCGTATGAAATGTTGAAAATCGTTTCCAGGTTGGGGTAAGACTATGTACAATGGCAACACAAGTAGCGTCCTACAAGAAGTCCAATTGCCTCTCTGGGACCAGAACACCTGTGTCTACAGCTTCTCTCAGTCTATCTACGAAACGGCACTATGCGCAGCTGGTTACATTGGAGGATTAGACGCATGCCAGGTCGGTCGAAGTTTTATTATAAACAGTAAATTTACGAGGAAAATATAAAACAAAATTATTGCGGTTTCAGGGTGATTCCGGTGGACCGTTGGTGACTCAGAAGGACGACGGACGTTGGGTCACCCTTGGGGTCGTTTCCTGGGGGATCAAGTGTGGCGAGAGAGGGAAACCAGGAGTCTACACTCGAGTGAACGAATATTTAGAATGGATAGCGGAAAATTTATCGTAGTATGGCATTTTCCACCCAGTCAAACATGGACAAAAATAAAAAATATGCTTGATTAAGTTTTGTAGAGCATTAAAAAACAAAATGCATGGTGTTAATGAACACTATCAAAGAATAAATTAAGTATAATGTCCTTACATGAATGATTTATTGTTTAATTTCTTGGTGGAAAAAAGTAGAAAAAAATTAAATTCCTTCTCTAAATATAAAATGTCATTATAAAGCAACAAATATAATATATTGAGAAGACTAAATTTATTTCAAATGGATGTCCCAAGTATGTTTCAATATTTCGTCATATACCAATATTTTTCTAAATATTTATTGAATGGTATTACTTTAGTCCTTTTTATCATTCAGAATTGCGGAGGCTGTTCCTCTTCAAATCCAAGGGATGAATGATAAGAATTGTTAAATTCGACAAAGTTTTGGGTGTAACAATTTACCAACTTGGGCGGAATCGGGTACGGCTCGCATTCCAGACCTAGCCCATTCAGATTGATACCTCTCTGTATTTCTTTATTTCATACAATGAATACTGGAGTAAAAGGCTTTTTTGCCAAAACCGAATATGAAAATACATTTGCCTGATTGAAAACATATTTTGTATATATATTGAATCTTGGAATTTTTTACTCCATCAACTTTTTTATTTAAGGTACATAATTTCTTTCTGTCATTTTTTAGTAATCGATTCATTTATAAAAACTGGGGTACAAAAACTTGTCCAACCATTAATTTTACAATGATTATTATAACAGAGTCATAGTTAAATTTAAGTTTCACCCGCTGGGCTCCTTATTACCAGGTAACCAGAAAAATTTGTGCTAATTAAAGGGTTTAATAATAGTCACATTTAAAATTAGTTTAGAAATATTGGAGAAAACAGTCTACATCGACAGCCAACATTTTACTGGTTGGATTGCTTCTGTGACTAAGATAGGATTGGAGTGTCATCCGCATAGGTTTTGAGTTGTGAGTTTTGATGTGTATTGAGGTATATCAGCAGTGTAGATGACATAGAGAATTGGTCTTAGGTGCCATCGATCCGAAAGGAAGGACTTCAGAATGAAATGTGTGAGGGAGTAATTTGTAAAGAAGACCGGGTGCAACACTGTCGAAAGGTTCCGTGCGTCTCAGAAATACGACTGAGTAATTTTTCTGGAGGCCAGGATATCGTGTTGACTCTGAAGCGCTGCTGACCAGAGAATGAAGGGATCGCAATCCAAATTGATGGTTGAGAATTAAGTTTTCAGAGTCGAATATGGGAATTAGTCTTTTAAGGAGGAGACATTCGAAGATTTTTTATTAAATAGGAAGGAGGCTTATTGGCCTGTAAGAGGTTTTGGTATTGGGGTTATTAAAGATAGTTGGGGAAATAGATTGGATGAAATATTCATTGTATGTTGCAATATTGCTTTTTGTTGGGTAGATTTCGGAAGATTTTAGGGGTAATAAGAACCGGAAACCTGAAAACACGTCTCAAATCTTGAACATTGGATCAAGCGGTGGAAGATGACAATGAACTTACATTTCACCCTTCGGAGAATAACCACTGCTTCCATCTACTGCAATAGTATCCCCTCCCACGAGATAATGTAGTCCGCTATCTTTTGCTATATAATGAGAAAAAACCCACATAAACTTAAAAGACAAAAAATAAACAGACGATTCAAACTTCTTAAAAGATTGCTGGACAAACGATTCTTTTAAACTTCTCAAAAATGAATAGGAATATTGCCAATTTTATAGTATTTACTTTACCTAGAATTTTAATTTTACGTTTATTAAAAATTGCATTAAAATTTATTAGAAATTATATTTTTACCGAAGGAAAATTTAATTAAGGGATTTTGAAAAATGACAAAATAAACGGCTTTAATTCCATAATTTTCTTTATTGGATAAAATAATTTTTTTAAACAATTAATCCCGTGAATAATCTCTTCTGTTAGCTAAACCTGAATACATCTGTTAGACATACTGTTAATAAGGTTGTCACTAATTTTATAAGGAATTTCACTCGTTAGATGTTGCAACGCTGCTCTCAGTTGTTGCAGGTCAACTGGTTGCAGATGGTGATCGAAAAGCCTTCTCTGCAAAGCATCCCACATGTGCCCAATGAGATTGAAGTCATGAGACAATGGGGGAAAGGTCAGATGGGAAATTCCCAGGTTTTCTACACAGTGATGAACAACTCTGCTCTTATGAGGTCTGGCATTGTCATCCAGAAATCGAAAATCCCTGCCCTGGTTTGAGGGATTTATTCCTCGATAATCTCTTGGACATAACGGACTGCGGTGAGGTTGCCTTCAACAATATGGAGTTCAGTTCGTCCTCCAGTGTAAATCCCAGCCCAGACCATTACACCGCCTCCTCCAAACTGCACAGAAGGGGCATGAACTGAAGCATTGTACGCATCCCCTGTATTCGGCAAACTCTTCGATACCTGCTATCACAATACAGAAAGAAACGAGACTCATAAGTAAACCTAACAGTATACCAATTGGTGTTCTCTTCTAGACGCTCGCTGCACCATATTCTCCTGAGTTGCTGGTGGCGCTGTTGCTGCAGGTCGTCTCAAAGCGACATACGATGTGTGGTCAACTTCCTACGAACGATTACGAATCGTTTATGTTTATAAAGGCCTTGCCAAAACATCTTGAGACAATGGGGGAAAGGGCAGATGGGAAATTCCCAGGTTTTCTAAACAGTGATGAACAACTCTGCTCTTATGAGGTCTGGCATTGTTATCCAGAAATCGAAAATCCCTGCCAATGAAATCCCTGGTTTGAGGGATGTATTCCTCAATAATCTGCTGGAAATAACGGACTTGGGTGAGGTTGCCTTCAACAATAAGAGTCCAGTTCGTCCTCCTGTGTAAATCCTAGCTCAGACATTACACCGCCCTGATTATGAATCGTTTGTGTTGATAAAGGCTAAAACATCTTCCATTTCATTTAGGACCTGGCGAGCACTATGGAAAGGGTTCCGTCTTGCAGCAAGGCTAGTATTCCTGTCCTCCCTTAGCGTCGTAATGCGCTGAGATCCACTACCAGGCCTCCTATAGGCTTTTTTCATTATTAATCAAACGGCAGTTCCAAAGTTATCATAATGCAAGACCACGCTATTAGATACGCTAACTGCTTCTGCGATATCCACTTGCAGGTGACCTCGATGACTCGTTTTCACAATAATATTGCGAACTTCTGGTTCAAGATGATGTCTTTCCATGGTTAAATAGAATTAAACTGGATTAAAATGGAGAAAAGGCGAGAAAAGGTGTTGGTTTACAAAATGTGTAATCTTCATGTTTACTATTCTTAAGTAAATCCGTTACTAAAAATTAGGATTTACATTTATTTCTTTTTGGTTTGTGGTTTATTCAACTAACAAGAATATATCGGTTAATTTAATTAAAATTTATAGAATAAGAATAAATTACAAATATCCCTATTCAAATTTGACCAGTTTATATGACTATTTTGAGACTCATATGGACATACTTCATGGAGCTTTGGGATTCAACAAAACGTTCCAACCTCCAACGCATCAAATTCCTACAATTCAACATCCTCTTTTAATTTATTTTAAGAAGTATATAATAATTTGTTTTTGCCCTCATTCAATTACATTCAAAATGATATTGCTCATGAAAAAAAATATCTCAAATTGTATTCCTTAACCGTTTAAAAATTTGAAATTAAATTGAAATTAAAGTTGATATAAGTTTTCATATTGATCCAGACCAAAATACTATCTTTCGTCGTGATAGCTTCGCTTTTGACAATTTTAGCCGTACATTTTTTAAAAATGAATGTGTTTATATTTGTAAGTGGAATACTCGAGCAGCTTTTATATCCTGCTGGAAATGGGTATCTATTTCCATACCTTTTAAGATGATTTGAAGAAAATAAAAATCTTGGGTAATATTGTAGCTTATTACAAAAAGAACGTTTGCATTTTGTCATATATAATGTTTAACCCTAGTTTTGGGTAACATTAAATATAACAAAATGCAAACGTGTCCAATTTGTCCATAAGCTCGATTACAATAGCATTTGCCAACGATTGTAAAATGATGGCCTAAAATCGAAAAGTATTTCGACACAAGATACCAATAATTGTTTATTATAATTAAATTACTATTAAATTTTACAATGGGCTCTTTTGATAATAATCCATCTCCTAAATATAATAGACACTTTCTCTCAGAGAAAGTTCACATTGCATAATAGAAGGAAGATACCTAATTATCTAATTGGTTTTGTTCGAATCATGCCCTTGACCTCTTTTAGTTAGGTTTTTATATATACCGTTTTATATTTATTATACCGTTTATTATATATACCGTTTTATAAATACTGTTTATATTAAATAAAATTGTCCTCCTATTTTTAACATGAGTGGGATAAATTTTTAATTAGGTAAAAATTAAAAGTTATTATGTTAAACTTAAAAGTATAGGTACCGATGTTTAACTTTTTTTGGAGATACTAAGTCGAAAAATAATAGTATGGGTCCGAGCTTGTTGCCCTAGGAATCACAAATTATATATTTCAATACCTACGATAATAATGCAATTATTTTAACGTAGTGAGTACAACGTAACAAAGTAGATTAAGACATTTTTTGCTACAAACAATCTCAATATTTTTGCACCTCAAAACCCTTGAATATAAAAACGTGGGAAATTAAAAAAAATCACCTCAAAATTTCAGCCTTCTAAATGCCTGCCATGTTTTTGGGAAAATTACAAAAAAATGCGATAACTTCTAACGACTTCCCTGATCCACCCGAGACATTACAGGAGTTAAGGACAATATAAACTTCACGAAATGGTTGAAACAAATTACAACTGAAGAAATAAAATAAAACGTTTGATGAGTTTTTTTAATCTTCTTACTTACTCTCACTTTACATTGTTTTTGTTAGTTTGTCAGCTTGTTCGTTGCCTTCAATTCCCTCCTATCCTGATTTCTTTTTACTCCTGGAGCTGGAGCTATGTTAGGCATTCCCGATATAGTTTCGAATTCAAGGTGAATGAAGCCTTGCTGCTTGCCTGTCTCGCTTATTCACTTTGCATTCACAGTCTCTTTTTGAGGACATATTGTATACTGCGTTCCATTGTATGGATCTCAGGCCGGGAAACTGATGTGGGGTTTCACTAATTTTTTCGACGACATATCACCGGCGACGACGTCAATTTTTTATTTCGAACGGGACCTCAATTTTTTTAATGAAATTAGTTTTTTGTCTGTGCCACAACACGAGTACCACAACTTTGGAACACCTCCAAAATTGACTGCAAAACTTTAAACAGCCATCTGTATAAAAAAAAGACACCCTGTATAGCGAGGTAGGCTATTTTTGTATTGATAACCCGTGTTATACTACAAAATCTTTGACCTACAATTTTTATGGCCTTCACCTTTTGGATTAGTTTTGTTTATATTTTCTTGCTTTTTGATATTGCGTTATTCCTAGACACTTCTATCTTGTCTTCTGTCTGTTTTCTGTTTTTCCTTGGAGAAATCTATTGTTAATTTGTTATATACATATTAAATACATATATTATTTTGAAATATATATATTATTTTGTTTTCTTTAAGAGTACTTTTATATTAAACTTTCTATATTGATTTAAACACTTTAACTAGTGCAATAAGAACGAATCTAAATATTTTCGTCAAAGTAAGCTGCCAATTTTTTTGGTAAAAGTAAAAAATTGTTTTCCTACTTTACGGGTGTCTGGGATTTGGGAAATGCGTTATTCAAAGTGTCGCTGTCATGTTTTTAATTTTCACGAACTTGGAAAACAATAATTCTATCTTTGAAAGTAAACACAATTTTATTTTTAATTCAGAAGTGATCTCGAACGTGTACCCACGGCCCGTTTCGTGTCAGCAATTATTAAAAGTGTCACTTACAAGAAAAACGATACTTCGTATCCTCCCCATTCCTTCAACAACAAAAGGAATTCCAAACCCCAAATGTATATAACGAAAATTGGATGATTGAAAATAGTATATTTATTTATATCAAAACTAATAATAAGATATCTAATAAATTATTATATAATAATTATATTAACGTGTAATATAAAAATGTATTTTTTATTTGATAGAAGATTCTATATTTAATTTTTCGTTACATTGTTCATTTATGACACTATTATTTTTAACAGCCATATTAACAACTAGCCTCGATCAAAACGCTGTATCTTGCTTAACCTTTGACATGTGAATTTTTTTGTTAACTATTTCTAATCTACAAAATTTATGAGTTCTCTTCATAAAAAATATTGACGTATCGAATTCAAATCAATTTGTGTTAATAATAATGCTTTCAAACAGAGAATTACTGATTTTACAATTAAATCTGTTTAGTTATACTGTTCTAATCTAAACTCTTTTGGAATGGGTCGCCAAATCGAGAGGAAGAGAGAGAGAGAGAGATGGGAAAAAGAAGAGAGTGAGTGAGTGTGATATAGAAAGAGAGAGAGAGACGGTCGCTGTGTGAAAGAGAGAGAGAATTAGAGAGTGAGAGAAAAAGAATGAAAGAGAGAAACGGAAGAGAAGAGAGAGAGTGAGAAAGATAAAATATAAGGGAGAGAGAGAGAGAGAGAGAGAAATAGAGAATATATGAGAGATACGAAAGAGAAGTAGTGAGAGAGTAGAGGAATAGATAGGAAAAGTGGAAGAGAAAAGAGGATTAGGGAGTTGTAAGAAAGAAAAGAGAAAATGAGTGAGAGATAAGAAAAAGAAGAGAGTGAATGGGAATGTGTGATAGAGAAAAAGAAAGAGAGAGCGAGAGAGAGAGAAAAAAGAGAAAGAGAGAGAGTGAGTGTGTTAAAGAGAGAGAGAGGAGAGAGAGAAATGAGGGAGAGACAAGAGAGAATGAATGAGAGATAGGAACGAGATACATACAAAAAACGAGCTATAAATATCTTGAAAGACAGAGCAAGAACAGGTGAACAGTTGGTGACAGAGAACGGTAAATGACAGATATAGAAAAAGGAAGAGGGTGAGAGACAGAGAGTGTGTATGTGTATGTGTGACATTGTATTTAAATAAATAATTCTGTTTGTATGTTCACGTTGATGTACAAAATATTTGATTGCCAAAACCAATCGGAGTTTGGCAATTGCCATATACAAACCCTCGTTTAACCGTTTGTAAATATATTTGCTAATTGTTGCAGAATTAGTTTATCTACGATCAAATGAGGTATAATAATGGTTTTTACTTTAAAGAAGAAGGCTAGGATAGACTCACAAATGTTCAAAAATGAAACTTTTATCCTTAGAGGTCGTTATAAGGATAAAGGATTTTGATCTGTTTAACATGTATATGTACATAATTCAATGGGCGGAACGATGTGAATTGTCGGAACAGAAAAAAATCCAACAGATAAGTCAAGGACTCGACAATTTTTATTCCCAGAATGGTTGTTTATTGTTTTCTAAATCTCCGGTCATCACGTTTAATCATTTAGGTATGATGTCCATCATCAAAGTGAGTCCTTGAACGTGAAAGACAACGATTTGTTAAGCTCTTGCGGCGCTATCTGGAGAATATAAATTTTCCCAACCGGCAGCCTCATTCTTCGCTTCAGTTCCCATCGTATCGTCCCATCAACCACCGCCATGGGGCAAAAATCACCTCGACTACTTCTTTGTGTTTGTTTAATTTTGTTTGCCGCTAAAATACACCAAGGACTGGCATTAACCATCACTGGCAAGTTTTATTGATATATTATTTTTTAAATTTACTTTCTCATTTAAATAGACAATTTTTTTAAATTAATAGGAAAAGGGATCAAAATAATTATATTTTTCTATTAATTAAATATATTTTACATTATTTTAATTACAATGTAATTAAATTAATATAATGTAGAAATTGAAGATGGAAGTGAAATATACTAGACCACTAGTATGTAAACACGCAATGCATTACGTGCATTGACTAAACAATGCTACATTTTTCATCAAGGATTTATTATAGTATAATACCACGTAATTTTTTATAGCTTTCTATACAACATTTTAAAAAACGATATTTATTATTTTCACTTACGTTCAGGCTGTTTGAAAGTATTTGGATTTGATATTTTTTATTTGCTATATTATTATTAGGTACCCGTCGGAACTGTTCCACAAATAAAGAAAAAACAATATAACATAAATAAACCAACACAAATGTTAAGAACGCCCACGAGCACAGAATCAAAAACTAACCAAAAACTATCAACCAAATAAACACAAAAACAACATTCTCTCACTCATTCTCTCTCTCTCCTTTCACTCACTCCCTCTCTCTCTCTCTCACTCTCACACTCTCTCTCTCACTCTCTCACTCACTCTCTCTCTCTCTTTCTTTCTTTTTCTCTTTCGCTTCTCTCTATTTTATCTGTATAAGTTGAATGCATAATGTAAAATGTAAAACTCACGTTAAGTGGAAGAGAAGAAAGGTCCACGAGACCTAACATTGTATCATTAAATACAACGTTTAATCAATCAATCATACAACCTCACTCACTCACTCACTCACTCACTCACTCTCTCTCTCTCTCTCTCTCTCTCTCTCTCTCTCTCTCTCTTTCCCTTTCTCCCCCACTCACTCCCTCCCTCACCCTCTCACCCTTCCATTTTTCATTTACCTCTCTCATTCCCTAACTTTCTCTTGTTTTTGTTCTTTCTTTCAAGATATCCCACTTTTATCTCACTTTTCACGTGAGTCGCTGTACAATAAACACTGCAAGAAGCGAAAGAAAATCCTACCTACACCCAGAAACAACAGCACTCACACACTAACACATGTTGTTAGTGTTGTACCAATGGAAACACACTCTAACAAACATTACCAATAACGTAATAATAATTAGGATAATATTACAGCCAATATAAAAGTTAATATACTCACCAGTATGCTGACAACATCTGGAACGAACAAACAACAAACACCTAAACAAACAGTCAAATGAGATTTAACCTATTTTTTAAAAGGAATTGTAAGCAACTTAGGTGAAATTATTAAGATAATAATATTACCAATATTAAATTACAGTTTTAGAGTTTGTTGGACGTTCCAAGAGAGTTGAATAACTATTGTATTGTATCCTGTACACAGTAAACGTTCATAGGCGCTTGGCGAGCTTTCTTTACGATTATTAATTAATGTTTAAACAATAATGTTCGACTGCGCGCATAGGGAAAGCCGGATGAGCTTTCATAACCACATCCTATGTGTTTGAATTGAATTTGGTGGCATTGATCCTTGAATCCTTGAACTGTTCAATCCTTGAAACTTTTAATTCATTTTATAAGGACGAAACGGAATTTCAATATTGCTACCTTCGCCCTGAACGGCTTTTTCATCTGATCCTGCATTATAAAATCATTTAAATTCAACGACCTGTGGGTCAATGGAAAAAGTTAAAAATACATTACAAGTATCGTTCGATCGATAGCCAAGAAACTTTTGGGAGGACGGCATAACGAAATTGTCTGAAATATGGCTGAAACTTGCTACAGTCGCATACTTGGCCATTAAAAAATCATAGTTTGATGACAAAAATGTTCACCTGTTTTGGAACATATTTTTCGCAAACCTCATTTGCCAGACATAGATCAACAAAATATCGTCCGTTTCGGGCAATTAAGAGTTGTAGAAGCATAAAATTTGATCAACGCAAAAAGTAAAAACCTGAATTTTTGATATTACTAGTCGAAATGTAAAGAGGATGTTAGATCAAGGAAGTCTTACAAGCTTAAAGTAAACAGCAAAATTCTTAAAATCAAACGATATATTATAATAATCATTAATATAATCTTTAATTAATTAAGATTGTATGAGTGAAACATTGCTTTTCTATATCATCATTTTACTACTATTTCAAAACCTAACAACTTTGTAACTTTGTACCCTGCTAGAGAAATAAAAGTGGAAAATCATTTTATCCGCAAATTAATTGTTTATTTCCCTCGTGAAGAAAGTTTATTTAGCAAAAGGGTCGAATAGATTTGTAAAAAGGTGAATTTAATTAGCAAAAGGGTGAAGTTGATTTTCAAAAATGTGAATTTATTTAGCAAAAGGGTGAAGTTGATTTGCAAAAGGGTGAATTTAATTAGCAAAAGGGTGAATTTAATTAGCAAAAGGGTGAACTTGATTTGCAAAAGGGTGAATTTAATTAGCAAAAGGGTGAATTTAATTAGGAAAAGGGTGAAGTTGATTTTCAAAAATGTGAATTTATTTAGCAAAAGGGTGAAGTTGATTTGCAAAAAGGTGAATTTAATTAGCAAAAGGGTGAACTTGATTTGCAAAAATGTGAATTTAATTAGCAAAAGGGTGAATTTAATTAGGAAAAGGGTGAAGTTGATTTGCAAAATTTGGTGAATTTCATTTGCAAAACTGAATTTATTTAGTAAAAGGATGTAAAATGTTTTTCCAGCCTGGCTGTTGTGTAATACTGTCCTCCAAAGTCCAGATTTGCGCTGATAGTTGGACGGTAAAAGAAAAGACTGATGGTCTCGCTGGTCAAGTGAGAAATGCATTGTAGAGTATTGAGTTTGCGATTTTTCCAACATGGCCATTCCAATTAAGTTTTTTTATACAAAATTTGTCAAAAAATATAACTTTCTGTACAACTGGTATAACAAAACAACAAGCTCAAAAAGATCGGCAGTCGTTTCCTAGAAAACGCACAGATTTATTTGCTAAGTGAAGGTTAATTTAATTCGCAAAATGGTGAACTTGCTTTGAAAAAGAAAATTACATTCTCGAAAGGGTGAATTGAATTTGTAAAAAAGTGAAATTTATTTTCAAAACGGTGAATTTAATTTTATTAGGCAGCTCTATGTTGATACTGCGGTGTTAGCCCTGAAAAGGACGCTAAGGCTTTAGCAAGAAGGTCCCAATCTCTTCGCCCTTCCGGGAGCCTGTTACCGTGAGTTCGACGGCACAAGACTCTTTCAGGCTAGCGAGAAAGGGCGCTTCATAGGGAATGGGGCCCTTGAGGAGCTGGTTAACAGGGATTTGGTCCTGTAAAGGGCCGATGAGTGATGTGAATTCTATTATATATGAACACATATTCCCATGTTTACAGCGTTTTTACAATATAATTATGAACACACCTTAACTCTAATTAACAAGTAGAAAGAGAGATTTAACAATTATGTCTTGAATTGTGCTGTAGCTTGGTGGTTTTCCTCTGGGTATCGGTTTTGTTGAAAAACTGGTGAACAGGGTGTCCTTTTTAGATGGTCCGGCTGAATTTTTCTTGAACTAATGACGCTTTCAAAAAAACAAAAAATACGTGTTTAATATTTTTTAGTATAGTTCCAAATTTTTATCATTTTTTGGAGAAAAAAATTAGGCCCAGTTCAACTTCAAAATTTCGTATACGCCCCTATACCTTCTGGCACATCATTTTAAAGGGATTTTTTCGCTGAAAACAATGGTGAAATCGGATTTTAAATTGGTCAAAAAATGACATAGTCATGGCAAAAAGTTTGAAAAAACGCATTTTCTTTGTTTCGTCGTTAATTCCAATAATTTGCTTATTCACTAAAGTTTTTTTTTTATTACATTTATTTGGTATTTACAACTACAAGTGATGTATTAAGTAAATATGTTTATATATGTTGAATTATCATTTGAGGCCTCTTGTAGGAGAAGTTGCCCAGTGGTAACACTTCTTCTCACTGATATCTTGTATAGTCTTCACACAATGAGAAGGTCTCGGGGCCACTTTCGCTTCAATCGTCTTGGAGGATTTTCAGGTAGGGTTGGAAGTGATAAATTTCGTACGAATAGATTGTGTGTGTTCAGTGATTGATGAATTTTTTTATATTTTGGTCTAATTTTTATATCGGGTTTTGATGAGTTCATGTACAAACGGGATGTGTAGGTCTTTATGGATAGTGTAATTTGAAACGTAAACAGGAGCATTTATAATTTGACGGAGAATTTTAGATTGGATTGATTGGAGACGCTGGGAATTGGAATCCTTGGTTGAGCCCCACACTTTACAATCGTACGCCCAGAGAGGTCTAATCATTGTCTTGTAAATTAAAAGTTTATTTTCAAGGTCTAATTTTGATCGTGAGTCGAGTAGTCTTTTTAACAATTTATAACGTCGGTTTGTTTGCTGTCTTTTCAGTCTTGTTTGGGGATTCCAAGTCAGTCGTTTATCCATGAAAAGTCCAAGATAACGCACAAGGTCAGTGGTAGGCAATGGCATTCCATTTATACTCACCGCAGGACAGACATTTTTACGTAAGGTAAAATTGATTTGTGTGCTTTTTGTTAGGTTTACCTTTATTCTCCACTTTGAGAACCATATTGTTAATTCATTCAGGTGTTGTTGTAAGTGTTGAGTGTTAATTGAGGGGTCCGAATTGCGTGTAAGAATCGCTGTATCATCAGCGAATGTGTGTGTCGAAATGTTAACGTGTGTAGGAATATCTGCAGTGTATATGGAAAATAGAAAAGGGCTAAGTATTCTTCCCTGAGGAACACCCGCACTCATGCGTATATAAGGTGAGAATTCAGTTCCCTGACGGACTCGACAAAATCGATCCGTCAGATAAGATCTCAGTATAAGATAGTACGTATGAGGGAGGATGTTCCTCAGTTTCCAAAGCAAGCCCGAGTGCCAGACTCGATCGAAGGCCTGTTCTAAATCAAGAAAGACATCCTTCGAGGGAAGAGGCTATATTGTCAGCAACACGATGTAATTGTTGAGTTGTCGAGTGAAATGTGCGGAACCCAAACTGATGATCTGGAATAATATTAGAATTTTCAATTATTGGCAGTAATCGTCGGAGAAGTAGTTTTTCTAGTATTTTGGCAAGGATAGAAAGGAGACTAATGGGTCGATAGGAATTTGGAAGATCAGAAGTTTATTTGGCTTATGAATCATTTTAATTATAAAGAACTTCCATTGCAATGGAAAATATGTGGTCCTGAGTACAGCGTTGTATAGGTATGTTAAGTATAGTAAGCTTCTGTGGGGCAAATTTTTGAATATTTGTTTTGTAATTAGATCATAACCTGAGCTTTTCGTAAAGGTAGTTGTTTAATAGTGCGTCGTATGTCTGATGGAGTAAATGCTTTAGGAGGATAAGAGAGTTGCAAGGGGACATTCAATGTTAAGCTGATGGTCATGATCAAGTATGTCATGGTGTGCAGTAAAAATTGTGGAAATATACTCTGAAAACAATTTAGCAATACTTTTTCAAAGGATAGTTCCTACTCACAGTAAGTTGTTTTGCAAAGATCCGGATTGTGGAAGTCCTTCAACCTGATGATGAGCTAAAAGGCTCGAAATCCGGATCGTTGCAAAACAACTTACTGTGAGTAGGAACTATCCTTTTAAAAAGTATTGAACACCACACTCACTCCATCATTTATCATTTCTAACAATTTAGCAATTTCGGAATTGGATTTTGCCCAAGCGTTGTTACTACGTGTAGGAGGCGTGTGGTCCTTATATCGCAGGATCTTACGGGTACCACAAAGACTTGTCTGTTTTGGAAAGCGAAGTAGTATATTGTTTGTACATTTCAGCCTTATGTTTGGCCAGTTCTTGTTTCATCTTTCTCGCGAGTTGGTTCATCCGTCGATGATCACTCGGATATCTGTTACGCTGCCAGATTGCCCTGGCCCTTCGCTTTTCAGTTAGTAGTAGCCGAATGTGTGGAGGTAATAATAACTGTTGATTATTTCTAGGTGGTGGTATGGAGGTTGACACCCATGCTGCATGCTGTATTAATTTTGTAAAATCGTCTATAGCTTTGTCAATTTCTTCTGCAGTTTTTAGAGATGTGTGTAGGTTAACATTTTTGTTTATTATTGATTGGAAATTTTTCCAATCTGTAGGTCCAGTTATTAGGCAAGGATGTTTTGGTACAATGGAAGGGGCAGAATTTAGAATTAATTGAACTGGGCTATGATCAGAAGAAAAATCAAATAAATTTGAAATATCCAGATGGGTTGAAGAGATTCCGGATGTTATAAAATAATCTAATATATCAGGAAGTTTACGGGTAGACGTTGGCATTGTTTGTCAAACTCAAAAAAAAACACGAACCGAAGAGCACATTTTTCCGATCAACATTAGTTTATCTATCTATCCGAGTTACCTATTTGGTTTTGCGAAGACTGAGTATCGGTGACATGAACAAAACCCGGAAAAAGAAATGTCTTAAAAGAAGCATAGCTGATATGTACGACTACTTTATTGACAGTGGTGCGTAGGGCAGTCGAGTTGCACTCCGAGAAATTGTCTGATCGCCCCAGAGTAAACCACAAAAAGTTTATTCGTGTTAGTAACAATATGAGGAGTTACGGATCAGTTGCTGTTCCATCACCAAGAAACCAGCAGCGTAATTTCGACGAGGGGCTGAATCTTTTACTGCATGTTCGCGAAAATCCCAGTCCCTCTATCCAAAATTTGAAAGGGTTTTAGGTTTTTCAAAAAATGAACTTAGAGATGTACTCCGAACTTTCAATTTTAAGCCGTATCGCTCTCATCTTGCCCAGGTACTTCGGGACTCGGATTATGACAGGCGTCTAACGTTCCTTGCACAACTGTCGATCGGGGAGAATGAAGAAAACGTTCTTCTATACATCCTATGGACTGATGATATCCAAGTTCACCTCTAATGGCATACTCAACAGTTGGAATTTTTGAACCTGGGCAAAGAAAAAATCCGCGAATTTCGTATTCTTATCATCATCAGGGGGCTGTATCAACGTTTGATGTGTACCTCTCGGAAATAAATTAATTGGGCCTTATTTCTTCGAAAATAATTTAAATAGTGCTCAGTTCCTCAAATTCTTGTGAGAGGTTTTACCAACACTATTAGGTGATGTTCCTCTGCAACAACGAGAAAGGATAATTCTCCAGCTTGATGCCTGCACATAATTCTTCGCAGGTGAAATGTTATTTGTACCGTCACTTACGGGATAGGTGGATAGGACCTCATGGCCCAGATCAGTTGGCCTCCTCGGTCACCGGATTTAACTCCACTTGACTATTTTCTGTGGGGCCATTTAAAAAACAGTGTCTACGCCTGCCAATAACCCTGCAACCTTAGCTGTAGAACTGCGGCAAAGGATAGAAAATGCTTGGCAATCCATCTCCCCGACTCTCCATCTCCACCAACCACCGGTGAAGAGTGGTTAAAAAGAGCAAACCTTTGCATCTTTACTCAAGGAAGGCAGTTCAAACATGAAATGTGATTAATAAATAGCAAACCTAATGACTGGGTTTTTTTTTTTTTTTTTTAACTTTTTGCCATAACTTTATCATTTTTTGACCAATTTAAAATCCGATTTCACCATTGTTTTCAGCGTAAAAATCCTTTAAAATGTGTCAGGATGTATAGGGTCGTGTTTGAAATTTTGAAGTTGAACTGGGCCGGAGGTATCCTGTATAATTTTTCTCCAACAAAAGGTAAAAATTTGAAATAGACTAAAAATATTAAACCCTTTTTTTTGCTTTTATAGCGTCATTGGTTAAAGAGAAATTCAGCCGGGCCATCTAAAAGAGCCTGTAGAGTCACCACAAATTTGAAAAGTCTGTATAATACGAGAAATTAAATTAAATTGCGTACTTATTTCAATTCCACCCATCCTTGTTAGTCCTCTCGTATAAGCGAATGTGAGCGAAGAGGAAATTAAATAAATCCTCTTTTATGGTTGAAAATTCGACTTGGAACAGAGATTACTATCCGCATAATTGGCTCGGCCTTGGTTCGAGAATAACGATCTTTTACTACATTTCGAACTTAATAGCCTCAATTACGTTTCCAAATAATTACCGACCGGAATAAGCTCTAAGCAAAGCAAGAAATAAACCCGAGCTGCTAACCTTTGGTTTCATTTGGCGTGATATGTCGCAACACGGGGTGCTGAAAGAGAAAAGAAGTTATTCCCAAGGATGTCGATCCTGAAAAAGGAGCCACTTCCTACCTCGCCGTCTTTAGCCTCAACCTAGGCATTGTTCCGTTTAATTTCTCAACTGTTCAAGCACAATGAACAAATTCCCCTCGTTGAATATTTAAACAACCTTCCTTCATGCCATTGCCAATTATATTTCCAATTACCAAGTGCCGAATCAAAAGCCTTTTCATTTAATAAAATAAAATATCTTTTTGATTCAGAAGAGAACACGGTTTTGATTTTTATTTACATTAATTACATTAGTAAATGTCTCTTTTCACACTAATTGATATGACGCCTTAACTTAAAATTATATATTTATTATGGAGAACACATTAAACCGGGATCCTCACTGATAAAGCCAAAATGTGAGAAAATATGGCCTGTAAAATGTCGATCAGTTCAATATGAATTCATCCACTCACAAACCAACAAGATCACCATCATTTTTATGGGTCATTATTATCTATTTTCAGGCAGCACTAATATTTAATCAGGTGCTAATGGTGTTATAATATTAAAACGCATATCTGTATATGTCGAGAAATCTCACCTATTGATTGATTTATATAGATTCGATTATGCACATGTATACACCATGTGTGCATACCATACGTACGTCGTCTCATGAGTAAGATCTTAAGAAGGCTTTAGAAGGAAAATTTTAGTTAATTGGAGTGGTCTGCTGGTATATGGTCTCCTTAAGGTAAGGCGGTGGATGGGCAAAAAAAAGACTTCTAGCAGCAAGTAGTGAGAATCAGCCATTCGAGTGTTTTGGTGTCTGGGGTGACCTCTATGTTATCTGTACCACTGTTCAAGTTTAGCTATCGACTACAAGGTCATATCAGCCCCTAACGCATATATTTATAACTAAATACAGTCATTCTTAAATATATTATGTCTCATTTGCATATCATTCCCTCAAGTATGGTGTTGCCATATTTAATATTCCTCCATCCCCCTTTATACGTACAAACATACACTCAATAGTCTAAATGAAGGTCAATGGGGTAATTGATATTCTGTTGACATTCATGCATATAAATACATTCTCCCAAAAGAGTTAATGCTAAGTTACTGCTGTACCACCAATCTTGTTATATTTTATACAATAATATGGTTAATATAGAGATAGTAGATTGCAATAAAATTAATGTATTAGAGGTTAATATTCACTCTGCAATTAAGATTGCATAAAGTGTTTTCATTTGTGATTACTCTTCTTTCTACTACAAAATTCATATACAGTAGTAGAAAAAATAACGAAAAATTATCTGCCCCAAAATAATACTTAAAATAATAATTTCTTGAAGAAAATGTCCAAAAAGATTGAACTTGTGAAATAAATTTGCTAAGGTGAAATGTATACTTATTGTTTCTTTTCAGAAGATGGAGTGAAACAATACCAAGCGAGGAATCCTGTTTATAGCAAATTATCACCGAAATTGATTAATTTGGCACCTCAAGACACTAAATATTGGGAAATTGCTGCAAAAGAAGGTAAGTTTTGTTTGTTAATTTATTATTAGCTTTGTACAATTTTTATGGCAAATAGCCTTCTAACTGCATAACATTTTGGGTACGTGAGTGTTAAAAATTTATACTTAAAACTGTCAGTTCATTATGATGGGGAGCTGACCATAAGAGACATGCATCTAAGAGTTTAGTATGATTAGCTTACAGCTCCACCAGAGGAAAGAAAATAAATTAACTCAATATCATCCAAACACTTACTCCCAATAGCAACTGGAGCCTTCTGGTCAAGGCCTTGACTTCTGGTCAAGTCCCATCTGCAGAAAGCTTCCCTTAAATTATAGTCACAAACTATTGAACTAGCAATTTATTTTAATTGTCTATTCTTCCTTATATATGTTTAGCTACTTACTTCCTAATATAATCTACTAGATAATTTACCAAAATACAGCTTTCTACTCCTCTTGTGCATAAAGAAGCTATTCTGATTGAGTCCACTATAGCGTCCACCAAAACCAAATATTATTCTTTCACTTGCTAGTCACAGTAACCCACAACGCTTGAATATATATATATATATATAGACTGGCGTTTTTGAAGATTTTTCAAGGGTCATTTAATGGTCCATGAACCCCCTCCCCAGATGCACATTCTATGTGTCACCAGTGTGTTTCTTGTCTAACACTTCAACCTATAAAAACCAAATGTTTAAAATATTGTAGACCAAGGGATAGGCCAGCAATATCCCTGTGAAGTGGGACCCTCAGGCATGAAGGGTGTGAATGGTCGCTCACACATGCACATCCTATCGAAGCCTGTGAAAGTCTTAAGAAATGTCCACAACAACTGCTTCATGTCCCAACCCACTGAGTGTTTTTGCCCCTGCTCATAAAACTCCAGTAAAAACAGTTTTTGGTTAAAAATATTCCCCTTGTTGGTTTTGCCTCTCCCCCTATTACAAAAAATAAATACATTTGTATCCGAGTTCTAGGCTATTAAATATAATTTCATTTGTTATTTAATATTTATAATTTTTATGCTTCATATTTTTTATTATATATAGATTATGAAGAAAGTGTGCACAAGGGTCCCTTAGATGATCTTTTGACTGTGAGAGAAGACAAGGCGCACAGTGTTGAACACAAACCAGGTATATTAATAGTAATATAATTCCTTTCAAAGAAATATATATTTTTTACGATAATTATATTTGTACAATATAAACTCACTAAAATTGCTTGTTTATTTCTTGTATTTAATATAATTAAATATTTCTGTTTTATTTAAGAGTTTCAAGATTTGCTGTTGCCATCAAATGTGAGTGTACAGCCCAACCGGTTTTTCTTTTATAATAATTATTATTATTACAATGTTTTCTAGAGCAAATTTTCCTAAAACACAAAAACAGACCACAAAAAGAAACAATTTCAGGTTTTAAAATACCTACTTAAATAGAAACAAACAATCCAGCTTTACTAAAGTAAATCTAAAACATTTAATTATATTATTAAGGGCCTGGCAAAAAAATGCAACATGACCTCCAATGAGAAAATATCTTGCGTTGGAATTAAGGAGTGTAAAACGGGTCAAATTAATCAGAACAAGAAGAACGGTACATACTGTCAAAGATCAAACGGGTGAGAAAACATCAAAATTTTCTTATAATTGTAGATAGAATGTTTTTTCGTATTGTTTTTGTTACCTTTTTAAGGGAAATTGGTGTATGCTGCCCAGAAATTGGTCGCACTAGGCCAAAAAGGCAAACATCCAATTCCATCAACATAGTTGAAGAAACTAAAGAAGCATCAAGGAATTTAGATTTATCAAAACTAGGTGATACCTCAAGTAAGTAATTTGTGTAATGTATAACAATTGTGTTTATACATGCATTTTTTGTACATGAACCCTTACGTGAGCTGTGATGTGTTGAAGATTTGTTCATAGCATGATCATTCTAAATCAATCTAATCTGTCTAATTATAGTATTGGGTTGTCCGGAAAATAATGCAGGATTTTAAGTTTTCATTAAAAAAAATCTATATAAAATATTCTGTTTACGTTTACAGGATTACTCATTTGTATGAATGTCAACACTTATTAATCCTCTTCCAAATGATATTGTTTGTTTACCTCTGTAGCATTCCGCTACTTGGAAATAATTCAGTCATCCTTATAATGTCAAAGCGAGAATTTCGTACGATTTTCTTTTACGAGTTTAAACTCGGCCGAAGCGGAGCCCAAACGGCTAGAAACATTAACCAAGTCTGGGGCGAGGGTTGTGTTAATGAGTGCACTGTGCAAAGGTGGTTTAAAAAATTTCGGGAGGGAGATTTCAGCCTTGAAGATGAAGAAGGTCGTGGAAGGCCTTCCTCTCTTAATGATGATGTTCTGCGATCAGTGGTGGAAGAAAACCCCAAAACAACTGTTCGAGAACTTGCAGGGCAACTCAAAGTCAGTAAAACGTCCGTCGCTGACCACCTCAAGGCGATTTCCACACTCATTAAACGATCGCCAAAAAAATCAGCGCTTTGATGTTTGTGCATCACTTCTTTGTCGAAACAAAAATGACCCATTTCTGGCCAGAATTGTTACATGTGACGAAAAGTGGATTCTCTACGATAACACTAGACGTTCTGGACAGTGGCTCGACAAAGGAGAAGCTCCAATACATTTTCCAAAGCCCCCAACTCATCAAAAAAAGGTAATGGTTACGGTATGGTGGGCTTCATTTGGTTTAATACACTACAGCTTCTTAAATCCTGGCGAAACCATCAATGCTGAATCATACTGTAACCAAATTAATACCATGCATCAGAAATTGGCAGTAATGAAGCCCTCTTTGGTCAATCGGAAAGGGCCCATTTTGTTGCATGACAACGCTCGACCACATGTGTCACGTGTAACGTCACAAAAATTATTGGAGCTTGGCTATGAAACTTTGCCTCACCCACCCTACTCTCCGGACCTCTCGCCTACTGACTACCATTTTTTTAGACACCTGGACCACTACTTAGAACACATAATATTCAAAAATCAAACGGAACTGGAAAATGCATTTATTGACTTTATCAATTCTAAAAATTCTGAATTCTACTCAGACGGAATTAATAAGTTACCAACACGTTGGGAGAAATGTATTGAGAGTATGGGAAATTATTTTGATTAAAGAACATTGCTTTAAAGTAACTAGTTTCTTTTTTTTTGTTTAATACCAAAATCCTGCATTATTTTCCGGACAACCCAATACATAATACCATGAGAATGGGCATCAGTGAAAAGACATTTTTAACAACCTCTATAGCTACAATAAACAGAAATAAGTCATTTATATACATACTATAAGGTACCTGGACACGTAGGTCTGGAGGGTACAAAAAGATGGATGAGTGGCTAAGGCCGGGATGACCTAACCTCTGGATAACTACCACAATCCAGCCTCCTGCCAAAAAATGAAATAAAATACATGATTAAAAGAAAATGTCAGTGGGCCGGATCAATAGAGAAGCTCTCGCATATCAAGAGCACTGTCGATAGATGGCTCTCAGAGGAGCTGACTCATAGAAGAAGGGTAATCTTCTCCCAATTAAGTACAGACCATTCAAGGTTGACACTAGAACACTTACTTTTGAAGTAGAAACTCTTACCTTTACATAGAACGGTGCCTGATGTGTCCCACCTAAGTGAAGGGTGCAATCCCTTGTCCCATATAGAGAGCATGTAGGTATGCCACCAATATGAAAATTGCGCTTGATCCCAGCACAGGAGTATCTGGGTCCCCTCTTCCAATTCTTGGAGAAAACGGTGATTTTGTTGTATATAGTAATGATAGTTTTGTCTCCCTAGAGGGTGTTGATAGTGAATGTATTTATTGGCGTGAATGTACAGTGTGAGATTAAGTATCCCATCGACCCTCAATTAGGTTAGTTATATAATAGATGTAAAGGGAACATATATCGTCCCTAACTGAGTGAATGGTATGTAAATAAGTAAAAATTCATTTAAGAGTGAGTGAGAGGGCGAATGAATTTGGATCTGAGTACTGATTACATTGGGGGCTGAAATGACCTAGCTGTTGAAAACCTCTGGAGGCCAACCTCAGACAAATAAGGCTGTCATCTGGCCCTAGTCTACCAACACCTAGGGTGATTCTCAAGGCCTGCCGGTAATGTATCGTAAATTGCAAAAGCCAGTGGACTGCGAGAAGTGATAGGCTCAACTCGGTATACACGTGTGTGTATACATGTATGTGTGTAGATTTCAGCTTATATAAATCAGTAATCATTAATACACATATATAAGTAATCTGGTGGTTTCCGATTTTCCTAGTCTTTATATACGAAAATTCGTTTACATGAAGATGAAGAAATGCCAAAATGCGTCTTATATACCTTACTTTACCTACCTAAGTTCCACTCTTAAGGTGATATTTTGGCAGACCAAGATGATCAGAGAGAACCAAACTGTTTTGGCAACCTCCAGATATCAGAACATAACAGAATTTGTTTAATAGAAGATACAATAATTATAAATTTAACTTAATTATAATTAATTTTTTCCAATAATTATCCTATTTCAACTTTCAAATATACTATTTACCAAATAATTTTTTTTAATCCACCAATCCTTGCTAATAACCAATTATCTTTTTTTATGCACCTTTTGTTAATAAAATAATAACAGTGACAATTATTAACTAAATTGGTCATCTGCCTATTTCATTAGATTTATTAATTTATCAGATTATCATAATCTGAGACAATTTAGCTTCACATAGCAGACCTCACATTCCAAAAGTTACTGTTTATTTAACAAGTTTAAGAACTCATTTTCCCCCTTCAGATTGTGGGTTCAGCAGCAAATCGCTACCAAAAGAAATGAAAAAACACCTTGCAAACATACGAGACTATCCCTGGATTATAGCAGTGATGACCCATGATCTATATCATTACTGTGGTGGAGTTCTTATAAGTCAAAGGCATATCATAACTGCAGCCCACTGCGTGCCCAAGTACTGAAATATCACCTAAAATTCAGCCTTTGAAACAAATTTTGGATTTATAATTTTTGTTTTTGCCAGTGTACGACCTGAAAAGATACTCATCCGCCTTGGAGAATATGACTTCAACAGAGTGAATGACAGCAAAACAGTCGATGTTTCAGTAGAATCAATACAAAGCCATGAAGAATTTGATGGGTCAACGTATGAAAATGACATTGCGCTTATTACACTAAAAGAAAAAGCCAGTTATGACGAATATGTCCACCCGATTTGTTTACCAATGCCTAATGATACTAACTACAAAGTAAACCAAACCACTATAGTTGCAGGTATTTCAGTATATTTTAATTATAAATAAGTATAAAATATTAACGGATTATTAATTTTTAAAGGATGGGGTTCTACTGAATATGGTGGAATTATGAATGATCTTCTTATGGCGGTAGCAGTGCCAATTTGGGACCAGGAACAGTGCTCCTCGAGTTTTTCTCAAACAGTCTTTGATACTATGATGTGTGTGGGCGGTTATGAAGGAGGCAAGGACTCATGTCAGGTATGTTTTGTACTTTATAAGTAAGAAATAGTAAAAAGAGTAACATATATGTAATTCCAGGGTGATTCTGGTGGACCTCTAATCACCCAAAGAGAGGATGGGCGATGGGTATCCTTGGGTGTTGTGTCATGGGGCATCGGGTGTGGTACGAAGGGAAAACCTGGCGTATATACCAGAGTTAACCAATATCTTGATTGGATTGCATCCCATCTAAATTAACTCTGTTCTTATAATTATTATACTATTTAATTATATATCTCTTAAATTATTAAAATCCCTATACTACCTAAACATTATCTATATATAAAAGTGATATACAGGAGAATGTGTGTTAATAATAAAAACAAAAACTACTGAATCGATTTCGATGAAACTTTTACACTTTGTTTTTATTAGTGCCAGGCAAATTTAGAGACTATAAAATGGACATATAACAAGTAATGAGCGCCAGAATTTACAAAAAGAGAAATAACACTTTTTATTATCTCCCTGGGCAACGCTGGGTTATATAAAGAATAAAGAACTGGATGGATAAAAAAAAAATACATTTTAAATTAATATTGTTTTAAAAAAATAAACAGTGGGTGATATAAATAGTTCTGCTATATACCATTTTAAATAGCTTTTGTTTGGAAAAAATAATAATGGAAATTGACAAACTTGAAACCTATTAAACCAAGCAAATAAATTTTATAGCATATTAAAAATTTTGGACTGTTTTTCCACATAATATTATTTGACAGCCATGGATAAAATAAATGAAACAAATAAACACATACAAATAATAAAAAAATTTATTGTTCTTTACAATCACAATTTAAGGCTGAGATAAATAATATGAAAATTCAATAAATTAATGATAACCATGTAACAAATGGAAAACATTTTATACTTGTTAACATAATAGTAAAAATTAATATATACATTTTGATTTCTAATATACATTCTTTGTTAACCTTGCGGAAAGGCACAGAGCTGGAGATACATTCTTTTTTTGTAGGATTCATGTAGTTGATCTATAAATCTTAAACAAAACAATAAAAGTTATTTAAAATATTCTCGAATTTTAACGTTTGTTTGAATTGCGACTTACTTTTGCTCTTCTGGCGTCAAAGTTGGTATTGCCTCGAGTGCTTCATTGAAGAACTTTCTAAAATTAGCAAAAATGTCAATTGAATTTTTTTTTATTTCTTTTGAGTCTCTGAAAATTCTTACTCGGCCTTATCAGTTGTACATTTACTGAGATTGTGGCGAAGCACAGCAATATCGAGCCTCGCTTGTTGAGCTCCTTCCCTAGACATACCAGTTGCGCACAACATCAGGCGTGAAACCTCCTCAGAGACCATTTCCACAATCTGACAGAGAACTGAATCTTTTAGCCAACTGCAGCACCTCTCAAGCTAAACATCAAAAACACAATTGACTTTTGTCCCTAGAAATTTCTTAATGCTCTCAAAATACCTGTGCATGAACTGCTATTATATTGGCGATGATTTCATTTGCATAAGGTCTCACACTGGTCACCTGTAGGTCAGCCGAGTCCCAGTCGAAATGGCCAATGTACATTGAAGGTTCAATCGTACCAACAAGTGGATCACACTTGGCCTCCACATAAGCGTACTCAAGCCGTTGCATTAAAGGTTGTATGAGTGAGTGTGACGCTGTCTTTAATACATTGTCTAGCGAAGGAAGTCCGACAGTTGCAGCCAAAGCACAGACTTTAGGCAAAGTCACCATACTTGAATACTTTACATTGCATATACAAGAAAGGAGCCTTTCTTCCCAACTCTAAATAAAAAAACTAACTAAAATGTCAACTCATTTTATATATTTTTTGTTAATTTCTTTACCAAGGAAGCTTGAGATTGTCTGTATGTTGTTGCTCCCAGCTGAGAAACAGCCATTGACTGTTCCTCCTCGCCATTTGCAGAAAGGCTGTCTATACACTAAAATAAATAAAAATAATTCAAACATTTGAAACATAAATAAATGTGAAAAAATATCTGAAATAAAATATAACACAATTAGAATGTTTTGTTTTTGGGAAAAGAATGTGCTGTTATATATACCGAAAGTATACTTTGGCCTTAGCTTATCACCAACAACAATTAATGATTATTGGTCTTCTAGAAATAAATAAATATAAGTGTAAAATAAGATAAATAATATTAAAAACTTCTCCAAATGGATGGAATCGTGTTTCAGTCATGCCCAATACTTCTGTATTTTTCACCATTTTTAAGAGAAAATTTTAAAAAAAATTAAAGATTTATACTTATGTCTTAAAAATGTAGATGCTGATGATGGGTGTAAATTCCCAAAACTAAATAAATTTTTAAATAAGTAATGAATTTAATTTTTTTTAACTACACAGAATTTTTTTTAAACAAAAACTAAAAAACATTTGAATAGAGGTTTTATTCAATGATTAACATCAAAGAATGGAGCAACAGGCCTCTAGATTGATTATGATGGATTATTAAAAGTGATTATGGTAATAGTTTGCTCTCCTTAATATTAATTAATATGACTAAATTACACCAATAAACAAAGGATAACTGTTACCTCGAAATAATTACTCAAAATGTTAAGAAAAAGTTCTTCTGTTTCCTTAATTATGTGCGAATTGTCAAATAGTTTGGACTCCTTGGGTTCTTTATTAAGTGCTGATTCTTTGAGAACGTTGATTGAACCACTAACTACTCCTTCAAATAAGCCAGGCTGCAACAGATTTCCAATTAGAAAAAATTACATAAAAATGAGTACAGTTTGTTTTACCAATTGAGTTATTAGCCCGTATACAGGATCATGAATTAGTTTCCATTCTTCTTTCTGGCTAAGTTCTTTAATCTGATCAGCGGTGTTCATTAACACACTCTTAACGCATTCCAACCTTAAAAATTTTGTTAAATTTATTGCTTTATACAAACTATTTGAATGTAAATAAATACCTGAAATGGTGGATAAGGCTGTTGAGAGGGTCATGCGGTATTTGATTCAAATGGTTTCCCAGAAGCCTCAAGTGGCGCAGACAATGCGGAAACCAACCCAAGAGCGAATTTTTACCTTGGCCAATAGTACTTCGAATGAGCCTAGCCATTTCCCCGATACAGCCTATAGTGTTTCTCTATAATAGCAATAACAATTTTATTTTTATTTTTGTATTTTAGTTATATTATTAATTTTACCTTAAAATCAGCTTGTTTACTCTGATCTGGTTTTATATAAAGATCACCACTAAAATAAGACTGACCAAGAGACCACAGTTCAGGCACTAGAAGTGATACAATGTCACAAAGGTCCTCAATACAATCAACCCTTTCTGTGACACTAGACTAAAACAAAAATGATCAAGAAAAAATTAAAACTGATAGTGAAAAACTTAAATATTACATAAATTCTTCAAAGTTAAGTTAAAACAACTTAGGAACAATTGTCGATCAAGAGAGCCTATTTTGTATTATTGAACAGTAATTTAAAAGTAAAGAAGTAAATCCTAGATAGTCCAAATTTTACTCCTAACAACTCAGTATACTGATTAATAAAAAATGAAATATTTAACTTCAAACCTGTTTTTCAAGTACTTTGTCTCTTTTGGTGCTGCTTTTCTGTTTTGAATCTGCAAAATTTATTATGAATTTTATTGATAAGTATATGAAAAAAATATTAGTTCATTTTAAAACAAAAAACCAAAAAGATTCTTGCAATTACCGGGAGAATTGAATTTATCCAAGTTGACCATATGAAAACGGTAGCATTCATTCAGTTGTGCAGTAATGTATTTTAAATGGACATTAATCGCTTCCCAGCCAGGATCTCCTTCATATTCTAACTGGACTAAATTTCTGAAAAGAAAAAATGCAATTTTGTTGAACATTTATTAAGGAAAAAATAAAACAATAAAAACCTTATAATCTTCTTTTGATTTTCTAAAGTTGATGGCATTGTATGAAGCTTTGCTTTGAGGACTCCTTTTATTTCATTAACTTTCAGTTTGACTTCTGCCAGAACACTTTTAAATAACTAAAGTGAAAAATAAATTTACAGTAGTGTAAAATAATAGAGCTATTTAATGTAATAAAAACGTACATTAACTTCAGTCTTTCCGAATAAGTTGTTGGCCCTTGAGTAATCACTTATTATAGCGTCGTAATCGCCCCTTTCCATGCTTCTGTCAATTGCAGCAGGTAGGGTAAACAGAAACCTGAATCTTTGAAGAACACCAAGGGCAGATCTGGTCCTTTCGGCTTTTTCTCTCCCTTTGAGCACGCCGTCGAAGAGTATTTTTCCCTGTTCACGACTTTCTGCAATAATTGAGTCAATTAAATGAACTCAATTGGCACTCGACTATCACAAGCTTACTGTTGATTGCATCGATTATTTTGGAAGACCTATCAAGTCCAAACTCATCTATGTCTTTCTGAAAAGCATTTTTTAGGGCTTCAAGAACTTCAAGCTGTTCCATCACTGAAGAAACATTGCCCTGAAAATAATAATTCCAATTTTTTTCTCACAAAAATCAAACTGAACAATAACATACTTTGAGAAATGAGAGCTGCCCTTCTTTATGGCCATCAACTTTGCGTTTTAAGTATGCAAGTCCCACTCTAAGGTCATCAAATGATGTTGACTGATGATACTGCAAAAGAAACCAACCGGGCGAGAACTGCTCTGATGACAAATCACCGTTGCAGCCGGGAAATAACTCAATTAGATCATCCTCTGGCAATTTTTTCGTTCTTAAAACAAAAATTTTAAATTATAAAACTAAAATGTGAGATTTATTGTTGAAGTCTGTGAGGCGATAAACATATAGTTACATTGTTTCTGATCATCCTCGTCTGCCTACCTCACAGTTGGGTATGTCATGAGTAAAATATGCAGAACAACGTGGTTGAAAAAAAGCCAAACTTCAAATCAAATTTATCATTTTATTTTTGCCTCAAAGAAAACTTTTATAGCATTAGTCGTTGCCAATAATTTTTCTTCTACCTACCCTTGCTGTTTTTGTATATCAGATATCCAAAGATAGCAAAAAAAATCTCTGCCTATGTCAAGGATGATCGGAAATAACCAAACAGGTTCATTACCTCAAGAACGAATTTCAATATTCATCTTCAACTTTTTTTAACGGTATTTTGCTTTTACTATTAACCAGATTCCATGTTCATTAATATTTTCAGAATTAAAATAGAAAGAGGGGCAAAAAATTTTATGGGACGGTAGTGGAAATCAAATGCACAACTGCAGGGTCTATGATCGATGGTCTTTCACGTTTATCACCCGGCTACCACGGTCCCCTAATGCATACTTGCAAAGTAAAATACTTTTAACAAGTATGTTCATAAATTTAATAATAAATTAAAACCACCAAAATGCATTTGAACAGCGATGTGAATAGCCTTTTTGGTCAATTTACAAGTAATGGACCACTTAATTGATCTAAGATTTAATAATAAAAAAATATTTAGAAAATTAACAAGTTCAAGAGTAACATTTGAAGGAAAAACATCATTGATGTTCAACCTCTGCAGATTTGACAATTTTCGTTTAACAATTGGCTCCCCCGTCAAAATTAATATCCGTATTCCATCCAAAGACTTTAGATGATTGATATGGAACTGTAATTACTCCTTTTTATAAAATTCAAATTATTTTTTACAAAAAGACCAATTGTATTGGGTTATAAGAAAGGTACAATTCGGTGTGTCTTAAAAATTTACAGAGCTAAAAGTTTTAGGGGTTGCCTTGTTCTTGGGTTACAACCAGTGTTTGAGAAGTTGTGGTGCTAAGTCTGAACAGCTGTTTGGACGAAATAAGTAATAAATGTAAAACATAATAGTATGTTAATTACACAGTTAAAATATATTTGAATAAGACTTTTTTTAAGTTTTTGTTAAAAGAAGTATAATCTTGACATTACAAGTGTAAAACCTTAAACAAGTATAATTTAATTGATTATAATGTTAATTTTCAATCAATATTCTGGATTTTTATTTTAATTTCCTTATAAACAAATCTAGTTCCATAAACTCAAGAGATAAATATGTGGTGCCATTTGAAATTAAAGAGTTAGGTATGATTTTGGAACAAACTGTATAAAAATTACAGATTTGTTTATGTATTCAAACTGTAAGCCAAAAATTAAGGTAGTTACCATTTACAATTTTGTTCTCGCTATTCTTGATTTCCATAAAATGAGTGTGAGATTATTTTTCAGACACCCTGTATTTCATGGTTGTACAAGTTGTATGTATGCAATAAAAATTGTATGATTAATAAGCACTGAGTTGTTGTGTTAGCACTCCTGACTACAAGTTATTGATGACAATAGAAACACTAAATAAATTTTTTACTGAATGTTAAACACATAATTTTTTTATATATAAATTAAAAGGCTGCCAGGCACTAGGGTTATCACCTTAATCTTCTATTATGTGAGAGGGCGAAGAGCCCAGGCAAACCCCCCGCATAAGAGGGCGCGATAAACACCATGCACAGGGCAACCGTGAACCCTGTTTTTATCCCATTTTAGTCATTTTTGAGGGATGTGCATGCCAGTTCCACCATCCACATCCAACTCACATTTGATTTTTCATATAATTGCTTAGTGGTCATAATTGACCATATTAATTATTCAATTAATTATTCTTTTATCTAAGTTTTTGGTTAAGATGAAAAATAAGTGTCACAAGCAGGATTTAAAGCACAACCTTCAGCTCAATAAGCCACCACTCTAACTATTTGATTTAATTTAAAGTAATTTAAATCCCCTCAGAAACAAATTCCTCTTTGAAAATATGGCAAAAAGAGGAAAAATTAGAACGGCTGTAAGTTGAGATGAGGGGGTTCACTAACAGCTCCCACTTCACAAGTTGTTGAAAATCAAATCCTGATTACATGACATTTGAAAATATTGCAAAAAGAGGGAAAATTCGAACGGTTATAGGTTGAGATGAGGAGTTGGTGTCCGAGCAGATCGAAGTCACAATAGCTCAAGTGGTTAGAGCAGCAGCGTTTTGAGCCAAAGGTCATGGGTTCAAATCCTGCTCGTGACACTAAATTTTTCATCTCAACCAAAAACCTTAGCTAAAAAGAATAATTAATTAGAATAATTTATATGGACAATTGTGACCACTAATTTTGGATTAATTTAATTGGAATAATTCTTATATTTTGATAATCCAGTCAGATCTTATGTTAGATACTGACTGATTTTCAGACAAGAAGCAGTCTTAGAATAGATAAAGATTTCATCACTTTGGAAAAGCAATAGCACAAAGAAATTAACATATTTGCATTTCATTTGTAGCAGGGAAAAAGAGAAGCCAGGATGATCAGAGATGATCAACAGGTTCATGACCTCACAGACCTTTCAATTTTCAAAATATTTCAATTTATTCTTAATTTCTTACTCATTGGTTTCAACACTCAGACCCAGCGGATCTTCTGGAGCTCCTTTGTCCCAGACGCTACCACCTATCGGAGTTGCTTCCTCCACCCAGACCGCACTCTCTTTCAGTGGTCCGATCCGTTCGTGGTAGCCTCTAAATTCGACAGTACAGGTTCCAACACCTCCAGACTGTGTTGTCACGATGATTTTGCCTTTACCCTTGCCAGGACCAGACCTAGCGATTATCTTGGTTGGTGATTTCCAATCCGCAGAAAGGACACATTCGCAGCCACATATTTCAACACCTCACAAATTAAATTTTCTGTTCTAATATATTGTATATAAACATAATAATATGATAGTATAACACAATATAATATTGTAAATAAACCAGTTATACCTGGTTAAACAAAATAATTTTGTTTTTTAAATTAGTTTCGACTTACTTATCATATCGTTGGGCTTGGAACCGAGGAATTCACCTCTGATCGTGACCCTGGTTCCTGGTGGGCCTTCTTTCGGCGACACACCCGTCACGACCGGAGGAGGTGCCATCGCTTAGTGTAAAAAGACAAAATAAAAATATTTTCTCTTAATTATTTTCTTATCTGACGACTGACACCCACAAAAACATAAGCGAGATTCGAGAATCGACGAAACTCGAAAGTCACAAGTTTTGTCGATTTAACCATCAAAAACCAAATCGATCCTTCTCGATTGCACTTTGTGTCATTCAATGGTACATTTTTAAATCAAAAACAGTTCTCTCTGTCAGGTAACGTTCATTTTTAATACTACATGCATTTTGGCTAGTTTTTATTTGTTACTAATGTAAAACATAAGATAAAACACAAAACAAAACGTCGTAGCGTCACAAAAGGATGTCCTCAAGGGTCTGTCCTAAGCACTCTCTAGTTTCTTCTGGAGCAAGATCTATGACGCTATACTTAGGAGGCTAAAAGAGGAAGAGGTCAAATTCGCTGCCTCTGTTGATGCCCTAGTCGTGCTGATGCAGGGAGAAACAAATAAGCTATTATTATATCCAAACCCTTGCAAGAATAGGGACTGCTATACCACCTGTGGCATAAGAATCCACACTACCAATGTTCATCCCAGATAGAAGGATAAAAAGAAAATGATGAAACAATGGACACAAACAATCCAAGATCCTCCTCATACGTTAAATGTCAATAAAGCCTTTAAATCCAACTGTTTTTTCCAACTTAATGTTTGGAACTAAAGGCTTTATTGACATTCAACCTATGATAATGGAGTTTCAACGCAAAAGTACAACAAATCTTGAAAAAATCGCTAGATCCTCCTAAAAACTTTAGAAGGAAAGAGGTAAAATAATGCATTAAAGGAAGCCGGAAAAAACTGCAATTCCTGACAGGACACTGCAAACTAAATGGACATATGAAAAAGGTAGGCATAACCCAACACAGCACATGCAGATTCTGCAAAGAAGCAAAGGAGACTCCAACACAACACACCTACTAACAAACTGTGGTTCCTACACAGAAGGAAGTATTTTGGGACATACAATGTAAAAGAGATTGAACCACTGAAACTGGGCTTACTAATCACAAGGGCCTTGATGAACTAGTTTCTCTCACCGGTGTACTATAAGCACTGAATAGGGGATACAATAGCTCTTAAAGGATGCAGTACAATATACACCCTGACATACATCTATCTATAAACCCTACTTTTAAAAAGCACAATCAGAATGGTACCTATTATTCAAATTTAAATCAATCAGCCGAGTGCTAAAGTAAGATACTTGGGGTTGGAAATAGGCAAAATTCTCTGTACCTCAGAGCTTCTAACAAGGGTGAGAGAAAAAAGCAAGATACACATACGCCAAACTCACCGACATTGCCAAATCTACATGGGGATTAAGCTCAAAGGCCCTACGAACCCTAAAAGTGTTTACCTTCCCAGTGCAACTTATGGCTGAGCAGTATGACCTAAGCTGAAAAGAAAGACAAGAAACATTTTGAAACAGAGCCAAAGAGTTACATTGCTGAGGATGACGAAAGCGTACAAAACAACATCACGCATGCACTCCAAATTTTATCTTCTGTTCCTCCTATATTTTGCAGTTAGAGCAACAGAGTAAAGACTAGTTGATTTCAACAATTAGACAGCGTTTGATAGATTTAAGTAAAAATGGTACAGATACGTTCCTGATTTGAGAGAAAGCCCATAGCAACAAAAAGTTCAGTTCTGTTAAAGCAGTAGCCACAGTTACTGACATAATTGCACACACAAATGAATATGCCACAATAAAATGGCAAAAGGAGTACAATACAATTAATACACAAAAAGGTATATGAAAGCATTCAATGAACAATTCTGCCCAAACCATAGTTCAGCAAATTTTTTACTTTGATTGAATCTGAATTTTAACGGATTCAACAGAGTAAGAATATTTGTTGTATTAGGGATTCCAAATGGTAGAAGTATATTCTAGTATAAGCATCACTAATAACATGTAAAGTCAGGGCGACAGTGGCCGCAACGGTTTAGGCGTTGGCACGGCGTTCATCACTGTAAGGTAAAGGTCCCGGGTTCAAATCCAGCGGCCCTGCATTGGAACCCGGCATACTTACAAATGGGCTTTTTTTCAAAAACACCGGCACCCCGAGGGTTGATATAACCTCTGCTGTTGCGAACCCTCGTTAAAAACAATATAAAAAAATAAAAATAACATGTAAAGAGTGGATGGATTGGTAAAACCACGGGTATTTCGGGATAATGAAGCCCAAGGTTTTTAAAGATTTTATGAAAATGAATGATGAGGAACATAACCTCAAAATCACATATGAGACCCTAAAGAGAGAGAAAGAGTTCAGATTGTAAGTATGGAGAAGAGTGTGGAAACGCCAAGAGTAGGTAATGATGGAGTATTTGGAAATAAGAGTACAATTGATTTTGAGAACACCCCTCAGTTAAGGCATAGAGTTTCTTGAAGAAGGGAAAATCATTTAAATGGATTGATATTTTTTAGGTCATCTGCTAATAGGGAAAATGAAACTTTAGTAGGTTTAATATCACTATTAAGAAGTGGTTTCAAAGGAGACCCTTGCAGAACTCCCCAAGTGGGCACAATTTCTTTTGAATTATAGGATTTCACTCAAATTATTTAGGATCTACCAATGCAACCATATTAGATGTTTACCATGAACGTCATAGGATTCAAGTTTGACCAATAAGAGAGCATGGTTGAATGTGCCAGTGGCCTTAAACTTTTACCCGAGGCAATAAACAAAAACTATTATTAAATAAAGGAAACCCTGGGACATATCATAAAATAAAATTGTAAAATCTATAAAATTAATAATAATAAATACTTTTTACAGCTTCCAATTTTTATTGATATTAGAAAATTATACTACAAGAGAAATTGCTTTCTAATATCTATTTATTATGTTTTGGAAAATATTTGAGCAAAAATTTAATCAACTTCATCAACAGTGTACGGTGCAGAATCTCCAGAAGATGCAGTTTGTCCCCCCGCACCGTGTAGCTTTGACATTAAAGGGCTACATAATTTTTGCAATTCTTGCAGCTTCGATTTATATTCTGCTTTTTCTGCCAGTTGGTTGCGGTCGAGCCATTTCATTGCTTCATCACATTTGCTTGTCAGTTTGGATTTGTCCGATTCGTTGAGCTTGTTTCCTGCATCGTCTACAGCTTGTTTGACTCCGAAGATATAAGCCTCAAGCTCGTTTCTCGCTGCTACTCGTGAGCGTTGTTTCTCATCTTCTGCTTTGTACTTCTCAGCATCATGGACCATTCTATCTATCTCTTCTTTGGAAAGACGACCTTTGTCATTCTTTATAACTATATTTTTAGATTTACCCGTACTGTTATCTTTCGCAGAAACGTTTAAAATTCCATTTGCATCTAAATCAAAAGTCACATCAATTTGTGGAACTCCTCTAGGTGCTGGCGGAATGCCTGTGAGGTCAAATGTCCCTAAGAGGTTATTGTCTTTTGTCATAGCTCTCTCGCCCTCAAACACTTGGATCGTGACAGCATTTTGATTATCTGAGTATGTTGTGAATGTTTGAGATTGTTTGCAAGGTATTCTGGCATTCCTGTCGACAATCTTTGCCATTACACCTCCCGCTGTTTCTATGCCTAATGACAGTGGAGTAACATCTACAAGAAGTACATCCTGAATTTGGGAACTCTGATCCCCACTCAAAATGGCCGCTTGAACAGCAGCACCATAAGCGACAGCTTCATCAGGATTTATAGACATATTAAGCCCCTTACCAGAAAAAAAGTTTTGAAGGAGGTTTTGAATTTTTGGTATTCTTGTTGAACCTCCAACTAAAACTACATCGTTGATGGAGCCTTTGTCAAGTTTAGCATCTTTTAAGGCTTTTTCAACTGGAGTCAGGGTTGATCTGAATAAATCTGCACAAAGTTCTTCAAATCTTGCTCTAGAAATTTTTGTATAGAAGTCGACACCGTCATAAAGTGCATCGATTTCTATAGAAGCTTCAGTACTCGATGAAAGAGTTCTTTTTGCTCTTTCTGCTGCAGTCCTCAACCTCCGAATGGCACGGGGATTTGATTTCAGATCCTTTTTATATTTTCTTTTAAATTCTTCTGAAAAATGATTTACTAATCTGTTGTCAAAATCTTCCCCTCCTAGATGAGTGTCACCTGCAGTCGATTTTACCTCGAACAACGACCCTTCGTCTATGGTCAAAATTGAAACATCAAATGTTCCACCTCCCAGATCAAAAATCAAAACATTTCTCTCTCCTTTCAAATTCTTATCTAAACCATAGGCCAATGCAGCAGCCGTAGGTTCATTGATTATTCTTAAAACATTCAAACCTGCTATCGCTCCTGCATCTTTTGTTGCCTGGCGTTGTGAATCATTGAAATAAGCAGGTACAGTTATTACAGCATCTTTCACCTTACTTCCTAAGTAAGCTTCAGCCGTTTCTTTCATTTTGACCAAAACCATCGAGCTGATTTCCTCAGGGGCAAATGTTTTCACAGAGCCTTTATATTCCACTTGAATCTTCGGCTTTGAAGAATCATTCACGACTTTGAAAGGCCAGTGTTTTAAATCCTCCTGAATTTTGGGATCATCGAATCGTCTGCCAATTAACCTTTTAGCATCAAAGACCGAATTGAGAGGGTTCATGGCAACTTGATTTTTAGCCGCATCTCCAATTAGCCTTTCATTGTCAGTAAAAGCGACATAACTAGGTGTAGTTCTATTTCCTTGGTCATTTGCTATAATCTCTACTTTTCCATGCTGCCATACACCCACGCAAGAATATGTCGTTCCCAAATCAATACCAACTGCAGGCATCTTAAAAATTGAAGTTTACTTACCAAATGGTCAGAAAGTCTGATAACGTTAATGCTGCGCAAATAAAACAAAGCAATTCGTATTTGTAAATTCTGCTTAAAAATATGCTAATTGTAAAAAATGAATAATAAACATATGATTTTGATCATATTTAGTATCATATTATGAAAATCAGTACTTCCTCATAGAACTCTCACATTTCTTGTTTAATTCTCGATGCACCAAGTTTTATCTATTACACTCAATTCTAATAGGGGTGTTTTGTTGACATTTCGCCTGGAAAGTTGAGTTTTTTTATGTACTGACTTTGACTAATGACTATGTTATACAAAGCCCAATTTCTTTTACAAAATGTCTAATAAATTACATTCAAGAGTGTGGAATAGTTGATTGTAATGTTTTTACTTTTTGTTTAAAGTATGTAAAATACGTTTTGCCTATGCAAAGTGTTTGCAGTAAATTAACTCTATAAAATAAATAAAAAGGTTTTTAAAAAATTTCAAATAGAATGGTGGCATAGACAAAAGTTGGTTGACATAAAATGCTTGTTTTTAAATACATGTATAAATATGTAAAACTAACTGTATTTTCTACCTTTCACTTGACTTTGACTACAAATTTTGTTTAAAATCATTGTTTTAACCTAATATTGTGAGCAAATAATTTAACAAATTCTTCTTTGACTCTCGACACATTCAAGCCAATTCTTTACACCAACTACAGGGTAAAAAGGCAGAAATCGACCTTCTCTATTGGCGTCCATGTAGCAAGGATCTAACGAACTCACCTAGAATATTCATCTTTCCAACAAGCAGCACTGCAAAGACTTCTCTTCCACCTTCAGTTCACACCTTGTTTGGGAATCCCTTTCTCCAGCTCTTGGCAAAATGTAATTCTCATGTGGGGTACAAAAGGCGGTTGAAGGACAAAAACAGGCTGTCAAACTAGCAAAAAGAAGTAGCTGCCCTTCTTTGAATTGGCACCAGAAATTGGCACTCCCAAAGCATGCTAAAAATAGAACTGAAAAAATGGAGAAAGAAATGCCCACTCTTTGGATAATTTCACCAGGTGCAAAAATCTACCCATCTCTCAGTAGGCAAAATTGAAGAAAAATAATAGGCCTTCATACTGGTTATTTGCCATTTAATTACTACCTCAAAATGTGAAAAACTGAGACAGAAACATGCTAAAATGTGAACACCTCCAATTCTCTCCAAAACCAATTCAACAATAATAAGTTTTGTCTGATGACAATAGTTGAAGTAAAACAAATAACCAATTAATTAAATAAAAGGAAGATCTCTCCAAAAGAATTGATCATGCCACTTGCTTCAGCATGAAAAAAGTTTTTTTTAAAAAGAAGATCACTGCTGTAGTGCTTAATGCTACAAAAAACTAAATGATTTTCTGGTTGATATCAATCTTCCGTAATGTTTGTCCCTTTCAGTGTCTTGATCATAAGAGAATGCCAGCTCCTTCCATTATTTGGAAAGGGGCTTCAGCCGATGATGCCCGAGGTTCCAATTGGAGAATGTCTTTATAAAACGAATTCACCTGGAAACAGCACAGCCTAAAGGATATTTACGCCTAAAGGAATAAGCTACAAGGAACCGCGGAAAGACTAAATTACCTTCAAGGTAGAGCACTTTTCAAAATGTGAAAATAAAGAAGGGTCACACAACAATATTTGGTCGCAGTGGAAGAAAAGAAGACTGTTCACCAGTGACTCCGAAGAAAGGAAAAAAAGGTTCACCTAGAATATCTGTCCAGAATTGGAGGCAGAAACACTGGCATTTTCTTTATATTAGTAAAGAATGATTACAATAATCCTTTATAGAGCATAGTTGTTGATAACTGTTTAAAAGAACTTTATTCTTGTGAAACTTCGATTTGAATATTGAACCAAGAATACCCAGACTTTGTGGTATTCAATTATAAAAGTTTCTTAACATTTTTAAAAAGAAAAGAAAACAGAAATTTGTTATTATGAGTTTTTTTTATTAAAATAGCAAGTTACATTTACAATTTTTACACTCTATTATCACATGTATAGCTAAGCACCTGTGGTTCTTTAGTAACCCAGGGTTGGCTTACAAAATCAGCAGTGCAGGTGTACTTTGTACCAGCCTCGGCATTTTCTGATTCAAAGACAACCGTGTACTTTACTCCGGCTACAACCTGAAAATTTAATTGTGGAGTATTAGTATGTAACAATAATATTATTTATTACTTAACAATAACAGAAAAACAAAGTTCTTTTAAGAATACCACCTTTCCAATGGTAGTGTATAGAAAATAAAATGGCCTTTCATTAAAATATTATAAAACCTTTATTTAAATGTATATTAAAAACAGAAAACTGTTAAAAAATAATAATTAAGAATTGATAACATAAATGGATAAAAACACATTAGTCTTTAAATAGCACTTTAAATATATTTATTTAGATAGAGAGATATTGGGAAAAAGAGCAAGAGCAGAGAAAGAAAAGGAAAGAGTGAAAGAAAGAGAGGGAGAAAGAGAAAGAAAGTAACAGAGAGAGATTAAGAAAGAAAGAAAAAAAAGAAGAGAGATAGAAAGTATTTCCTATAATTAGAGATTGTTCTGAAAAAAGACTGCACCTAGCCGAAGGCCACATCGGTCCCTATGCAAGCACGGGATCATTTTACAAGTAGGAAGACAACCCACTTTCGCCTACGGTGTATTGTGCAATACCATAGGCTTTCGTGCAGAGCCTTTAAAAAGGCTCCCACATTTGTCTCTTACGCCGGGCTCGCATTTATACCGCCCGACCGTTGTTGCAGCCAAAGCTGTGAAGGCAGCTCTATCAAAGCCCCAAGTGGAGGCCACACCCCTGTGCTTCCAACAGGCAGGTCCGCTTTTTTATTTATGTGGAATATTAACCACGCCTAGAGGATAAACTCTCTAGACTACCCTCCAAGAGTCACCACATACTATTATGAATCCAAACCCGATAGCTCGCTATGGGACTCTCTATGTACTTTATACTTTTTTCTCACTATGGGACTAGTTTGTCTAGAGTCTCACCAAACTGCCTACATTTGGAGTGTACGCCTATCACTCGAGGCTGCAGGAAACCTGGAAATCCTCTTTCACCCAAAAGGAGGGAGGGAAGTGTGGTTAATGGAAGAAAAGGATTGAGAATAAAATATACATGATTTGACTGTTTGCAGGTGCAATGTCCTGGAGCATTAGCACCAACCCCCACACCATCCTATAATTAGGCAGTTGTGCAATGTATTACATTAAAATTAACTTACTTGTTTTGTAACTTTCAAGACCTTCGTCACTTTGTCAGAGGAATTCTGTGAAGCCAAAACTTTGGTTAACATTTCTTTGACTTCCACACTGTTCGTGTCGCCTTCTTCTGGTGCTCCGACAAGTCTGACATTCTGAAACAGACAAAAGCAACATATTATTTTCAGTAATAATGTAATTCTAAACAACAAAAAACACATAAGAAAAGATGCATACCATTGCAGAAGCCATGGCTACTGCCAAGAGAACAAAGAAAACGAATTTGATCATAATTATTTTCCTTTAGTAACAACTACCAAGTTCAATCTCAATGTGATAAGCAGTGAATAGAACGTCAGTTTATATAGTTTATCTTATCCACCACTGTGAACTCAAGGCCGACCAATTAGATTAGTCTGAATAAAAGAAAAAAATCATTATAAAGCTATATTTCACGAATTATTATTATTGCGTTGGTTATTATTGTTAGTTTTTCTATTAGATATTAATTTACTCTATATATCATAATACATTACATTCTGTTATTTGTCATGTATCATTAGGGGTTGGTTAAAACTATAGACATCTTAAACTAAAATAACACAAATTCAATTATTTAAATTATTTTTTTATTGCTTTAATTGATATTAATTCTCACACTTCGCTTAGTAAGAAAAACCATGATATCTCAAGGTTTACATTATGAAAAGTAAAGTACTAAAAAATATTTAAACAATAAAAAACTTTCTCATTAAAAAAAGAGTTGTTTATTAATATGATAAATTGAACATTAGCATATTTAAGAGCATTACAGTTTTCATCCAGTGCAATTTTTCACCACCTTTTCACCTCAAATACATTTCAATTAATATTTTTTCGGTATTTTTTCCATTGAGCAGTAGTGCTGTTCCTAGATAGCAGTTTACAACTTTTTTTTAACTGGGCAACCAAAATTTATATCCATAAATAGAGCTTCCATATCCACATTTAGTTTTGCAATAATATCGGGCTCATATCCAGCAAGCTGCACAATGTTGAACCGGCAAATGGCCACTTACTAGGTCTGCCTCCACTCGCGGGTTTTTTGTTTGAGTTATTCAAATATGTTTCGGCATTGCACCATCTTCAGTGAGAAACTGAACAGTGAAGATGGCATAATGCCGAAACACGTTTGAAAACAAAAAAACCGCAAGTGGAGACAGACCCCGTAATGGCTGTATGCCGGTTCAACATGATTCACCAATTCGCAGACCAAAACCCATCATCTACTATAAACTGCACAATGTTCAATTCGTCAAATTTTGTTGTTTTTTTTTGCATACTCTGGCAAGTTAGCATGATCATAACTTTGCTCATAATGATTTCTGAGACTAACAAACATGCTAAAAATATACAATATGCTACAACTGGCCCTGACATAAAAACTTGCACTAACTTGGAAAAGAGTAAAAATTACTCTTATCTATACATTGTTTATTTTTTATTATATTTATATAGTTCGTTTGAAAGGATTGGGCCTCAAAGGAAGAAAACACTCAATTCTCTGTTGTCAAGCTTTTGTTTTTATTATTTATTTATATTTCTTCATTATTTCTTGGCCAATATTGAACGTGGGTAAACAAATTTACTTTACTATTTTACTGTGACATTTCGGCATATTGTGCCATCGTCCAAACAGTTTATTTCTGAAAACTTGAGTTTACACAAATGAAATTAATTTAAAACATTTTATTTATTTTTATTTGCAGTATGTTACTACATGTCTTTTTACTGGTCTTCCGATTTTATGTTTTATGTTATGTTGCAAGAGTATCAGGGAGGAGGCCAATGAATAAGGGAAAAAAGATGAAACAGCAGTTCTTTCTTTTTGAAAAAAAATATTTTTCGCATAAAATGCAACATATAAATCTTTAAATTATTAATTATAAATATATTGTATCATCAAATAATTAAAACTAACACACACCAATCCACATAATTTAATAGAATAGTAATAAATAGAATAGTAGTAAACTTTTGTAAAAATTTATCATCTAGTTCTATCAGATTATTGTTAAACTAAATCACACATTTCTGAGAATTCTTCATAAAAACAATAAATATTGCATTAACAGTTGCAAATAAGTTATCCATGAGGGGACTGCAGAGGCCGAATGGTTAGTGTGTCCAACACATAGTTACCATGCTGGTGGTTCTGGGTTCAAATCCCAGCAGAGCTCATGGCTTTTTGATTGATAATGGTATGAAAAATGTATTGCAAAGTGGTTTGACCCCTTGTCAACGACACCTAACAGGTAGTTGGACGTTAAATCTGTTAAGCATCCCTGTATGACAGAAATTATTGTACTTTTTTTATCCATGACGGCAGTAAAATTTACTTTTGCTAGACTTGCAGAAACCCAAAAAGGCTAAATCTTACCTAAAAAAGAAAAGGGGTTCTGAAAAGTTGAATGGTATGGGTAACTTTTACCTTTCTTGGGGCTAGAGGGTGAATTTTAAAATGATTTTACAAATATGGACTCTTCCAAAATGCAGTAAGGATCAATAATAGGAAATTGTTTATTTTATAGATTTTTTAATGTTATTTATCAACATGGTTACTGATAATCCTTGGCCTATTTTTATTTGATTTTTTTGCATTTGAAATCTAACATTAATCACTAATCTCCATTACATCATTCTATTAAATTAACATTCCATAGGACTGTAACATAATTGTAAATGTTGTCCTGATGAATCACGTGTTCAGATGTAGCATGTAAAATTAAGGCTCATTTTTAATATTTGCAATCCGTCAAAGCAGGTAATTTACAGAGGGGTTTGTTTTTGTCAAATTCATTGAAATTATTTATCTAAACTTCTTAATTAATCTCCTTGCATATATCTTAATGGTTCTGATTAAATCCAACAATAACAACAGTCAACATTAGTATTGACTTGACGTCATCTAATGCTTGAAGCATATTTGAAAAATTAAAGAAAAAACACATTTGCATAATGTAATCTGTTACTGCTTAATTAACAATATAATTCAATAATTATACTATTCTAATTATTATTGCCTATGGACAGGGTTTTGTTTTATGTTAATTTAAATCTACTTAAAAATAGAACTTTGTTTTTAATTATATAACATATGTTATATATGTTTCTATTTTCATACAAGAGCATTTTACAGAGTTGGTTGTCTCTTGATTTGTTTCTTCTTAAACGAATAGGATTTAGAATTAAAGATAACATTGAAGCTGATCAGATTAGATTTTTCATTTAAGATGAAAGAGAATTAAATGAAAAATCGGAACAAATATTACAAAGTTTGTTGCTAATTTAATAACAGTAGTTCAATCACTATCTAAAATTTCACTTTTACATTTTTTTTTTTTTTTAATTTACTTTCATGATTCTTAAAAGAATGTTACTTTGGCTAAGAGGCCCTCCAAAAGTATTTATCACTTTAATTAAAACTCAATTGCCTGTCTACTAGCACTCGAACTGCAGTAAACAGGCTATCTTTAAAAAAAAATCAAGTAATATTTTTGTGCCATGTGAAAAAATTTGTCTACCCGTTATTACTGCTTTTACGAAGTTACCTGTTGGAACTGTTCCAAATTTTCTAAGATCAAAACCTAATGTCTAATTTTTTTTGTTATAGTCAGCCATAAAAGTGACCACAAAATACCTTCTGACCTAATATTATGTCATTATCTTTCATCCCAATAATAAAAAAATTAAAAATAATAATCAAGATGAAAGATAGTTAATAGGAAAAAACAAGCTTGTTAGTCTCGGTTTAAATTTTAAACAGAAAATTGTTTAAATCTGAAAAATTTCTGAAATCACTAAACACAATATATAAATTTTGATTTCAAATTTAATTTTTTCAAAGTAATTTTTTTTCACAAATAAAACTGTGCTAAATATTTCAATTTAATCTTACTTTTGCTATATCTCACAGTATATTTTCTATAAGGTTGTGTTATAAAATTATCACTCTTGACCCCTTAATTTGTTCTGTTTATTGGTTTCATGCATTCCAATATGATGAACAGTCATTTCATCTATTCCAACAATAATGAAAAAAAAATTGCAATTGTAATAATTATGATGAAAGAAAATGAGGAGATGCAGATGAGCTAAAGACAAAATCTGTTTCTTCTTGCCAAGCTTTCGGAATATATTATTCCATCATCAGGGCCTAAATCAGTGAGAATAATATATTCCCAAAGCATGGCAAGAATGTATTTTATTCGATGACCTCACCTAGAGCTCATCTTTTTCTTTCATAGAGTAGGAGATCATCCTTCAATATTTAATTTATAATATTTCAAATTCATTTGCACTTATGTTATCATTAAGTACAAGTATAATTATAATAAATTGTATTCATCCAGGACTTGTCAATGGTTTTGAACCCTTTTCCCAGTCATCCTGTTTGACCTACTAAATATCCCTGTAAACAAATTACGCCATCCCTGGACATCATGCAAATGAGAGAATATTTTCGTTAGTAGCTCAGCAGACAAAACAACGTAAGGAAAACATCGTTCAACGCAAATTAAATTATAAAATGACGTGTTTGAAATTTTGCAAGTATGTTGTGGGAAAACCGGAGCTGGTGAAACATGTGAAGGCGTCTGAAAAAATTAAGAACAATTAGTGTTATCAGTTTTACTTCTCTACTAACTTTTAATCATTTACATCAATTACTATTCATACATGAGGAAAGTTAAAATACTATTATTATTTTTCTTAATAATTAATTTTATATTACAAGTTAAACCTGAACTATTATGGCAACCCGGCATGGCAAGTGGCCGGAGTTATTAGTTGTTTTTTTTTGTTTTTTTTTATGTTTTACTATGATTAAAAAACAAACATCCCTTCATTTATGTACAAACAAATGTATAAGTCTAATTCAACTTGGAGAAGGAAGCATTTGTTAAAATGGTGTTATAATGCTTCTGAGGATGAGTTCTTCTAAGGATTAGTTAAGTTCATCAATGCTTTCTTCCACAAGTTTGATGTAAAAAACACACCCAAAAAACAAGGACACAACAAGTAAATAAAAATATATAAAAGTCTTATTGTTTTAAAAGTGAAAACATACTATTATGCAATTTAGGATAATATCTAAAAAGAGACATAAGGTCATAATATATATATAATATAATAAAACTTTATTTAAAGAAAATAATGGAATGTTTATGATCTAAAAAATTAATAAATTTTGAAAGGCTTAAATAAATTCAACAATTTTTGTTCGACTTTTTTTTAACTTTACATAATAGATTATATAATTTATCACTCATATTAGTTTAATTGATATCATTGATTATTTCATATATATGATATTTTGATGATACTATTAAAGATTTTGTAAAGAAAAAATTTACACCAAACCACTGACTGTAAAACATTTAACAATCTATTCATAATTCTAATAAGGATATGTTAAAACAATAAAATATGTATATTTAAAAAACATATTGGTAACTGGTACAAAAGAAATTTGAAAAAAATTCCAAAAATGAAATACATAATTTATCTAGCTAGAAATGATTTTATAATGTGCTGACAACAGGTTTTTACTTAAAAGAACAAGACAGGAGTGGTCAACTGGGTCCTTGAAGTGGTTTAGCACCTTGATAGACGTATAAATACACCTGATTCAACTTGTTTTCGAGCAGTTTCTTTTTCCTGGCACTAACGGTTATTTGAATTCTTCAACCATATTCAAAATGTTCTCTTTCAAGCTGTTTGCTCTTATTGCACTTTTCACACTTGCATATGCTTCGGTAAAATAAATATTTTTCACCTATTTTCACAATAAATGGCAGGAATTTTTCTTTGTTTAATCATGTGTTGATTAATTACAGCCAAATCAAACTAAAGGATTTATTTATGTTTTGTCTGTTATGCGAGAATTAGAAAAACTATAACCACATTCTGTATTAATTTTTATTTAAAATTTACTTCATCCCCTTATTTCTATTTTCAGTGCCCAGGATGCCCAGAGAAGCAAGACTCTAATTTACCAGAAGTCAAAAAACACTTGGAGCATATTGTGAAAAAAGAAATGGACTCTAATGTACTTTTCAACGTTGTATCTGTTACAACTCAAGTAAGTAGTTATTTATTCTGATTGTGCACTTATTCATTTGTAATCCACTAATTTATTTACTTACGAATTTTAATTAATGGCTTAAGCTTTTTACATAAACAAAAAAGAAAAAATAGGCAGTTTCTAATACAAACTCATAGATAAAACTAAGCATAAGTTAAATAAAAATAATAATTGAACAATACTATAATGAACAAAATTGCAAACAAAATGAACAAATGAGATTAATTATATGAATCTAAACAAAAATATATAACATTATACCACGTTTTAAAATATTTAAAGAAGTATGAAAAATATCGGCGTCACCAAGCAGTTTATTAGATATTTGAATTTTGTCTATTGGATTATGATTAGTGTAATTAGTACTGTAATAATGAGGGAAGAAAGAATTTAGATTTTAAAGATTAGCTGCAGGGAACATTGAAAGTAATTCTAAACAATCTATTAAATTATGTATTAATTTGAATAAGAAAATAACATCACATTTATTTCTCCTAGAAGCTAGTGTTTCTAAATTGCAAAGGGAACGTATTGACTCATAATCTATTTTAAAATAGCAATTTTCCAAATTTCCACTATTTTTAAAAATATCTATTTAATGAATTTATGTAGAACTTTTTACCGAGAATATTTGAGAGTTATTAAATGAGAATATCAAACTGTTGAGCAATATTCTAAAAAGGACAGGTCTAAAGATGTACAAAGTATTATTATCATAGTTGATTTTTGAAACCTCTACAAGTTCAAATAATAAAATCTAGGCAACTTATTAACTTTTATTATGGATGAAATCTGTATGATTTGAAAAAGATAAGTGATTATTAAAGATTATACCAATACCTGTTTATTTAAGTTCTAGGATGTTGGAATACAGAATGAACATTATTCACATTGATTTTTAAGCCATTGTCAGCACACCACAGGCTAAAATGAGTTAAATTTTCTTGAAGATTTAATTGAGTGAGATTTTTATATCATCTGTGAGGAGTAAGCAATTCAGATCGTACAAAAGCATCTATAATATCATTTACATAAATGACAAAAAAAAAATAAAGGACTGAAGTGTGACCCTTGATGTACACCACTGGCAGCTTCAAATTGATTAAAGTAAAATTATTTATGAAGACTAGACTCTGTCTGTTAAATAGCTTTATTTTTTATGTCAAGAGAGGTTGCTATTCCATAAAGAATGAATTAAATAGTCAATCGTTAAATAGTTAATAGTTAATAAATTGAACCAATTTTCCTAATTTTAACTTAATTTACCTTATTTACTTTAATTCAACTTCAATAAAACTTTTTGTTTTTTTTATGTACCGCCGAAGCGAGTACAATATTTTATTTATTTACTACAGACAATAATGATTTTTTAATATGGATTATAAGAAGATAAAGAAAGATTATAATGATTGATATTACATTGACATACTTGTCAGCTATATAATTGTGAATTGCCTTACAAGATAAGGTAAATAGCATAGCTTGCTATGACTCAATGATGATGAATCAATGATTTAATCCGAGCCAGGCTGACACACGGACACTTACTTTTAGACCAAAGTTCGTGTATGTGTCCGATGTAGAATATGGTTGCTTCATGTGTCCCACTTAATTGTATGGTGCACTTCTTGGCTCCATATAGGGAGTGTATTTTAACCGATATGAGAATTATGCTTGAGCACGGCAGCAAGTATTTGGTTCTGATTTTTAGAGGAAACAGTACTGTTTTATCTTTGACTTATTTGATGATGTAGATTGTAATAAAATCGTTCTTTTTTTGTTTGTCTTTCCACAATTTGTTTCCACAAATCTCAAGTACTGTGTTACTGTATATAGTACTTCCTTTGTACATATTTTGTTTTGTGTTTCTTAGTGTATATTGAGACTGAATGTATTTATTAGCATGAATATTGAGAGGGCCGATGGTGGAATATTGAGTACCCTACCTGCCCTCAGTTAGATTATTTATATAAAGAGTGGTGGAGGAATAACGGGTACTCCAACACACTAACTAAGTGAATGGTATGTAAATAGGAACGCATGTGTCTGAGAATGTGAAGGTTTGGATTTGGAGACTGCGTTGGAAGCTGAAATGACTTAATTGTTGATAGCCGCTAGAGCCCGACCTTGTTGGCTGGATGAATAAGACCGAGGTCTGCCCACAGACTGCCAATGCCCAGGGTGGGTGGTTCTTGACGTCTGCTTGTAATTTTTAAATGACATACTTGAATTCCAGTGAACTGTGAGAAGTGATAGGATGAAGTCATGTATATATGAGCTTACATAAATCAGTGATCACTATTCAGTACAGCACCTTCCAATTAATTAACTAAAATGTATTTTTAGTTTCATTACCTAAATTAAAATTAATTATTTATATATTTTTTACAGGTTGTAGCTGGGATCAAATATACCGTTGAGTTTGAAACAGAAGATCCAAACACCCATGTGAAAAACGAATGTAAAGTAGTTTATGTAGTCCAAAGTTGGATTACCGAACTTCCAAATGTTCTCAACTTAACTTGTAATAAAATGTAATTAAAATAGATAAAACACAAAATAAACACTTTTGTTTATTTGATATAATTCAGGTGAAATGCTTTTTTTTAATAACTTTTCAATAAGTTCTGCCATATTCCCTGGTGTTGTCAGAAGGATAATAAAAATGTTATTTATCTTCTTTTTTTTGTGTAAATCCTGGTGCTCATTATTTGTTACAGGATCATTTTATAGACCCACCTGGCACCAATTTGCAATTCACACAAAGTGTGAAAGTTTTCGTTTTTATGGTTAACTCACAACCACACAAACATTCACTTTTATATATATAAACATATTTTAACAAACCAATTAAAATGTTTGCTATAATATGCTATATAAATATGAATTACTTTACAAAAAAATTAATATAAATTATAGAGTTTTTTCTGCTATCATCATGCAAAACAGTCAGAGATTGTAGAGTAAAAAAATATAAATTTCTAAAGATATCCAATATATTCTAACAAAATTACAATTGTACCCTACCAAATAAATAATGCATCTAGTTTCAAAGCAATATATTCAATTTAATAAGCATTTCACAAAAACAAATACACATTATTAAAAAAAGGATATCAGTTTCTGTTTTCGAAAGCTTCTTCTAAATATGGTTCTGCAATTATCAAAGCAGTCATCGATTTAATTAAAGGGTCTCTAATAGATGGACTGCCGTACTTCTTCAAAGCCCATTGTAAAGATTTCAATAGCATTTGATAGGATAGTTCATCTGCATTTTGAACATCACCAGCTTCTGGTGATAAAATGTACATCATCATTTGTGCAGTTACAACTGTAGGATTACTTTTAGGTAATTTTCTTTGTATTTCCTTGACATCAGGTAAAGGGGAGAGATTTAACCCTACAGCATTGTTGAGCTCTTTTTCTAAACTCAGTAATATTTTGAGTAGAATTTTATCAAAACTGAGTTTTGAAGGCCCGCTATACTTTGAAAGCGCCCACTTCAGTGTTTCTTTAAACATCTTGTTGCACAAATGTGGAACATACGATTCTGGCTTAAAATCCTTAGCCAGGTTATGTGCTGTGTCGAGGATTGCATTTGTTTTGACCCCTTGTTTGAATTTAGATAACTCTAACTTCGGTGAATATTTTTTTCGTGAAGTGTGCTTAGGAATTTTAACTCGAGAAGCAGCTGCAAGTTCAGGTTCCCACCTGGTTAAAGCACGCATCATTGTCTCTGATGGCGAAAGCCACGAAGGCCCGCTGAATTGAGAGATGGCCCAGTCCAAAGTCTTTTGCAGATAGATATCAGTCCCTCGGACATTGTATGCACCATTTGAATGTTTCATAAGAATTGTATGGGCAGCTTCAAGTACAGGATTTGTTAACGCATTGAATTCTGCTTCGAGTAAATTAAGCAGAGGTTGTTCTTCATTAGTTGCTGTTGAAAGTTGAGGATCTGTATCTTCATATTCTTCTTCTGATTTAGGAGCCATGAATTCATTTGCATTTTCATCACCATAAGAAAAGTCTTGAAAGTCTCCTTCAGTTTGAGGCACTTCATCTCTCTGGCAAAAGTCTTCTTCATAAGTTTCCTTTCCAACATTATCAAAATCTTGTGATTCCATTTGCAAATGGTTCATTCTCTTATGTGTACCCGGTTCGGCTGAATATTCTTGTAAAGATTCATCCTCTGATGCAATATAAACATCTTCTTTATTATCATCAGTATACTTATCTACATCATCACTCATTTCTTCCTCAGGAATACGAAATGCCAATCGGGCCAAATCACGAATGTTTTTAAAGACATCGCCTTTCATTTTTGACTTATCTTTAGGCTGATATGAATCTATATGGTCCACAGTATGAAGCATCCGAAACCAAGGCTCTAAAGCTTTATTTGGTTCCATTGCATGTTCATGATGGTAAACACCTCCTTCAACATCCTCTGCATTTTCCTGCATTTTTCTATTTTGATGCCTACTTGGAGAGGTAACTTGTTTCGGGGAAGCTTGAGGACTTGATTTTTGTCTTGAGTTGGGTGACCTTTGGCATACTCTCGGTGAATTTTCATATTCAAGGCTTACATCTCTTCTATTAGGGGATAATCTAGGGGATGATTGATGAGAGACGGCTTGTTCACGTACTGCTCTTTGTGGTTTTTCATTTTTAACACATGCATCTACTCTATTCGGTGATAGCCGAGGCGACATGTCTTGCCGTGTTGACCTCGGTGATTTTTCTTGGATTTTTCTCGGCGATGTCTCATCTTTATTTAAATTGTCTCTATGAGGAGATAAATGAGGAGATGACCGAGGAGTTTGAGGAGATGATCGAGGAGTTTGAGGAGATGACCGAGGAGTTTGAGGAGATGACCGAGGAGTTCGAGGAGATAAACGTTGTCTTGTTGATCTTGGTGTAATATCTTGAAATCCTTTTGGGGTTGTCTCATCTTCAAGGTACACCTCTCCTATAAAGGGTGTCGAATGAGGAGACACCCTTTGTCGTGGTGATCTCGGCGTCATCTCCTGGAATTCTCTTGGGGTTTTCTCATCATGAAGGTACACAACTCCTCTCTGGGGTGTAGATAATTGAAAGTTTCCTTCGGCACTCATTGTTGAAGTTATTTGCAAGCAGAAGGACTGACCGTTTTAGATAAACGCTTCTTTAATACTTCTTGACGTATCTTACAGCCTTTTTGTTCATTTGCATTTTCCTTTGATTCACTTGTGGTGTTTCCCCTTCACTGTCAGATAAAGATGCAAATGGACTTATGTCCAAATTTAATTAATGCCTACTGTTAAAGTCTATAGGATTCTACTGACATATATAATTTGTGTAAATTAAAATCAGTGTTTATATTGTGTGTGTTAATCTATACTATAGTAATGTGAAGTCCGAGCCTTGATCATATGTATTATTTATATAAAAAAGAAAGTATTTAACATGCATTTAACATAATTTTGTTATAAATAGGAACACAATTCTGGCCTTTTTTTTTTTTTTTTTTTTTTTATTAAATACAACTTATAAAATAAAAACATTATTCCTGTATGTAAAAATTATGAATCTTGCTCAGAGACTGATACCCTTTTAACAAATATGATATGCATTTTAAAAGGATATATTCTGAAATTGATAATTCCATAATAAAAAGGAATCTATATGCCAATAAAACTGTTTATACTTTGAAATATACCAAATTTTCCATCATCAATGTGGGTGACAAGTTTTTCTTACATTATGTTTTATAATATTCATTGACATAATAGTATTAAAAGCATAGCAAAAAAAATTCCAAAAGTTGTACAAAAAGTTGACAAATCTATGCCATTTGTAATTAAAAACAAAATCAGATGGTGTAAACAAGTGCTGTACTATTAGTTTTTAGAAGTAGACTACACCGTTATGGACAAATTTTTGTGCATGAGAAATTAGCCAATTATCTCAGTTTTTGAAGTTTCTAGTCAAGGTTCCACATTTAAACAACCATATTTGCAAAGAGAAACTTGCATTAATATTGTGACGGGCTGTTAGCGTTTTTGAACAAGGTTGCAGAAGAATCAGTAAAAACTTCACAATCAAGCTTTCTTCCTGCAAAAACTGAGATCAAATTTGAGAATAAATTCCAAATGATCTTTAGATATCATCTGATAGTACTGAGAAAGGTTCAGGTTGACAGTCAGATTGACTTGGCATCAAAGTTAACAAAATATCTTCTACACTTTCTGTAATGCGAGTTGACCGAGGTGAAGATGGTTTATGCATGTCTTCAAATCTGTCAGTCAACAACTGAATTATTTTCTTTACATCCTGCGATTTTCTATCGGGTTTTCTACGATTGTCAACCTGTGAAAACATAGTCCAAGGATCATTGTGTACATCTATACATAAGCAAGGTTTTTTTGTTTCTTGGATCTCTAAGTCACAATATGCTTTAAAAGTGGGAATTGTATTGATTTCAGGATGCAAGTCAATATCATGAGATCTCTTTGAATCAAAATAATCGTTCAACAGGTTCAACATATCAGTCTCTTTGTCACTTATGCATTCTTCACAAGAACTGAGATAAGAAGTTAAAGTCTTTGGGTTTTTTAAGTAAAACGCTTTGGCTTTTTTACTTTGGAAAGGAAAAATATCTTCAAATTCTAAATGGCATGAGCTCCACTTCTTTGAAACTGAATAAAGCTTATTTGACTTTGGTTCTGATCGATTATTTATGTTTGTACCAACTTTATTTAATTTTGTTTGGGTATCAAGTGTGAATATCTTCTCATCCCAAAATTTCAAATGGTATAGTATGTTTTGTCTGCATTGCTCAATTTTTTTGATAAAGGACGCACAACGAGGGAAATCTTTTCCCCTTGAAAATTCACCTTCAGAGTGATTTTTCTGTGAAATTTCTACCTTTTTTGTGTCTGAATCGCGCCCAATCTGCTTGACTGTTTTTACTGATGAGGTACAACTTTTTGGAATACATATTTGAGCTTTTGACGCATCTATACTGCCTTCAAATCTCTGGGTAGTAAGAGATGAAATGGGTTTAAATGACTCTTCACTATATGATTTTTTACATTTAAAACCTTTAGTACACTTACATCTGCTTGCCTTTTTTAAACAAACTTGCTCTTTCGATTGCGATCGAGATAAGATCGCGCCTTCTTTTGTCGAGGTTTCTTGTGCCAAATTCCTGAGCAAGCGAAGCCTTGTGTTTAACTTTTGAGTTTCAATTTGTATAACCCTGTTATATACAGAGCTAAAAGAAGCATTTTTACTGTGAATGTCACCTTTGCTTAACTGTTCTCTTGCTAATTTTCTAGGACCTCCAATTTCACATGAGGACATGTTTTATGTATTGTTGATGACTGAACTTTTTCTTTTTCAATTTATGGTAAATCTATTGTGCCGGCATTGTAAATTTGTGATTTATAAGTTTGTTGTTTGTTTGTTTTTTATAAGCAAACATATGATAAAAACCCAATAGTCATTCATTGCCTGCCATATAAAATAGCAATAATATCACAATAAAATTTCTTACAATTAAATCCTAGGGTGAAAAGCTAAAGGGTTTTAATTTTTTTCAACACAACTGAATTCAGTATGTTATTGTAAATAATTCTATTCATAGCATGAAACATTTACACAGAAAAAATCCATATATCATGAGAAGTTTTAACAGTAAATTCGGGTTAGGTACTACAACCCTTTCATTTTGAAATGATCAAATATATGAATTTTCAGTATAGTAGTAACGCTGAACTTGGAGTCTGCTTCAACTCGACATTTTTAATTAACATTTCTATTTTTTTTTTTTTTTTTTTTTTAATGATGATGATTTACAATTATGGGTGGCCCCTTCCCCACCAATGATGGTCCGAATTTTACAAATTTAGCGTTTGTAATTGATTGAAAATAAATTGAATGTATACTAAAATGTTGGTTTAGGAAGAATATTATTCTTTATGTACAATTAGTGTATTGAGACTATGTTTGGATAATTCTCTCATATCTTTGAAATAAGCCAATAAATTAAAAAATACTGTGTTTTATTTTACATTACTAAATAAATGCTTTATTTTTTTAAAATAAATTAAAATTAATATAAAAGGCAATAGAAATATTTACAATGAATATTAATTTATTTATTTTTCATATAAATTACCGCGTTAAGTGTTAAGAATTGTCAATAATTTGTTTTAAAGCCCAACTTAAGTAGCAACTTAAAAAATGGTGTTTGCTTAAAATTTTGAAGAAAAAAAATGGTAACTATTTAACTAAATCAGTATGGCTAATAAACATAAAAGCACACAAAAGTCTCAGTACATTTTCCCTTCTATCATGCCACAGAATACAAATAATGAAATCTAAACTCAAGATTTTTCAACATTCATGATTTTTCAGAATATATTATTTCTGTCACAGATATTGCTCAGGAAAAAAATGTATAGCACTGAAAAAATAATTACCCACGCTTGGATTGTTATTTTTTTCTTTGAAATCCACTTAAAAAATGTCTAAAAGTTTTAATAACAAACTATCCTGTTTTATTGCCTAAACTAACCCCCTGTGCGGTTAAAGGCAAAAGTCTTCACTGTCGATCTTTCTTCAGCCTCTTTATAGTTTTCCTTTAACAAAGGCCAGTTAAATACTTTTATTATCTTTCTCTTTTTTCTCTTTTTTTTAATTATTGCTCTCTTTATCGCTGTACAATTTTATAATACAAAAACATAAGGGAAGTAACAGTAAGGGACGGACGAAAATGGACTAGTTCCTAGTCTCAGGCGCTAATCCAGTTCGGTGTCCATTACAATCGGAGAGGCTGGGTTACTCCCAGATGCTCCTGGCCTGCTCGACCTCCCTCGGCTCGACTCTCCCTGTTGTTGCCTTTGTCCTGGCCTTGCTCTCTGCCCACCAGTAAACGCCACATCCTCATCGTCTGACGTTGTATAATCATCAATTGACTGTACCAAAGATTGGAAAAGGTCACCTGAAAATATTTATAAAGATCTTTAAAAAAAAGTTTGATAAAAATCTGAGCAACTAAATGTAAATTTAATTCCACGATATCTCAGGTGGTAGAGCAGTGGCGTATTTAGCTGAAGGTCGTGAGTTTGAATCCCGTTCATGGTACTGGCTTTTTTTATTTCAACCAGTACCTTACATAAAGATTAATTAACTGCAAATTTAATGATTTTGAAGTGAAATGTCTTTAAAATCATATTGAAACATATGGGTACCAGAACAGTTATACAGCAATGAAAAGATGTGTATCAACTTGCCATAAGCAGGGAACACATTTATCGGACGCAACACAACGCGACATGACCCGACACCTTGTCTCGTTTTGGTAGGGTGCGCACATCTATTTGACGTAAAGCCACAGACAGTCACACAGCATGTATCACAAATCAGTATCACAGTCACAATGTCTCTTTTGCTCTTAACGCATTATTATGGGCTAACTGTGTAACAAATTGTTAGTTAAATTTGATGAGTAAAACCATATAATAAATTGTCAGTTAAATTCATTCTATCAATAAATGGTTTTCCGGTGTTTCAATAAAGTCTGCCAAACCGTTATAATTAAATAATTTTTATAAAACTCATTAATTTTTGATCTTGTTTAATATGGTTTATATTAAAATAAGCATGTTGTAATTAATATAATGACAAAAATATTTATAGTTTGAAATAAAAATTTCAGTGTCCTGTCCTTTTGACTTCAACTGTACTCGAAAATCAGACAGTGGGGAACTTTGTTGAATCACATAGCGTAGAGTAGGGTAGCGCTGCGTGACATCAGGAAGATATTCACGGAGGTAATACAATCATATGGAAAATTGAATATTGGATTTGCATTGGGTGACTTCGGGTCATGTCTCATTGCGTTGCATCGAGTGTGTTCCCCACTTTATTCATGTATTTGTGTATTATGTTTATAAAGATTGATTGATTTAAGTAATAATAAATGTATTTTGGGCAATATTTCCTTATAAAAGTAAACACGTAAAAAACTGTAGACATTTAATATGGCAGCCTCAGCCTGTCCAAAAGCCAGCAGAAAAAATAAATTATGCATTCTACAATTAATTAAGGTTTTTAGTTGAGATAAAAAAGTCAATGGCACAAGCGGAATTCGAACCCACGATCTTTCGGCTAGATATGCCGCTGCTCTACCACTTGAGCTATCGTGACCTCGATCCACTCGGACACTAGCTTCCCACCTCAACCCCACCTTTTGAATTTTCCCTCCTTTTTGCCATTTTTCAAATGTCATGTAATCGGATTGGATTCTCGACGACAAATGAAATGGCCATGGAGAGCTTTAGTGAAGTATACTTCATTTTAAGTCATTAAATTCACTAATTTCGTAGTCCGCTTGACCAATTAAAATATTTACAATTAATTAAGGTTTTTAGTTGATAAAAAAGTCAATGGCACGAGCGGGATTCGAACCCACGATCTTTCGGCTAGATACACCGCTGCTTTACCACTTGAGCTATCGTGACCTCGATCCACTCGGACACTAACTTCCCATCTCAACCCCACCTTTTGAATTTTCCCTCCTTTTTGCCATTTTGACTTTTTATTTCAACTAAAAACCTTAATTAATAGCAAATATATTAATTGGTCAAGCGGACCACGAAATTAGTGAAATTATGCATATCGTTGGAATGAGAAGGCTATATGCCATGCACAGATAACTATTAAGGTTTTACTAGAAAACATAGTTTGCCATGGTCAATCCTTTAAATCGATGAAAATATAAACCCTTCAAATTGGCAAAAGCAGCTTGGAATCGTTAAATTTAGAAATTGGAGAAATACTTATGCCTTACAACTATGCTAATCCAAATGACAGAGATATTTTTTACACTAATTTTGTTATTCATTAAAATTATAATTGGACTTTATTAAAAATGTAAATAAAAATAAACAAACATACCTAAAATACCAGTAGGAGGAGGACGCCTGTAAGTTGGAGGGGTCACTCCAAAGAACAGCTGGCCAATTTTTTCAAGGTAATGACTATAAGAAGGATCTCTTTCTATACTTAGCTGGTACTGCTCACAAAGTACAGTGAAGGCTGCTAGCCGACCTCTGACAACAAATATGTATTACAAATTAAAAAGTAATTACTTAACTGTTGTTTTGTATTGTAAGTTAAAAAGTATTTGGAGATTAGGTTAAAATTTTAAATTTTTAGCCTCGAATTCCTAAATATTACATACAATTTGTTTCAATAGATACTTTGGATTGTTGCATGCTGAAAAGTTGGAAAAAACTGTACGAATATTAACCTTGAAATTTAAGTTGTTGAAATTGAAATTTTATTTGTTGCAATTTTCCTGGTCCAACTATTCTCACTTTGTTTTGGTCAATTGCATTTCAGCATATCAACTCTTCCTCAGCAATGAAACGATGACTGACCAGAACAGCAAAAAATAGACAGACCATAAGGATCAGGACAAATCAAAAGACATGAAATATCTTACTACACACAAAAACATGCAAAAAAGTATCAATTTATAAAAAATTATTACCCTTCAACAGCTTGTAGGAGGAACCATATGAAATTGAGAAGAGGTAAAAGATAAGGAGGACCCTTGCTAATCTGAGGATGTTGAGTCGTATAGCATTCAAATGTAATCACAGCGGTTTTCTTGTTCTTCAAACAAAGGCACCTATGACCCGATTAAAATTAGTAACTTTTAACTATAAGAAAACTACTATTTCCCTAACTTACTGAAGGACAACTTGGGCAATAAAAAGATCTACTTCTGAGAGATATCCACTTGTCTTGTGAACTTCAACCAACATGGTTCCAAAGCCCAGACCATCATAGGATCTCAAATAGTGTCTTCTTGCCATCGTGTAGTTTTTTTCTGATAAATAAAACAACAAGAACTTTTTATGATTTTTTTTTTTTAAATAAATACACCTAGTTGTACCTTTCCAGTAGACTTCTGCAATTAGTTGATGTAAGAAAGGACTACCTCCTCGGTTTCCTCCAGTCATTGACCATTTCACTGCTGATGCTAAAAATGTTTCTCTGTCTGGAAGTGTACAACTTATGAGGCTAAATATTCTGTAAAGAAATTTTTTTTTAACAACTAGACTTGATAATATATTGATGACCAAAATCTATTAGTTTAAAACCATCTTACCTTGCTAGATTTCTAATGTTATCATCAAGAGGTTTCATGTTTGACTTGACTAGAACATCAATGTACAAATTGGCTAAATCTATACCGCTTATTTGCTGAAACACACATAAAAAAAACACATAAATAATACAAAATTATATCCACAATAACAATATTCCTATAAAACATATATTATAGAAGTGTTTACTTTTTCTTTTTTCTGTAGTCTAATGACACTTTTTTCCTCAAATATGTTTTAATTTAATTTAAAATTAAATCAGCACATATTTTCTATTCAATAAAAATACATTTTTAGTGTACGGTTTGTTTTATTTAAGATTATAATAAAACTTTCATCAAATTTCTACTAAAAATGTTCAGACATAAAGTGTAAATCCTGTCTTCAATATTTTTCTTGGTCGTTACTGATTACTGATTATCATCTCTGAACTCTTACTTACTCATCTTTCTACCACTTTTTGCTGCTAGTTGGCAATTCTAACTTATAATAAATATGTTAAGCAAGCCTTAAGAATCGCCCACCCCAGATGTGGCAGTCTGAGGTCAGGCTTTCTGTCTTGCCCGTTCAAAGGTTGGGCTCCAGGGGATATCAACAGCTAGGTCATTTCAGCCCCCAATGCAAACAGTCTCCAAATCCAACTCGGGGTAGTGGAGTACTTGATATGCCATCGTCACCAATATTATATAATTAATCTAACTGAGGGTCGATGTTGTACTCGATATTTCACCATCGACCCTCTCATACTACATTTTGCAGGCTTTGGCCCAAAATTAATTGTCCATGTATCAAACTTGCATCGTTGGGTGATGATGACTCTTCTTCGTTGAGTCAGACCCTCCAAGGGCCGCCTATCGACAGTGCTATTGATACGTGAGAGTTTTTCTGCTGATCCAGCTCACCAACACTGCCACTTTTTTACTAAAACCCAACTACACACAGTACAAACTGTAAATTTGATTTATTTTGATTAATTTTTGGGAAGAAAATCTTTGTCATTTGAAAAGTCAATTACATATTGTAAAACACCAATTACTCTCTTTTTTTTTCTCCCCATCTCTGCAGAAATGATGTGTAAAATCACAAGGTTTTTTTTTTTTTTTAAATTTCAGAATTCAATGTAAAAGTTTCATTCTGGAATGGGAAATTTTAAATTTACCTGGTCATGACTAAGGAGCGTAGTTGCACCTTCATAGAGAAGATTCAACAATCCATCATACTTTTTCTGCCCTAATAATCTGAAACAAAGCAATTTACTTTAATGAAAAGAAATTAAATTAATTAATAAAATGGAGAATTTTAAAAAATTAAAATGAGAGGACCAAAGATTAAGTTATTTAACTTTTTCCTTTAATATATCAACTGTATACTGAACTAATAGTATATTACTTATTATGCATAAATATATAGCCATGATTTCTTTTTGGAGTTTGTCTTGATAAATGTATAGTTCTGTCTTTTCAGATGTCAGTCTGCTCAAACCTCGCTGGTTTGGTCAGTCAGATGAATTTCAGCCATTTCCTCTTTTTTACTGATTTTTCAATTAATTAATATTTATGAAAGGTATTGGTTGAGACAAAAAAGTCAGTGACACGAGCGGGATTCGAACCCACGACCATCGGTTAAATACGCCGTTGCTCTAACCACTTGAGCTTTCGTGACTTCGATCCACTCGGACACCAACTTCCCATCTCAACCTCCTTTTTGCCATTTTTTATCTCAACCAATACCTTTCATAAATATTAATTAATTGAAAAATGTTAATTGGTCAATCGGACCACGAACTGTAATGGATTTTTTACTGATGTTTTTATAAAACTGTAAAAACTTGTAGAAGGACACAATTGACAACTTAACCAACAGAACAACCACTGAAAATGGCGAAATGCTGAAACACACCTGTCAAGGCAAATCAGCTTGGATAATCAGGACCCGGATGATCACGAACGACCAAACTATAACCACATTTCATGTTTAATTATTTAAAATACATAATAAGCTTATAAGAATAAATGGGAATAAAGTATGAGTATGAAAGTAATGAAGTAAAGACTTAAGGAAATAGTGTAAAACTGAAATTAATTTAGCCTATGTGCTAATGCTTTAGCCAACGAGCAGATCAGGATTTCATTAACATCAGAATACAATTAATGATAACCATGATGTTGCACGAATAATTATTTTACAAATATAATATGTATTAAAACACCAGTAACAGTAACAAGCTTATCAGCAATACTGGAACTAACGATGATGCATTTCTAAAACTTATTTCTTTTAACCACCTTTTTTTTAAACCACATCCTCACCAACAAATAAAGAAATATGTAAACATAAATGAAATTATGCCTAGTTATAATTAATATTAATTTTAATATTGTATTTTAAAATTATTTATAATATTTTATGTAAAGTGTGTTGATATGAAAAATCTGTGCCACAAGCAAGACTCACTCGAACCCACGACTTGGCTTTTTCATTTCAACACACTTTACATACAAAATTGTAAATCAATTTAAATAATTACATTGGTTAACTAGACTAATTAAAAAATACAGATTATGATTTTATATTAAAAATCAGGGATAAGGTAATTTATGATTAAAAACTTCCTTCATCAGGACTTTAAAACTATTTTTAATAATTTACGAAGTTAACTAATATGAAAAACTACTTGACTTAAGGAAGAAGTATATCATGAAATTATAGTTTGATAATTTACTATCATCCTGGTGCTCATTTTGATTTGTCAGATATGTTTTGTAATTTTGCCACCTTCAGTGTGTGGTCTGTGATTTTTTTGGCAATTGATTTTTTTTCATAGGTTTATAAATAATATAAATGGTCATCTATGATCACTCTGGTCTGCCTATCCTCATGTTTTCGACTGTTTGGACGCATTTTACCATTTTCAATAGAGCATACCAATTTATAACAAGTCGCAGTGGACAATGTAAAGACAAGCCACTGATGGCAGCCCGCCAGCTTGCTCATAATGTCAACATCAGTGCTGAAACTGTTCCAAGAAGACTTGCTGAGTAAAATTTATGCTCCAGAGGGCCAGCAAGAAGACCATTATTCACTTCATGAGCCCACCTAGAGTTTGCTAGAGAATATCAGAATTGGATTGAGGACAATTGGAAAAATGTATTGTTCTCCAAGGAGTCCCGTTTTGCTCTGCAATCTCCAGAACAGGCTATCATTTAATGCAACTTTGTACACGACTGACATCATTCAAGGCTATGTGGTACCACCGCTTTATTGGTGATTTCATTTTAATGCACAATAATGAAAGACCATGTGTTGCTAATTGTGTTTTGCAATATCTTCAGGATGTCAGCATTCACACATTAAGATGGCCAGCTCACAGCCCTGACCTCAACCCCATAGAGCACCTAGCAGCAACTCAGAAGACAAGTTCAACAGTGAAAAAACCCTCCTCCAACCACACCAGAATTAAGAATTACATTAATGGGAGGAAATCCTGCAAGATGTTATTTGAAATTTAGTCAATATTACAGGTAGTAATCTTCTTTTTCCCTGAGGTCTATCAACTACAATGTTGTATGAACCATCAGGGTACCGGTGTTTTTGAAAAAAGCTATTGTCAGTAAGTCGGGTTCGATTGCAGGGCGGTGGATTTGAACCCAGGACCTTTACCTTACAATGATGTGCGCCATATCAACGCCTAAACCACTGCGGACACCAACACTCCCAACAAAATATAATAAATTTATTATTTTCTTCAAAAAAGTTTATTTTTCATTTATATTTATTTATTTTTTTATTTAACTCGATTTTTAGTACTCACCCCTATTCTAGACATACAAACAATATAAAAGTATAATAAAAAATATGTCTTGAGGTAGAAAATTGCAGCACAACAAAAAAGTGAATATTTTAATGTGGTGGTGTATTATATAAATTACCTTGAATGTAACATTGTTCTTTTTGTAGTCCTGATGATTATTTAATAAATCGGAACTAGTTGCAAAAAATGAAATTTTCTTTTAAAAATTTCCTTTATAACAAATTGTGAAAAGGCAAAACTGGGCTGCTGGGTTCGAACCTGGGGCCTTTACCTTACAGTGATGAACGCCGTATCAAGCCTAAACCGTTGCGACCACCGATGCCCATGAAAATGTATAATAAGTTTATTGTTTTAATATTTTCTTCAAAAAAGTTTAATTTTTTATTTATTTATTCATTTATTTTTTATTTAACTAGATTTTAATGTAACTTTTTTTTGTGGCGCATTGTATTATATAAATTACTTTGAATGTAACATCCAGTTCTTTTTGTAGCCCTGATGATGATTTAATAAATCGGAATTAATTGGCAAAACAAGGAAGTTTCATTTAAGAATTTCCTTTATAACAAATCGTAGAATGACAAAAATAAAAAAGAACTATTTGATTACATTCCACATCATCAACTACTTCAAAGGTGAATCTATCCTGGAGGAAGATCAAAAGTTCTGAGACCCACTTCAACATCGTTCTTGCCTATTCTATATTCAAGCTTTACGATGATGCTACTAACCAATTTGAACTATGCAAATCTATTCTAAAACAAAAACGGATCAAACATTGAAGGAAGACAATTTTTGATAAGTGATCAGGTACATGAATTTATGTTTATGAAGTTCTGCGATTGTGGAACGCAAATTGGCAAAGTAAAGTTGTTGATTGTAGGAGTTTAGAGCTTTAATGGCTCAAGTGCGTATTGGAAGCTAAAAGGACCATAAAAGGTCCTCACTCTCTTATCAATCATGAGTAAAAGTTGATAACAGACGACGAATCTTTGCATGGTAGAGTAGTGGAAATCAAGCCTTGCGAACCAAGCTAAGACGACTGAGTCACACCGGCACTGGACTTTGTTAAATAGGCCAAAAAGGCAAAACTATATTGAATCGGACGTATTCCGCGTCCAGAAACCGGATTCCTACTCATCCCATCGCCGTCGTAAATGTGTTAAACGTGATAACCAAATGGCTAACTCGACTTACCTAAAATACAACGATTTGTACATCTGATGCGCCTCGTAGTAATTGCCATTTTTGACCAGGTTGTCTATTTTAGTTATTACTTTCTGAACACCATGACCCCTCTGTGATGCCATATTTTCTGCCATAGTTTGATTCTCGGGCTCGGGCCCAGTGTAGCCCTATAACCTGAAAACCGGGACGCAAAATTACTCGTCTCCTATCTTAAAATAAACATTTACGATTTACGGACGGCAATCGTGAAATACGGGTCGAATCGAGAAAAATCGTGATGTACGAGTATAAAAGTGCAAACGTAAGAAAAGAATACAAGAAATTTGTAACAGTCTTTTCAACAGACACGTAACAAGTAAGAGCGAAGTTATCAGTTATCACCATTGCAGACTACTCCGTACCCTGTAAAAATATTACACCAAAAAATACAAATAACTTTATCGTTTCATTTTATTAAATAACAATCGATTTTTGAATCCCTTGTACTAAATACTATACTCTATATTATATACTCTTAAACTAAATTAATGTTTCAGCCCCTTGTTGCATTCAGGGTGCAATGAGTAAAATGCCAGGGAATCAAATTTTGCACTAACAAAATTGTATATTTCTGTAAAAATAAGAACCAATTTTGCATACTTTTATGGAAAATATAATGAATGAAATGGGTTGATTCAAAAATTAAAATCATACGATAAACAAAATTATAAATTCAAAGATTTATTTTATTACAAATAGGCATTTTTTTATGAAAATGCGGTAAGAATTAAATAAAAAGTGCTTTTGCAATGAAAATTTTTATATTTGTTTCGTCACGGCGACAAACGCTCCTTGCATAGCGCCTCATCGACCAACCTTTATGCCTCCATGAAGCGTCACCTAAAAGAAAATTAATGAAAATAAAAGATTGGTTTTTATTCGCTACACCGATGGGCCGTCGGGTCTACACGAACTCACTGATGAAGTCACTCGATCGAGGAGTCAACTCTCCTCAGAAGAAACTGCCATTTCAAAAAGTTCCATCCGGTTCTAAGGACAGAGAGACCAATGGCTCACCAATATGGTGGACCAAAGTTCAGCAAAAACAAGCTACCCAAACATTACACAACACACAAAGACTGGCAAACGTGTATCACAGGGTCAATTCAAAAACCTTGCCCTGCCATTGCAAATATTTCCGTTCAGTCCAAAGGACAGATGGCTCACTGATCTGACGGACTAAAGCTCAGCAAAAACAAGCTACCCAAATGTTAGGCAGTACTGAAAAACTGGTGAACCTATGTATCACAGGTGCAATGAAAACAACCCTGCCCAAACAACACACAAAGACTGGCAAACGTCTGTATCATAGGGTCAATGCAAACAACCTTGCCCTACCATTGCAAATAACTTCTTTCGTTCCAAAGGACAGAGAGAGACCAATGGCTCACTGACCTCTTGAACCAAAGTTCAGCAAAAACTAACTACCCAAACATTAGGCAGCAGACAAAGACTGGCAAACCTTTGTATGATAGGGTGAAAACCCCATCAATTGCACTAAAAACACAACCTACATTAATTGAAAATATTTATATAAGGAGAAGCAAGGAAACGTTCATTTAGGCTCCAGAAACAATCAAACTGGATGGGAATTTGGGCACACAAATCAGACACCCTTTTTTAGAAATGGGGACTGATTACATGATGCTGGAGACACTTATTACAACATCCTAGAAAATCTCAACAAACTATAAAGTTGAAGAATTCAGGAGATCATGAGATACAATGATATTGTATACAGATGACTCCAAAACAAATGAAGGATAAGGTATTTTTTATAAAAGCACAAAACGTGAGTAATTATGGAATTTTTATATATCAAAATATCATGCAAAAGAGCCATCTCTTTAGAAGGAGATGCCTGGCCAATAACAATGCAATCCTTAATTTAGAAGCACCATATGACCTACAGCAATTTCACTAACACAATGGATTTTGAAAAATTATCATATAAAAAAGAAAAAAATTAATAACTAACAAGCTTCACTTAACTAACTAGCACACTGAACTTATTTAAATCATTATCATTTCCATAGTAAATATTGACTGTAATAAAAATTAAATTATTAATACTGCATAGAAACATCTGTAATCATATAGTGAGCAGATGTGAATTAAACTCTGTGTTGGCAGGAATTACTGAATAAAAAAGGCGAAAGTTTTTTTATTGTTGTTGGGTGCTGACCTGTGAGTTGTGAACTCTTGCTGAACCAGCATTGGGTCTGTCTTCATTCACAGGTTAGTTGAACCAGTTTTTCACTGAAGATGGCACAATACTGAAACACATTTTAGTTCAACAAGCCCTTAGTGAAGACGGACCCAATAAGTGATCCAACATTGGTTAAACAATTTTTATTTTTAATTTGAAAGCCCTGAGACGAAGTTTTTGTGTAATTTTTGTTTTGTTTATTTTTTAAACAAATTTTTGCCTTTATAGTTTAGCTTTCTAATCTTGAGCTTTTTACAAAAATCCTTGGAGTAAATATTGTTCCTGCTGATGGAGAAAATAAAATTGGCATGGCTCTAGCAAAAAATCATTATGGAAATATGAAGTAGGTTTTACAATTATGGAAATAGGTTTTTTTTTTCTAGTGACAAATTTTTGCCAGAGTGAAAAGTTTGCACGTTGCAAGTTAAAGAAATTTTTTTGTTATATTAAAAGGGAAAATATAATTTAATTTTAAGGTATGTGAAATATTCTTTGCCGCCTTGTAAATAGACCAATTAAATTGCAGGAATTGTTTAAATATGCGACGTGGACCAATGACAATAATTCTTCATTATTATGATTATTATTATTGCAAAAAACATTTAATGACAAAGATTTTAAATCTGAGCCACTCTATTTTAAGGGTTGTGCTTGGTTTTATCCCTTGTCAATCCATTATTTCTTAACTACAGTACTAACGTTAATATAAATTATGTAACTGGTCACAACATATCTCAAAATTTGAACCTTTTCCATATCTGTTTTGTCTAATGGAATTTATTTAAAAAATATCGTTAATCGAAAGCAATTTTATTCTTATTTCTTCAGAGAAGCATCAGAATCATCGTTGGTCATTGTGATACCAACGATTTGTTTAACGATGGCACTGGTTCAAATGTCAGTAATTGGTTGTGATTAGGTGATAAGATCTGTCTTTCGCCGATTTCAAATTTTAAAAGAAGAAATTTTTGTGAACGTGAAGACATCCTGTAAACATCTAAGTCAAGGTCTAGTCTTATAGGTAAAGTTTTTAAGATTTTTAAAATAAGAATTGTTTTATTATTTACATAAGAATTACCTTGGTACTTCGTACCGATGCCAAGTCCGCAATCGTTATCAGGAATGACGTTTTCGTACAAGGAAGTTTATTTTTTACATAACTGACTTAAATTGGTCTTTATTTCAACATGAGGCTTATAAAAGGTTTATTTTATGATTTAAAAAAGATTATTTTATTCCAGGCAAAACCCTCGACCATGGTGTGCGTTTTCTGTGATATCATCAATGGGAATGACAAAGAGAAAATTATTTATGAGGTATGTTTAAAACAAAAATAAATCTTTTTAGCCTGCCTTACTATATTATTTATATGCCAAATGTCAATAATACAAATTTTGTTCTCAACTTATGTACAATTGCTTTTAAAAGCTATACCTCCAGACCTACCCACTGCTGTCCAGTCCTTTGACATTAATTAAATACAATAAGAAAATAACAGTGTCAGTGGTTTCAAAGTAGCAGAGATGCTATTGCATATCAAGTGGGTGGTAGGTCAGTGGCCCTCAGAGAATCTAAATCGTTGATCAATAATTGCTCTCACCCCTACATAGAGCGTATGTAGAAACTTCACCCGATATAAGAATTATCCTTGAACATGGCAGCAAATATTTGGGTCCCCTGTCTCAATTTTTAGAGGAAACAGGACTGTTACTAAGTACTTTATAGATATCTCATTTTGTGTTTCATTATCCATATTCAGGCTGAATGTATTTATTAGCATGTATGTGTAGTATAAGAGCCACTTGCACTTGCCATCTGAAGTAGGAGATGAGGGGCTTGCACAAAGATGCTCTTACATTCTTTAAAAGTGCTCAGAATATCACTTGAAAATTGTAAGGAGGCACAATGAATGCCTCCAGTTCCTAATCACCAATGACTCAGGATACCAGGCCAAGCAGTTACAGGATTGGACTGTCTCAAGCCAGATATCATTGCATCCAGCGCAAGGATTGAGTATTTGTCCTAGACCTGAGATATGAGTGTGTGGCAAACCTCAATGTGCAAAAATATGGAGTATTGTGGAAACCCTCATCGTGCTACACTATAGAAATTTCTTTAAAGCAGTGAGTGTAGTAGTGGGAACAAGAGGATGCATACATACTAAGAAGACACTCATAGAACTCGTGATCAATCAGCTCCCTAGAATACTCCCTCTCCCTAATGGTACTGAGGTCCTCACTCTCCATAGCCTGCACTCATATGGACAGAGAGCACAGTATTTTTAGCCATTTGTTCGAAGAATCCAGCTTTTGAGCAAAATACCTTAATGTGACCAGCCCTCACTAGGATAATAGTGCTCGAAATGGCCCTAGGGTGCACACATGGTGGTTACACCAAATTTGGAGGATTTAACATACCCCAAAAACAAGAAAAACCTGAACTAAATATTTATAAAAATAGTTAGAGATCCTGCCCGCCAAACCTTTTGAGTTGATCTTAAGGATTAATTTTAAATCACTGTGATCTAAATATATCTATTGTGAAACCCCTATAAAATTATAGCTATAACTTGGAAAGTGCACTTTGTTCCATAACTAAGTACTTTCCTCAGTGGCTCTTTGCGTCCCTCTTTTTGTGAGAATTTTCTTATCAAATAAGTGTACCATAACCGGGCTAATGCTTCACATTCACAAAGGACATGTGACAATGTTTCTGGTTGACTCCTGAGAGAGCTGGCATGTTTGTGTTTCTGGTTGCCCATCTTCTTTAGGTGGTAGGTACGAGTATAGAGGCCTACAATTTTCCTCAAATCTCAACAGGCATGAGAGAGAGGAGTTCCTTTGCCTTCCTGTTTGAGAGATTCAAAAATCTCATATATGGTGCTTTTGTCCAGTGCTTGAGTTTTTCTTTCTCTAGCCATTCTTTTCAGTTCCAACAATGGTGCACCTGGTTGTGGTTCTGATATCAAGGGTGAGAGGGTTGCCCCTTTTTTGGCTAGTTGGTCAGCCTGTTCATTCATTCTATTCCTTCATATCAAGGAACTCACTTTAAGGTAATCTTGTTTTGTTTTCCTAGACTTCCAGAAGTTTAGAGTTAAAAGCATATGCATTTAGTGCCTTCATAGCTGCCTGCTGTCTGCATCTGGGCAACTTTCCTATTTTTCTTTATTAACTCCAGTGCAGAGTTATATTGCATGGACCTCATCTTGGAAAATTGTTGGCATTAGATCAAAGGGCTTTGCTAAGGTATAGCCTTTTACTCCAACATCTACTCTCTGTTCCATGTTCAATCCATCTGTGCACTCATTAGGGCCCCTTCCTGGGTCTGTCAAGGTTGAGTTATTCTCTCATTCTGTCAGCAACTTTTATAGCCATATTGATCTCCCATTGAGGACTTGAAATAAGGAAAATAAAAGGAAAAAATATCACAGTTAAAAATAAAAAATTACTTAATTCCTTCTTTTTCCATATTTGTATAGTTTTGTTACACAACTAGTATCATTCACTCCTTTTTTTGCATGTTTTGGCACAAATTAAAAAATTAACCAGTGTATTCTTTTATTAAACAAGCCAAAAATAGTGCTCTACTAAATAAATTAATATTTTATACCATAATTATTGCTGTTCTTAGGATAATCAAGTTGTCGCTTTTCCTGATATAAAACCTGTTGCAAAATTCCACTACTTGATTGTTCCAAAAGAGCATATCTTGAATGCCAAAGTTCTTGTAAATGGTCAAAAACCTATAGGTAAGTGTTTACAACAAAGATCAATGATATACAGTAATAATTTACAATTTCATTGTATTTCAGTTGAACATATGTACGCTACAGGAAAAAGGCTTCTCGAACAAAAAGGGGTCAATTTATCATCAGCAAGGTAGGTTTATGCAATCTTTTTTCCCTATATTTTCATTAGTAGGATTGATTGACGTTTAAGATTCGGATTCCACTGGCCACCCTTCTACAGTGTCCCTCACCTGCATCTTCATGCAATAGGCCCAACATCAAATATGTCTTTCATAGCTAGAGCGATCTTCAGAGAAAACAGTTATTGGTTCGTACCACCAGAATATGTAATTAATTCATTGGAAGAAAACCAAGGTATATTATATTTTCATATAATAATTAGACCATTTTGTCATTTCAAAAGACAAAAGTGAATATATTATTTACAGAATAAAAAATTCAGTAAGCAGTTAAACAAGAAGACGGGTTAGAGAAAAAAGGAATCTGAAGGTTTGTATTTATAAAGAATCGGCAGGTTTTTACATTTTTAAACTAAGAATTGTATAGTGATTGAGAAGAGATAGATCTATACATATTCAAATAACTTTTTATAAATTATATCATAGCACTTCAATAATAAAAAAAACTTTATGGGAAAAAGAAAAGGAAAAAGCATTTAGGCATTACATTGAATTTATTTTGTCTGATTTCAATATACAAATTTGTAGACAACTTTTTTCAACCTTTAGTTACTTTCTTTAGTTTTAATATATCTGCTAGATGGACCTTTTTTACCAACAGTGAAGTCTCATTCTCAAAACTGAAACCGACATTTTTTTTTACTTACAAACATACTTTCTGGTGATTCTTTTAGAATTACGGGAGATTTGAAACTTTACATTTTTACCTAATGTATTAATTATTTTTATGCTTTGTTTGTTGAATGATCTTCATAAATGTAAAAACTATTTAAATTTTTATTTGTTTGCAATTTATATGTATATTGTTAAATTTAAAAATACTTTTTTGATAATATATTCTTTTATGAAATATTTGTTATTTTTTACTCCTGTATCAGCCTTTATTTATTTTAATTTTTTGCTTTAATTTGAAAAATTGAAATTTTATCTATCTGCAATTCCTATGTTATACTGGGTTATACAAAAGCTAGTGTTTTACATTAATAATTTGATAATTAATAGAATTGGGCTGTTGCGATATAATTAAATACTATGACTTATATAATTGTGGTGTGTGTTCGATTGCATGCATGTGTAGCATGTTACAATATGTTAAAAGATTTAATTTATTGTTAGATTTAATTCTATAATTCTAAATAATCAAAATTAAGAAAATGTTCAGCACATTCACTAATAAATTAACAACTAATTTTGTCTCCTTTGTTTCTAATGTATTATATGTAATGCATGTACATGAGTGTGTCAATTGTGCGCAGGTAAAAATGTTATAATTTCAGTGTAACTCTATTTCATTGATTTACACACAACATAATTTGCATAAAAATTTAGTTCTTTCAAGAGAGAGTCAATTTGGAATTAATAATAAATTTACTAACTATTGAGTGATTAAGAAGAATCAGGTTGAAAGTCCATTTTCTAGTTAACATTTACAAGAAATTTTTTCCCAGACTTGTCCAACAGGAAATTCGTGCAATCTGAGTGCTTCTTCATGCATTTCAGTGCTGTAACCCGGTTTCTGGAAAAAAATTCTCAGGTTTATATTACGTTGCTTACAAGCTTTACATGTTTACCTTAGGCAGAATATAATTGCCGTCTATGACGAGTGCTGGGTCTTTGAAATGCTCGTGCTGTTGATCAACGAACTCAATCCACCGTGAGTCTTTAGTACCAGAGAGACAGATGTAGTCCCAGTATTGAAGGTGCTGAACCATTTCACACAAACCAACTCCTCCAGCATGCGGGCAGACCTTGACTGAAAATATCGAACGAAAAATAGATCGGAAAACTGGATTTTTTTAATTAAACAGATAAGTGTTCATGTACATAACGCTTTGTTTAGTCGATGAATAAAAAAATTATATTATTAACCTCCAAGTTTTTTGGCCATTAAATAAACTGAAAGGATCTCATTAACCCCGCCAATCCTTGCTGAATCAATTTGGCAAAATTCAACTGCTTGAGATTGCAGGAGCTGCTTAAACATCACTCGATTACAGCACATTTCACCACTTGCGACACCGATATTGTATTCTTTTAAAGCCTAAAAAAATAAGCTTTTTAATATTTTGTTCATTGTCCTAAAATTTAATTAATACATTACTTTAGCAATTGTCGCATGGCCTAAGATGTCATCGGGTGAAGTCGGTTCTTCAATCCAGAGTGGTTTGAATTGGGCGAGCTCTTTCATCCATTCTATAGCCTGATTCACATCCCAGACTTGATTAGCATCGACCATCTGTAATTTTCCTCACGCATTTAATTACTAGAAATTTCTTTTAAATAAAATACTTACTAGATTTTTATCTGGACCTATAGCATTCCTAACAAGGCGGCAACGATGTTTATCACTTTCTAAATCCTGCCCGACTTTAATCTTGAAGGAGTCAAAACCCATACCAAGGTATTTGCGACACAAGTGTCGTACCTTCTCATCCGAATAACCAATCCAACCTTTCAAAAGTATTACAATTTTTTCATTTTGCTCATTCTAATACAAAATATATACTCAATACCAGCTTGAGTAGTGTATGCAGGGTAGCCGTTTGTTAATAATTCGGCTTCTCTTGCCGGCCTCTCTTTCATACCATCTTTCAACATTTGTACTGCTTCTTCCTTGGAAATAACATCAGTTCTGTAAATAAATAACTGGTCTCTTAAAAATTCATTTAATTGTTGAATTTCATCCTACATGTATCTAAAATCAATGACAGACACAAGCTGCTCTGGGCTGAGGTCGGACAGCAGTTTCCATACGGGTTTACTCTCAATCCTTCCCCACAGGTCCCAAAGGGCATTTATTATAGCTGCTGTTGCCAAATGCATGACACCTTTCTCTGGCCCTATCTAATAAAGAATTATAGGCAGTTAAAGGCAATTTTCAAAATTCTGCAATATAAATACCCATCTCAGTTGGCTGTCGCTTGTTAGTTTCCTCCAGTATGAGGAAAAATCTTTGAAAATCACCCCAATGGACTCACCAATGACATAACTGCTCAACGCTTTTATACCAGAAATAACTGAAAACATTAATAAGTAAATAAATATTTGTTTTTTATTTTATAAATTTAAAACTTAGCTCACCGACTTCTGTTCCTTTTCCTAGTGTGAAAGTTAACCCGTGTCCTTTAACGTCCCCTGTGGTATGAAGTATAACATATGCACACGAATAGTCAGGATTTTTATGCTATAATTTTAATATTGAATTATTTAAAATCAGGTTCACATCAGATTCATTACATTAACATAATACAAATGTGCTAAATAAACTGTATTTCTCCAATAAGCCACCAAAAATGGTTCTTACATAAGATTATATATATATATACATATACATATACATACATATATTTGATCTTTCAGTACGATACAGTAGAAAAGGCATGATCTGGGAGGTGATGAACTGTTTCAGAGATAGGTCTGTGTGTTAAATTATTAAATGTGTCCTTTTACAATTTGATGCTGAATGAGATAAATCCACCACTTAAGATTGTTAGAAGCCAAAATATGTGTGGCAGATTAAAACAGCAATGAAAGGTGGCTTTAACGATTGAAAAACATCCAATTTTTGCTCATTTTCCCATAATATTGTAACATTCTTAAAGCAGATAATATCACTTTTGTCTATAAATGAGGATGTACTATATGAGCAGATTGTCCAGAGTAGCTTGAAAAATTGAAAAGTGGATGTTGCAAAGGAGGCAAGTTTCAGGGTGACAATATAGTTAACAGCAGAGATGCTCAAACTGCAGATTCTGCATAAGACATTAGTTAACTGTAAAAAACAAATTGACAAAGATCTCGTATATATTCTATGTGAAGCTCACCTTTGCACAACTTCCATTCACTCAGTTAGGGTAGTTGATTACTTAATATTCCTCCAACATCTCTACACATATTTAACTAATCTGTGGTTCTCAAAATTCTGCCAATGGCAATCACACACTATACATTCACGCTAATACACTATAGCATCAATATACACAAAGAAATACAAAACGAAATATCTATAAAGTACTTTATAAAGTGGACATTGATATAAAAGAAGGGTTCATGTGTCAACCTCACATGTCCTATTCTTAATGGGTGAGGATGACCCCCTCTTTGACGAGTCAAATCCTCCAAGAGCCACCTTGGGCTCTTAATGCATGAGAGCTTCTCTGACGATCCAGCCTACTGCCACTTTCTTTTAATCATGTTTTTAATGATTTTTTTTCTTCTTAAATATCCCCAAGCGTGTGTCAAACTGTGTACTGTCTGTGAAGACGAGGTGAAAACAGAGACAAATTACAAAAAAGTAGTTGTAATCAAGCTTATAACGCACCGATCCTATAGTCCTGACCTTGTGCCTTCAGACACTTCTATCTACTGACCAAAAATTAGAAACTTTCAATACTTCAGAATTATTCAGAAATTGTGAGATGCGGTCTGGTGTGATGTAGGTTTCAGAAAAACATTTTCTTTGTCGTGCCAACGTTTCGATCTCAACAAAGATTGCAACGGCACGATAAAGAAAATGTTTTTCTGAAACCTACGTCACACCAGACCGCATCTCACGATTTTTGAATACTTATCGATTAACAGTCACTAATCACCACCATACTTCAGAATATGAAAAAACTATTAAACTCCAAGTAATGGCACCACAGGGAAATAATGGCCATTTTTTAGCTATTCAGTTTACAAGTTGTTTTATTATATAATATCCTGCATTTCTTTTGGGTGTTAAAAATAACCAACCTACAAACATTACATTTTTTATGTTTATTATAAGCATACTGTACATGTAATTACAAACGCATCCATGTTATTATTGTAATATTAGTCTGAAAGATGTAATTTTACAATAGTAAAAGTAAACCTACCATAGCGTCCGAGCCATCGTGGTACAAAGAGGTTGGAAATCTTACGTCTTTTACCTCCAAGTCTGTTATGATGAGATTGGAATTCATATCGTAAGTGCTTTCGATTCCTCCGGAGCTTATGTAATTCTGACCAGAGAACCAGTCTGTTTTGTTTGCTTTTTATAACAAGTTACATAAGATTATCTGTACCAGTTAAAACAAACAAAGTGTTTTCTTTGCGATAGAATCATTTTTTAGAAAAATGGCATTTTATACTTTTAATTGTACATCGATAAAATATATACTTACCTGTATTATCGCTTTTTTTAATTTTATTTTTTAATACAAAGATTACGAGGAAATTGATATGTACAGAAAATGTTTTATTTTCCAATTGTTTTTCTTTTCTTTTTTAATTAAAAAAATAAATAAATTTAAAAAATATATTTCAAATACACCATGTCACTTAAAATCAATATATACAAAACAACACTTCCAAGTCGATTATCACCAGTAATTAAATCTAATTAAGAGAAGAAATAGTTTTCACTTTTAAAAAATAAATAAATTATCTATATTGCACTGTTTGTTTAAATTAAAAACAATATTGATTATAAATAGTGCAGAAATTCAAATACAGCATACACTCTTTTGATTGTTCTCAACCAATACTGAGTTTGAATTGTAGTCACCTTTAAAAAAAAAAAAATTAAAATTAAATATTGAAATAGGCTATTAAATTAGTTTATTTACCTAAGATGAGCGTTTTGTTTTGGTATGAGTTGTCTTAAGACTAAAGGCACCTGTGCAAGCCTAGATCTTAAGTTTTGATCGAGATGATCACTCTGATCAAATTTCGTCTCGATGCCCCGCTGGTCTTTAAAGAGGATTCCACCCGATGAATCACCGTTCACACAAAGCTCTGAGCCATCTCTATATTTTATTCTTACTTCACCATTAGACATCTAAAAAATAATAATTATTATAATAATATATTATCTATGATATTACAAAATATATTTACCTGGCACGCAGTTCCAATGCCTGGTATAGAAACTGAGTTTAAAACTTTCAGCTTTGTAATTTTACTACTTGAACTGGATTTATAGCAACTTGTCACATTGAAACTTCCAAACTAAAAATAAACATTGAAATAAAAAATTTGAATAACTGAAACAGTTAAGTTTTATAAACACTAACAACCATGGGTTGTTGGGGTGAATTGTTTTCTTTAGACTGCGAAGGCTGAATGCTAAGAGTGGCATGAATCGGCCTCCTTCCAACGATAACAGGGAAGACAGGACCTACAGAGCAGTTCGACGTCAACTCTAAAGCGCTTTCTATTGCAAGACTATGTCTATGAGCCTATAAAAACAATGAATTAGTAGACACACTCTATGATTTATATTTACATTAAAAAGTAATTGAATAAATCACCTCATTAAAATGGTCCCACATAGTCCTTAGATCAGATGAGTAAGTATCTATAACATCTTCCTGAAGTATGGTCGCAACTCCATCTTTATCAATTGCCTTATATCCTTCCTCCGATTTTGTAATTTTACCTCCTTTAAAAAAAATTCTATTGCCATTATTTTTATAGTAATTGTTATATGTTACTAATATTAGTAACATATAACTCCAATTAAATCAGCTAAATATATGCAGGATATATACATTGATGTAGTCCACCAACATTGTTAATGGCAAAATACTAAAACATAACTGATAGACCAAAATGATTACTGACCAAATGTGGCTCTGGTGGTCTGGGAGATATGGACTTTTCCATGTTATATGTCCATGGATTTTAATTTTTGCACTAGAACACTCATTACATAGGTTTCAAAGTCATTGATGCCTCTCCTACCGGCTTGTTGGCTGGTTAGGTGGCTTTGTGGATGGTGTGGCAGACCGACTTCATTTTATTATTTGTAAATAATTTTTTTTATATCTCCTTTGGCTAATATGAAAACATTGGGAGAAAAAAGATCTCGATACTTTACAATTGTGTTCATTCTCATCAGAAATTATAAAATAATAATTTTAGTTCTTTGTTTGTTCATCCTTCATTTTTATACTGCTGATGTACCTACACACTCTAATAATACAATCATCATCACCTATGAGAGCGATATTGCAATTTTATCCTCTAACTCAAATCCTATCCAAGCTACCTCCAACATCCAAGAACACCTTGAGCTTATCAAAGACTGGTGTAAATGTGGAGGACAAGACTGAATGAAGAAAAATGTGATGAGAAAATTGTGAGACATCCACAATAAATACCGACTTCCATTTAAGTCAAATATTTAGGACTATACCTGGACAGCAGACTAACGTGGAATCCTCATACATAACTTCTAGGATTGCAATCCGTCTTGTCTGTCAGCACAAACTAAACTAACCTTGTACAAGATTTTACTGCAACCAGTTTGGACATACTGAGTGGAACTGTGGGTTCTGCCAAGCCATCTGACAGCCAGCACATCCAATCCTTCAGATCAAACATCCTCAAAAATGTCAAAGCTCCTCACTACATCACTAACTTCACTATCCACAACAACCTCATCATTCCCAACTAACTGATCCGTTCTCGATTCCAAAAGTTGCACAACAACGTCTTGATCCATCCTAACCTACTGCTCGAGCCCTCTCTGCACATTCCCATCCCGAGAACCCACCACATCGCCTTAATGGACGAAGACCTCAAGACCTTGCCCCTTAAACCCTCACACTGAGTGCCAGTATTAGGCGGTTTCTCAGGGAACCGGAATTACATTAGTGCTGTGACCATGTGAAAAAAAGTTTTGTGAGACATTTGTAATATGTAAGGGGTACAAATAAAAAAATCTTTATGTACACTTACCGGAATAAAACACAGCTTCAAAATCGGCATCTGGAGAATTCTCCATTAAAATACATTTAGCATCATTTGTATACAGTGTGATTTTTGGTGTTTTGGCTCTGACCAAAGAAATAAATTTCGCTGCATAATGATATTTTTTCCAGTGCTCCTTGGGTAAATGCTCGTACGAATGAACCGAATCTGCACCTTCGACTGGGAGGGGAGGCGGTGTTTCGGCAACGGGTATTCCTTTCCCATGCCGCCCGACTTTGTAAATGGCTATCCGTAGGCCATCGTTCGATATCCTACAAACGTCCACGACTCGTTCTTCGGCTTTGCTGCCTCCTTTTCGCTTAAGCAGTTCGATGCAGACTTCTCCGTTATCCAAAAGTGATAGGATAGCCGTTTTGGTTTTGTGCCTCGTTGGTTGAAGTCTGTTCGTTTTAAGGGGAGGCACTCCAAGCTCAACAGGTTCAGTTTGGTTCTCTTCCCTTTTTATAGAAGAAACAGGCTCCTTACGTTCATTTGGAACAGCCTTTTGGGAAATAGGATTGCCAAAAAAATCCAGTAAAGGCTGATTCCCTGACATGGTTAATGCGTAATTGTTACTATGCATTTTGCTTTGATGCTGTGCCATTCGAGATCCCATTGTGCTTCCAGTTTTGCTCACCATCGAACAACCGTTTCCTCTTAAGCTAAGAGATTTTGAGGTTTTGTTCACCAAATCTAGTTCCTCGTCCCTAACAGTTGGAAGAGCTGGTGCTTGTAGCGCTTGCCTTCTTTTTTCTCTATCTTCAGATCTATAATAATTAAAATTTAGTTACACATTTCACAAGTTTCAAAATATAAAATTTATACAACCTAAGCAAATCATAGAGTTTAAGTTTTATTACAATACTGTATGTATAACTGTAACACTTTAAGAGAAACAAGCTTCATAATTCTTAATAGCTTCATAATTTGTAAAATAAAAATATTGGTATTAGTTTTAGACAATTTTTAGAAAATCAATTTCATTAGAAGTTGAAATAAATTTAAATTTGTCAATTAATCAAGCTAAAAGAATAAATATTTAAAAAATTAAAAAGAAAGTCATTAAATGCTTATTTTTGTAACTTTTGATCCAAAGAAACAAACTTAATAAATTCTATTTGCTTGTGATCGATCCACTTCTGATTGAGGGATGAAAGAATAGTTCAGGAGTTCACTTATGTGCAGTGAAACATACCTTGATCTATACCTGCTAGAATAACTGCTCCTTGTGCTTTTAGTACTCATCGTACCCATTCCACTATCCATCAAAGCCAAATTTCCCTGTAAAGAAAAATTACAATTAAAACAAAAACAAGATTAAGGTTGCACTATATATAATGAAACTGACGTAAGAAATTTTATTTGCTCGTTGTGATTGATCCACTTCTGAACGGGAGATAAAAGGATGTTCAAGGATTTCACTTAAGTGTATTCGATCCCTGGGATTTTTCCTTAGAAGCTTTTCAATAAGATCCCTCGCCTCGGGTGAAATTCCAGAAGGCATCTAGAAAATATATCACAAAATAGAAAAATTCTATTGTAACTTATGGAAAAGTTTTAAAACCTGAAATTCTGCCATGACAACACGAGTTAAGGTGCTTTTAACTGCATCAGTATCAAAAGGTGGTTTTCCTGCTAGAAGAGTGTACAGCATGCATCCTAGACCCCATACATCCGCTTCCAGGCCATGACTGCTTCTCATTGCAACCTAAATAATCTCTTTGAAATTTAAAAAACACTTAGATAAAATTAATAACAACCTCAGGTGAGATATAATTGGGTGTCCCGCACATTGTCATGTGCTTTTCATCAGGTCTACTCAGTTGTGTGGCAAGCCCAAAGTCAGCGATTTTAACCCTCATTTTCTTCGTCAAAAGTAGATTTGCTAATGTCAAGTCCCTATGAAGGATGTTATGGGAATGTAAGTAGAGAAGCCCTTCCACAACCTGTTTCATTATATGCGCAGCTATAAAAAAGTTCAAATTGTAATTTCACTGTCTTTTTAAACAGAATTTTATTTTTACCTTCGTCCTCGTTTATAGAGAGCACATTGTTTTTAATGTACCTTTGAAGTTCACCGTATTGCGCATGTTCTAGCACTAAATAAACATAGTCTGAGTCTTCAAAAAATGTGTACAACTCCAGCACGGATGGGTGTTTCAATCTTGAGTGTATTGCGACTTCTTGCCGCACTCTGCTTACCATCCCATTTTCAGCCATCAACTTCTTGTCAATCTGTAATTATTAACAAAAGCTAATAAAGTTGAAACATATATACTAAAATAAACTAGTTTTGTATAATAATTTTATTTATTCGTTCTAAACTTAACAGACAGAAAAAATTTGAAGTTCTTCAAAAAGAAGTCCTTCAAGTGGTTAGAGTACCGGCATATTGAGTCAAAGGTCATGGGTTCAAATCCCGCTCATACACTAAATTTTCGACTTAACCAAAAACCTTAGATAAAAGAATATTTAATTGGAATAATTTAATAGATTATCCAGAATTACTTTCAAAAATTAATATCAATGTTCCCCACAGCTTAACTTTAGAAATCTTTAGGTAGATAATGCTTTGTTAATTCATTATCACAGAACTAATTAAACTTATCATGATCTAATAGACAGAATTCAAAGAATATCTAATAAACTGCCTGGAGACAATATTTTTCACGTTTTTTTTTTTTTTGTATTAGCTGATGTCATAACCATGACACAAAAGATTTGAGCAGCAGCATCCCCCCCCCATACCGCCAGAAAGGGTATTGACTGCCAAGCTCAGCCCATGACTACCAGCACTTTTCCCTCACTAAAATTCTCCTTATCTGACATTTAAGTAAGCTGACTACCTATAATGGGGGTGGTATGTGGGACCGTTCATACCATTCCTTCAATCAGGGATAAAAAAAACAATCTAGAGTGCTTCATTCAACACCAGCAAAGCACCTCGCAGAAAACCGACCCCTAACCAGCAACACAACGAGACGCACACCACCCAACCTGACTCGAGTCAATATTTCTTCACACTTATATCGTGCTTTCTGCCATTATTTGCTAAAAAGGCCAATGGTGGATTTCGTTGCCTTGATGGGGGGGGAGGAATAAATTAACGCTTCCATTTAAGCATTAAAAATTTATTAGTATTTTAAGTATTTATGTTAAAATTATGCTGAAATGGGTCGCTGTATGCCACAGATTTGTACATACACTGTGTTATAAGAATATGACTGGGATAATTGAAAACACGCCAGATGAGATCAATGTTTATTTTATCTTTCCTTTGACATTCAATAGCACATCTTGCATGTTTTATCTTATAATGTTATACAATAGTTATATATTACAAACTAAATATTTTAAAATGTCTTGTTTAATGTTAATATTGATTTCTCTTTGGATTCTTGTTTTTAAAATATATAATAATAATATTGTTCAATTATTATTTGTATTGCTTATGTTTAGTTTTTATGTAAAAGGCTTAAGCTGTTAATCATTGAAACTAAATAAATAAGTGTTGCAGCAAGTAATCAATTTTTTATATATATGAGTAGTGCGACATACAAACACACCATTCAAGGATCGTTTTAAATTAAAATAAATTTATATTTTAAGTATGAATTTACAAATTCATATCTCTTACCATTTTAATGGCGACTTCCATCAAAGTCTTGAGACATCTTGCCCTGTACACAGAAGCGAAACCACCCTTCCCAAGTAAATTAAGCACCTCATAATCCTGTAGGTTCAAAAACAGTTATAAAAAAAATTATACAAGTTAAAGTTATAAGACATATTTGTTAGTATTTAAATTTAACGCTAAACTGACTACCTCAATTTGCTCCCCGAAGCTAATACTTGAGTGTTTGGGCGGTCTCATTTTCAAATCAATAGTTTAAATCTTGTGAGATTATAAAAATAAGTCACAACGTTAAGACGTTTGCATGTCTGATCAATATTTATAACAAGAAAACCCTTAAAGTTAAACACAACAAATAACAAAATTTCAGATAAACCTTAAAAGACTCCCAGGCTGTTACCCTGTTTTACCGCCAAAATGCTTCGTTATCTTTATGTCAAAATCAACTGTCAATATTTGTTGAAAATTTCCTCGAGGAATCGTTTATATTTATATTTGATGAAAATTGTAGAAAATGATGGTAAAAGTTTTAATATTTTCGACGGTGGAGTTTTACTTTAAATTTCACACTGAGGAAGGCACCTTTCATTCAGGTTTACAAGAAACGTTTACAATGTTACGCGATAAGATGACATTTGCTTGTGATTAGAAAGTAAATTGAATTTCGTGTTTCTCTGGTGTTCAGTTCAACTCGCTTTAAAATTTATTTCGCCCTCCAGGCTGCCTTTGTCATGGAACAGGAGATCGTCAGCAATATTTCATCTTTGGAAGACAAGACTGATGATTTCTGTGACAACCCGACCAGAGATTCTCTTGCTGAGGGGTTGATGAGCGTTATCAAGCCCACAATTGACCAACTTGATGAACGAGTCAAAGCTACACGGTATACTCAAACGAATTGATTTTTTTTTAACACAAACTTATTTTCAATAAAAAAATTACTAGTTATACTGTAAATCTATTAAATCACATAGCTTGAATACTGTCCGTCTGTATTCTAGCTTGTTTTGCTTCAGAATTTTGCCATTTTTAGTGTAGGGCTCATACAAAAATAGTCTGGAAGTAACTAGAGAATATCTGCCCAGGTTTATTTCTGCTCCGAGTGCATTGTCCAGTCAGTTGTCCTACTGTCATTCCATTTACACATCCTAGGGTTTAGATCCTCAGTTTCTGCGATGGTCCTTTAATGAACTTGTTTGCATGCCTATCTCCTGGAATAAAATCTCCTTGAACTGAGAAGTTTGGCAATTTGGTATACCTGTCACCCCTGAAAATGAAGCAGATAGGGCAATGGCACAACTAGGGATCAGAGTGACCCCCCTCCTGGCCAGACTCCTTATCGCAGGAGCGATGGGGGAGGTACCCTATGGTAATAAGGATACTAGGAAGCAGGGTTTGTGCTCCCCAGGCACTGCAGCCGTCTGGCTTATTGTACCTAGTTCCTTAGTTCAGTGCAGTAGACTCAATCCTTCTTCTTAAAAGTGTCATTGACTGTTGCTGCTACAATTTTATTCCCTAGATTTTTTTCATATGTTAGGTTAAATCTCCATTGGGCTGTTGTTTTGCATTTGAAGATGATAAAGGTGGCTGTTGACTCATTACATAATCTGCAGATGGGATCATCTGCCCATGTTGTATAGATGTTTTCTCAGATGACAGTGAACAGTTAGTAGTCCTACCACTCCTCTGAATCTAACCCTCTCCAATTGCAGCAGTGTTTACCAGTCTTGGTGAGGGTTGTTTAATTACAAGTTTACTGTGTCTAGCGCCACTATGTATGGTCTTGCAGATCCTCCTCTGGCCAGTTTGTCAGCTTTCACGTTAACCAAAATTCCTCTGTGCCCTGGCACCCAGAATATCAGGTTGTGTTTTCCCAGGTTTTGGAGATTTTCGATGCATTCACTGACTAATTCTGATGTGATTTTTTTACATGCTAATGCTTTAATAGTTGCTTGGCTATCAGATCTTATGAGGATTTTTTTGCCAGTTTTTAAGATTTACCAGGACACAAGCAATAGAATAGGTACTAAGGCTTTCAGGTGTTCCCAAGTCGCTAACTTGAAGAGATTGATTCCCAAAGTATCTATTAAGGTCAAATAGATAAATTCATTAGGCCTCCTAGTAACCTTTCTTTGGTAAAGGGAGCCACAATGATTTTATTGGGGTTAGATAAATAAGTACTGAATAATTTAACCGACACCAGTAATCTTATTGGTTTACATATAGCTTTTTACTTAGCTTCCACCTAAAAGAGATTATTAAAATAATAAAAATGGGTCTTCTTCAATAATGTTAAGCGGTCAAACTACTTTCCTTTGATGAAAAAGCTAAGAAATTTCCCAAGCCTGATGTCTATCTGAAAAAAGGTTTTATTCGCTATTTCCTGGATTGCCAAATGTTTTTGCCTCCGGGTTAAATAATCACAGGAAACTGTGCTGTTCGAAACTTAAAGTTTTCGTCCAGGCATAGTTAAACAAAAAGGTCATTGCTCGTACACAATAATGCACGCCCACACACTACAAAAACTACAAGGTAACAATTAGCTGACATTGGATGTGTATATTTACCAGTGAAATTTAAAAAAAAATTAACAATTGGACCTTATTCTTGAGAATTTTTCTCTGATATAATTAGTACTCAACCTTTAACATTACAATTGTAGCTTATTTTGCTTGCCATGAGTTTCAACTTTAGGCAACAAAAAAAAGTCAACTTTTATCTTTTTTAGTGTAGAGTTAGTGCGAGAATATGCCAAACCAGGATGATTAGAAATGGCAATTTATATTAATTGTTTATTAAATACAGGTTACTAAAACTGTCAAACAGTGTGGTTGCCACATGCATATAAAAGAGACACAACTGACAAAATAACACACAGGCAAAACATTAGCAGACAACAATGAGCTAACCTGTCTTAATTTTTTCATTTCATAAATTAAAAAATTATTTTTAAAAAAAAAATAAACCTCAATTTTCTCAGCTTGAGCCAACTTGAACTAAAAAAGAGTCTTGATGCCCTTACAAAAGATCTGAAGGAAATAGCAGCCGAGAAAAATTGCCCACTCGATCTTGAACTCTATGCAAATAAACTCGTAAGCACAAGGCACAAGATTTTGGTAGTTGGAAACATACTTCAAGCTTCGCAGGTGGTTAAATTTCTTTTTTGTCTTCCCTTTTTTCTTCTTTTCTCAAATATTCTTATTTTTTTCTTTTTTATAGGACCGCCTTGATAAACTTCAAGCCCGAATACAAAAAGAAACCCAAACAAGAACACTAAGTGATAAATCTAGCCCAGTTGGTGAACAGCCTAATTAAATTATGGATAAGTACGTTTACTGTCTTATAAGTGTTTACTTATATTACAAATGTGCATTGATTTACAGATTACCTACCCCTCTGTGGAACTTAAATGAATTCACAGATGAAGTATATGAGCCTCGTGAAGATACATTCTTATTAATGGATGCCCTCGAAACCGATTTAAATCTAATTAAAAAATCAAATGCTATGGTGGCATTAGAAATTGGATCTGGCTCTGGAGTTGTAATAACCTCATTATCTTTAGCTGTGCCAAATCTCTATTGTTTAGCATTAGATATCAATCCAAAAGCCTGTGTAGCAACAAAAAATACAGCTGCGCTAAATAAAACGCAGGTAATTTTTTAAAATAAAACTACTTTACAAATTATTATATCAATTTTTACTTAGGTTGATGTAATTAGAAGTGATTTAGTGAAAAGTCTCAGGCTTAATAAAAGCGTAGATCTGCTTATTTTCAACCCACCTTATGTACCATCTGATGGCTCAGATGAAAATTCCATTTTGGACAAGGCGTGGGCAGGCTTGGAGAGAGGAAGGAGCACAATAGATTGGTAAATTTTACAACCTCTTTTCCTATTTGTCAAATCATTACATGAAATTATTTCAGGTTGTTGCCAATTTTGGAGGAGCTAATGTCAAATACTTGTTTGGGATATTTTGTAGCAATTGATGAGAATAATCCTGAAGAAATACTTTCAATACTAAGAAGCAAGGGATTCAACAGTGAAACGGTCGCAAGAAGAAAAATAATCGGAGAAAAATTGTCTATATTACGGTTCTCTAGAGGCTTAGATTTGTAATTCATAAAAAAAAAGTACTAAATATATTTAAACATAAATAAATTTATAACAAATAAAATATATATTATCTTACATAAATTTTCTCTTTGATCTCTCGTGTACCCCAGGATAAATCACACAAAAAGGTAAAGCGGTCCTATACAGGAAAAAGGTTTTAATTGAATAAATGTTTCACTTTAAGAGGTGGTCTCCGTGGCTTAAAATCAGATTTATTGTTCACCATGGAATGTTGTCCTTTGTCAAACTTGAAGGTTGATTGCTGGAGGCCCTCTTCTGATGATCTTGGGATGACAACCTCTAGACTCAGGTGACTTATCTCACAGCTGAACTTAAACTGGGTACTCTTGAACACAGGACTGCATTGATGAACCTGAATCGTCAACTAACTGACTTCACCTCACAGTCTCTGATACAGGGCAATCTTAAAGTCCTCAGAATGCGAACATTGAATGGCAAGTCCTCCGAAGACGGACTGGGTCCTTGATAACAATGCTTTGTATGTAACCTGGGACAATGGGATCCCAGGTTCTTGCACACAAGGCAGTGCACACAATTTTGCTTCATGAGCCTATGATGAAGAAGCTGCTTGACAAGTTGTGGACGAGGAAGTATATATATTTATCTTATTTAATCTTAAAATCATTTTTGTAGGTTGATAAACCTTGAAGTTTGTGTCTATTTCTTAAAAATAAATAAATAATTTTAAAAAAGTGGCTGATTAATTCTAGTCCAATTTTTCTGATCCTCTCACAGTTTTGATTGTTTAATAAAATAATTTTAACTAATAATTTCTCAAAGCCACTGAACTTTATTTATTTAATTTTTTTAATTAATGTTCCTTAGTTGTGAGATTTCTTGTATGAACCTGCAGTTTGGCTGTCTTTCATCATCCTGTTCTTACAGTCATTTTCAATTTTCAATTGGGCCCTTTTAAAACTTTATACAACGTAAGACCCACCACTGAAGATGGCAAAGTAATGAGATGCATCTGACAGGCCAAACTAACCATATGCAGACTAGGATGATTAGAATCAACTAAACTGGGGGCTCTTTCAGGTAAGGTGATATGGCTGATTTAACCAAGTTGCTTCAACCTTGTTCAATGGCTAGTTGACTGTCGTCAGTCATGTGAAGACTTTTCTTGGCTGATTTTACACGAGGTAATTAGTGGAATCAACATCTCTTACCAACGGGAGTTCACTACAATGTTAGAACTTGAGGAAGCAGGAGCACATCTCGTACTTGCTCTTCTGCAACAAGTGAAGTGAAAAATGTTGATACCTAGTCGAAGAAAGTATGGGTTCATCTGTTGTTACAAAATCAGAAAACGGGCAAATTCCCATTAATGCCATATCATGCTTTTAATTTTGTTGCTTCAATCCTCACACTTCATACCCCTTATCAGAACTAATACAAATTTCTTCAATGAACTGTTCATCATTGAAACTAGCCATCTCAATGCTTTCTGAGGTGATCTCAGTTGACTCAACTAGGCGACTGGTATGAAGGATGACAAGTTTTATCATTTGTGTTGTCAACGAATACTAGTAACGATGAGGGAGAGTGGACTACCTGTGAATGGGTTCAGGAATTTCCCAATCATTTGCTATCTGGCTAAACTCTTTGACACCATACATTTAACTAGTTGAATTAAATAGTTACCTAGTATGAACTTTGATTACTTTTTTCCACAAATGCAATAGGTCAGCTAATAAAGGAAAGAATAAGAAAACTTAATTATACACTTTTACAAGTACAATCAGAGGGTCATTATTTAAGATGGTACTGTGATGAGATACATCTAATAGACAAAACTAACCATTGGAAGACTAAGATGATTGGATTTGGCCAAACTAAGGCACATACTTCTTTAAACTAGTCCTGACAATCCAAGAAGACTTCTGTGAATACTTCTATCATGTATGAACTTACTGATGATATTACTTTTTTCTTTCATGCATGCATAGGAAAGCTAGATCTTTGATACATTCATTATAAAAATCAAGGAACTGTTGTCTTCAAGGATGACTTCATTATGCAGTGCTTGTCAACTTATTATATATGTAATCAATATGCCTTTATATATGTAATGAAAGCTTTTAGCAGAAATCCTACTGAACAGTACAGAACTGGGCAGAAGAATGAATTGCAAGGCATTTGAAAACCAGTGCATTGAGAAATATTCTTCAAACAATGTTAGATGACAAATGAAAACTCTTGAAAGTATAAGTGAGAAGTCATCATGGGTTGTTTCATCATGCCTTCTTTTATCCGTGTGACTCACTCCTGTTCCTGGAAGAAGAGAAAAAGAGCGGGTGGGCGGGGTCATATTTGAATTTCCCTCTGTTACCCTGGAATGCACCGCCAGGATTCTGTGATTCACCCGAAGACCCCTTCCTTCTTTTTTCAGGAATCGGGTTTCAAAGTCAATCATGTATTTCTGTTGACAAATAAAAGTCCCTGGCATTGGGTTTTTGTGCTTTAACTTCTCACGAACCCGGAGTCGTTGAGACCTGAGAGATGCTGAGTAATTACTTTACAGAGGTATTCGCTGTTGTTTTACTTTCACTCTAATGTTAAATTAAGTCCATTGTGCACATAAAAGAATCTCCCAAAGGTACTGATGTTAAATAAAATAAACAACCAAAGAAAAAGTTCTTTTTTTTTTAATAAGCTCTCTTAAATCTTAATATCATCAACCACAATTTATCCAAGGAGACAAAACTACTGTTCTTGATGTGATTTCAGCTATGTTATCGAAAAACCGGTCGTTTTCAGATCTAAATTCCTCTCAAAATTTAAGTAAGCAATGTTTTTTTGCTTAACAATTAATTAATTTTCAAATAAAAATATTCACGTGCATACGTTAAAGTATTACTGACTGAAAAGGTTCTAATTTTAATTAATTTCTGCATTTTCCTCTGTTTTGCTAATATTTATTGATGTGTTGTACATGTATAACTTTTTTCTTTATTTATATTTTTATGTGTACAGAAAAGAACGTTTCAGTCAGTATATTTTATTTTGCATTGATGACGTTGATTTTATAATAAACCATTACTGATAAATATTGACTTTCTCCTTCTGGAAATTAATGTTTAATTTATCTAGTCTTGGTGAGTCTTTTTTACCATACTTGACAAGACATTTTGCCGATGTTCTGTGAGTTTTAGGTCAGGACGACATGCCGGCCATTCCAAGTATTGAGTGAAAACCCTTTCCAATTATTTGAAGACGGTTTGACAAGGGTGAAATATAAATAGCCTGGGCTGCACCCTCCTCCCTCATCTTGAAGGCATAAATAGCCAGGGTTTGCACCCTCCTCCCTCATCTTGAAGGCATAAATAGCCTGGGCTGCACCCTCCTCACTTATCTTGAAGGCATTAATAGCCTGGGTTTACACCCTCCTCCCTCATCTTGAAGGAAGATAAGCAAAACTTTCCTCTGTTGAGTTAGGTCAAATTTATTATGAACAAAACATTCAACTACAAAGTTAATGGACTGGATCAGCAGAGAAACTCACGAATCAAGAGGACTGTCAATAGGTGGCCTTCAGAGGATCTGACTTTTAGAAAATCACACCTGATTAAGATAGCTCGTGCGAAGTCGTCACACGGAGACTTACTTTTGGATCAACTGAGGAAGGTTGCTTGATGTGTCTCACCTAATTGAAGGGGTCAATTCCTTGGCTCCATCAAGAGGATATGTAATCCACCAATATGAGAATTGTGCTTGAGCAGCGAGTATCTGAGCCCCGTTCTGATTTTTGGAGGAAACAGGGTTGTTTTATTTTATATAGTACTGATATAAATGTATTGTTTTCTGGCTTTAAGTGTGTTGAGAGTGAATGTACTTATTGGCGTGAATGTTTAGAGTGAGAGGGCTTTTGGAGGAATATTGAGAACCCTTTTGACCCTCATGTAGATTATTTATATAACTTATGTGGAAGGTGATGGTGGAATTCTAAGTACTTTAAGTGAGTAAATGGTATGTATATAGGAAAGAATGTATTTAAGAGTTAGTTGGATTTTGATCTGATGATAGGCTGAAATGCTAACTGTTGATAGCCTCTGGAGCCCAACCTCGGTGGGCAGACGGATAAGACCGAGGTCTGCCAACACCTGATGTGGGTGGTTCTCAAGGCCTGTCCGTAATTTATTGTAAATTACAAAAGCTGGACTTGCCAGTGGACTTGCAAGAAGTGATAGGCTCAACTCTGCACATGTGTGATGGGCATTGTGCAAAATTGAGCTTATATAAATTAGCAATCAGTACAAAGTTTTGAATAGCATCTTGCTGACATTGTTTTGTAGCCGTAACTTTGAGGACCTCTATGACAAAATTCCAGTGATATTTTTACAATAGGTTGTTTGCTGGTGTCCACTCTTAACTCTGCAGTTAAATTTTGAACATGGGACCTTGTGACTTTTATACTGCACCTTCATTTGAAGCCACATTCTTCTTGAGGTTTCTTTATAAATCTTTAATAAGAAAGTCTTACGGTTTAGACATTGCATAAATCTCTTCCATGTCACACTTCAATGATTCTTTGTACAACGTGCCTGATAGGTTCGCCCAGATAAAATCTAAAGTCAGGGAGGCTCGCCTTGGGCAGTCGGCTGTTGTGTTAAGATCGTTTTCTCCTATACAGCTTAATCTGATGACTAGCTTCTTTGAAATGCTTGACTATTTTAACAGTGGAGAACTTTTGTGCTTAAATTTTAGGCCTTGGTTAGCTTGAGACTCTGATTTTGAAAAGTATTCACTATGTGTGGTGTTTAGTGACCATTAGTTGGTGATGAGTACAAATATTTTGATTGAGTCTAAAATTTCTAGCATTGTATAAATTCAATTTTTTTCCACATCCTACATGTATTTGTATAATTTAAACAATGTCCCAGACTCTGAAGATGATCTCAATAAAGATCGAAACATGGCACGATAAAGAAAATGTTTTTCTAAACCTCTGTCACACCAGATCGCATCTCATGATCTCCAAATAATCAGTATTCGCTATGCAACTTAACACTAATGAGAATTTTCCCTGTTCATTATTTGTAGAGTTAATTTAATGGCAAGCTTCTCTGCTCAAACCTCAACCTCATTCAATTGAATTTTTTTGAAATTTGTATACAGGTCAATATCATTCTCAGTTCTCTCAATCGTTGTCCAACTTATCTGAAGATGTAAACCAGAGGCAGGTCATATCAACTGTCTCACTAGCATTAGAAACTCTTCACCTTAATTTAACATCTCTGACCACCTCCTTGCCCTGGCTGTGCAGTAATGACTACAGTGGAATCACACCACAAAAGATCAAGTCAAGATGTGAGACATTAAGGTGAATCAGGCTTTCTTTCTTGGCTACCCACCGACTTCTTCATGACAATGTGTCAAGTTCTTAAGATAATTGTTCTGGGAATTTTGAGTAATCTGGCCACATATTTGACTTCCTCTCTTTCATTAACAAGAAGATTCTTGTTGGATCTGTGTCACAAAATAATAAAATATAGAAAAACAATAAAATGACAGAAAGATAAATTAAACCATTAGAGAGCTTTAGACTAAAACAAATGAGATGGTTGATTATTTAAAGAATATTATTCATAATCCAATTGCTAAAATAGTGAGGGTTTGTTTGTGTTCCATGTAATAAACTTAAAATTTAAAGCAAGGATTTGTCTAATAAGGAAGTAAAACAAACCAAAAAAATTGGAGGGATAATGGAACATCCTAGGTTTGGATCTCAGCAGCCCTAAATTCAAACCCACCTTAGTTTTGTATTAGATAAACATAGTTGTTGTTATATTGTTTGTTACTGGAACCATTAATTTATGTACAAAAAAAAAATTGTGTATCATAAGTACGGCTTTTTCACAGATTGAGAGAATCCGTGGAATCGGAAAGGACTGGAATCTCACAGACGAAGAAATTGACAGGATCATAGATGAGTCGTTCAGGTTCCTCGAAGCAGATGGCTTTCAGGATGAACAGGACACTTTGCAAAAGAGAAAAAGTCAAATTAGTTTAATCGGCTTATCCATAGTCATTTGCTTGGTCGCTGTCCTGTTTGGTCTTCTCTTCACCTACCGTAAGACTGCACATAACTACCTTGAAAGGAACATACAGGAACTCATTTATCCTGGGATGAAACTTTTAAGGAAAATAATGCTTCCGATCGTCAAGACTTTTCCTTCAATTACAGGTTCTTCATTTTAATTTGATTTGATGATTTATATTATTAGTTATTGTGTGTGTTTGTTTGTATTAACCTAATTAATTACTGTTAGAAAAATTAAGTAAATAATTACATTTTGTGTTTTTTCTTCTCACTTGCAGACTCTTAGAAGAAGGGATTCGAAAAATGAAGCATCTTCATATGCAATCATTATTTCTAATCTGAATTAGCTCTTCTCTATTTGTATTCAGACTGTGATATTTTAATTATTCCTGTATGAAATAATCTCATTAAAAAACATTATATCTCTCTTTTCTTGAAATTGATAAATAAATAAACTGTTTTTACTATGCACCCGACTTTTGAATCCCTGAAAATTTGCAGACCTTATACTAAAATTTTTATCCAACTTGTATTAAACATGTGTCAGACTGATCTGGTAGTTCTCCACATGCATGAATAAGAAAATATAGCCATTTTTTGGGTTAAATATGATGTTTTATTTTTATTTGCATGTTTTGTAGGTTCAATTTTACGTAATGACACCCAGACAATTTGACTCAAAATATATATAAAAATATAGTTAAAGTTAATGGTGGTGTTGGTCTGAGTCAGTGAACTCATGTTAAACCAGCAGTAAGTCACTTGTGGGGTTTGTCTATACTCGCGAGTATTGATGCTACTCAAACTCAAGAGAACCTGTCGTACCTCACTGAAGATGACTTCAGCCAACACGCATTTGAGTACTGTTAATACTCACAAGTGTAGGCAGGACCAGTAAGTGACCCTCTGCCGGTTCAAATAAAATATATTTACTTTATGTGTTCAGTCATAATCCATCTCCACTCTCCTATCCTTCACGTTGTATTTTGACCCAAAGGATTGCGATAAAACAGCAGGTCTTCAGCCAAACATTGTAATAAAACACAAACTTAAGTCAGTAGGAAAGTCCAATATTAAGTGTATTTGAACTGTTGACATATCTGATCATTTTCGTCTCTCAAATGTGTTTGGAAAGGGTAGTTCTACTGACAAACTGGCTTTGCAGCTATCTGGATTTCAAGCATTAAATGCCCTTTGTCAGGCTGAAACGTACAAGTACGTTTTTCAACATGACATCTGAACAGTTCACATCTTATAGGCATTCATGTTGAAAAATGTGCTTGTACATTTCAGCCTAACAATGAGCATTTAATGCTCAAAATCCGGATAGCTGCTAAAACCAGTTTTTGAGTATAACTATCTTTTCCAACTAGTGAAATGATGTACTCATTCCACCTCTATTAATATATAGAGGAAATTTCAGTTAGTTGTTTTGCTGAAACAAATCTTTCTCAAACTGATTAATACTCTTTACAATTTTAATGTTATTGTTATTGATGGATACTTGTGTAATCTGAATTATTTGTTTAACTTAATACATGCACATTACATTGTGCATGTATTACATGTAATAAAACATGTACATATGTATAAGTACATTTACCTTAATATATTTAAAGTTGATGGCGAGTGTTGGCCTGCGAGTCGGCAAACATGTTGAACCAGCACTGCATCTATCTTTTTTTATGTCAAAAATGTCGCCTCAAATGCATTTCGGCCTTACTCCATCTTCAGTGAGGAACAGTCTACAATGGCTCAGTGCCAGTTTAGTTGTTTAATTTCGTTTTTCAGGCTTGACATTTACAACAAGTTAAGCTTCAACTAGACCTCATTTTAATAATAAAAAAAAAAATATTTTACAAAAATTGTCGATCTATTTGGTGATTGTGAACATAGCAACTTAACGCTCTCAATCAGCAAACTTGAAAGAAAAAAATTATATGTAATAAAAATAGATTATTGAAATTGAATACCTAATTTGGTATTACATAACATTTTTTATGCCTCAAAATTGATGTTCCAAGTTTTATAAAGCACATTTTAAAAATTATTTATCTGATTTTATAGCAAATTTCGATTTATTGCATTTTTAAATTCCAGAGTGGTACGATGAGGCTTGTTTAATTTCAAATCCATACTTTAGAGTATCAGACATAGATTGCTGGCCTTGCAAAGGGGTCAGGAGTGTGTTAAACTTGACACAGAGCAATCTCATGAGTAAGGAATTCCACACTGGAATCCCTTTTATTATAAAGGTGAATAATCATTATCCCCCCTAACCCATGCAAGTCAAAATCTTTTTCTTATTTGGAAATTTTACAGGATGAAACTCTCAAGCTTGTAAGGTTTAGAGACTTGAAAAACATGTACAATTCAAAAAAAGACATGTTTGATCGGGACGCGCCGAGGATTGAAAGCACAGGGGGGTGGTCAACGAGTGAGGATATTTTCTACAACAAACCGTTAAACACCAATCCATCTCAAGCTAGAGACGTCCATACATCTTGGTAATTAACAATACAAAGAATTTTTACCTATTTGTAAAAATTGTTTTATTCTTTAGGAAACTGAATAGACTTGAGCCAACGAGAGAAGTGAGAAAATTGTTCGGATTTCCAAAAAAATTGCCCAATTATGTTTCAGGGGTAACTCCAGAGAAATATATACTGATAGACGAAAAGCTTTCACCACCTTACCAGATTGTAAGTTTTATTGTAAATAAAATTAAATTTTTATTAATGTCTTGAATATTTTTAGCCTGGAACAGAAGGCACAACAGTGTTCTTAGTGCAAGGTAGCGGAACCCGCCTTGTTATTTTAGAGCCTTCGGCCGAATGTCAATCTTCATGTCATCGAGTTTCAGTTCTTCTAACTCCCAACCATATATGTAAGTTTTAATTTCTTATTTCCTATAGTATAAAATTAATATTTACTTTTTTTTCAGTATGGTACAACTGGTGGTACTGGAGAGCGACAAGTGCCCCGTCTGAATCAGGACGATTAAGTGTCACTTACCTTGGGTCTTATTACTAAAAAGTTCCTAATTTATATAAAGCAAATAATAAATTGTGAACGCTCATAATAAATCATTTTCTATTTGTTCATTATTTTAACCTCTGAAAAGCCTGTATTAGTTTTTACGTAAATTTATCAACAATAATCTGGGTTACACTGGCCTACCCAGGTATATTAAGTTGTCCTCAAAATTGTAACATTTTAAAAATTGTTTGCAACCCTAATAACGAAATTCACGTTGATACATGAAGATTCACCATAACTTATTAGTTAGTTAGATTCACTAGTTTTGCGGGAGGTTGGTGTCCAAGTGGATCAAGGACATGATAGCTCAAGTGGTTAAGCAGCAGCGTATCAAGCCGAAGATCGTGGGTTCGAATCCCGCTCGTGCCATTGACTTTTTTATCTCTTAATACCTTAATTATAACTTATTAGGTTATTAAAAATGATATTGACTTACTCCCTTCTAGTATTTATCAATTCTTTAATTGAATATCGTTACTCTAAATATGGAGAACTCTTGATGGAATAATAAACATGGTCAAAACTTCCCTCAACTGAATTTTTTTTCTCTTTATTTATGATTTAACTAAACAATTTCACTTGTATAATTCATTAATTTTTGTAATACATTTTTATTTTGAAATTACAGTTTTATTTACTTAAATTTAAAAATGTACATTATTTCAAATAAATTAAATTAACTATACTTTTTATTTAAGATCTTGATTAAGATGAAAAAGCTAGCAACATAAGTGGGATTATTTTATTTCCTATTTTATTAACTTTTTATATTTTTATGAACTTGTTGTATTCTTCCTTTTTACACATTTTTCAACTAATATTGTAAATAAATTTATTAAAAAATGCTAAATTATTTACATTTTTTAATTGGTCATTTGTTAAAAAAGAAATACATATACAAATCTTGACCTGAAGGACAAAAATAGTTCAGCTTTGAAAGTTCCCTGGCACAGATTGTCAACAAGAGTTGAATAGAGATCTGTCAACCGAGTTTTAGCTTATCGGGTATATTTCTGCTTCTCGCCATCTTCAGTTTTTAATAATAATTTTGGGTAAAAACCAGCACGGATGATGACAAGGTAAAATGCATCTTACAGACCAAAACGGTTACGAAGGCCTAAACCGCAGGTTCACTAGGCAGACCTCATAATTTTTGGATATAAATCAGTTTGGTTTTAAATCAGCACAGCCTAAATAACTAGCCACAATATTACAAAATATACATTTTTACAAAACTTCTTCTCTGCTGATTAGATATTCACACACTCAAGTCATGTTTCAATTCATAAACTGGAACGGATTCTTGACTCGAAGGACAAAAGTTGGACTCTTTCAAACTTGATTTGACCAACTAAAATAATAAAACCAGACCACAACCCGAATCCTAATCAACATCATAGTGAATGCTGGTTGATCGCATAAAAAACATTAATAAACTAAAATAGTTCAACTCTGAAGGTTCTTACAACATTGACAACAAAAGTTGAACTATCCTTGCGTTTACCTTGTTAGGTGCATTCCGGCTTCAAGCCGTTAAACTTTTAACAATAATTTTGGTCAAAATCCACCACTGAAAAAGACAAGTCGAAACACATCCAACAGACATGAACAGAGTCTCAAACATGGCTGAAGACAAAAGGTCAATGCCAAAAAACAACAGACCGAAACCATTACGAAATAACCAAACTACAAGTTCACTTAGCAGACCTCACTATTTTTGGTCACAAGTGCAGGGAAAAATCAAACAGTTGTGTTTCATAGTGGCATCTTGTGTGAGCAGAATGGAGCTTGAGTTGTGTTCTTTATAAGTATTCTTAAAGTCATTTTCAAACCTAAACAGCATTTAGGTGAGAAAACATACAATCAGACAAATTAATTTAATGTTTAGCCAATGCAAAAAAATTCTATGGCCACATGTAATACAGCTTCACATTACTATTTAAAAAAATAGAAGCTAATGTAAGAAAGAAGGTAAAAATGTTCTACATAAACTAATAAAAAAAAACAGTGTAAACTTATTACTCTTTGTAATAATTGACAAGGAACAGAAGAAATGACAAAAATAGACACCAAAAGGTATTAGAAAACAGTGAGAAAAAGAATTTTAGCTTTTCCAATTCCTTTATTGTATGAAACACTTTCACTCCATTTGTTTTCAAGGGAAAACAGTTAAATATATTTGTTCATCATAAAATTTTGTCATAGGAGTTTTATTTTACAATTGTACTTAGATTTGTAATTCTACTGAAAGGCTTTTAAATTATAAATAACAAATTAATTGTCAGGAGTGTGTTTGTGTGTGAGTACAATAACTGTCACAACGCTGTGATTAGCGCCGTTTGGAATTGTTAGCTTGAGGAGTAACAAATTTTGAATTGAGCCGAAGCGAATAATTTGACTTTGCAAAAGTTTGCTTTAAATAATATATTTGCATTGTGAAATAATAAAAGAAACATTTTGCCAAAGCAACAACAATTAACAATATATACAAAATAACAGTAATCTTTACATCTCATTTATTTCCAAATAAAGAAGTTCAAAAACAATATTTCATTCCTTCGGAATTACGAAAATAAAATGAAAAAGAATCTTTTACTTTCAAACTTATGCAATTAAACAATACATAACCCTTAAACCTCAAACTCATGTACAAAAAATCAACACCTCCTCATAATTTTTTTTTTAATACAAACAGGAGCAAAAATATATGGATCATATAGAGAATTTATTTCATTTATTAGCTCGATTTCAAAAACCTAAGGCAGTTATGTGACAAAAAATAAACAAATACACAAAAAGTTATTTGATTTTTAATAAAAACCACACCCATTTTGATAATCTTGTTTCCTATCTGACCTTACAGTGTAAAGCCATTCCTACAAATTTATCATAATAGTCAAAAATTAATTACATTCTTTAGATTGATACCCTATTTACCTCCAATAAAGACTATCATTTTTTCCATTTGATCATAAAATAAAAAATAAAAACGTTGAAATACCAGTTGTATATAATAATTAATGGATATTAATTAGGCTAGATGTAATTTTTATAATTATATTACTAAGAGATAAACTTATGGTCTATCTTTCCTTCTTTTTTTAAATATTTTTTTATAATATTTACATTTTAAAAAATTATGACAAAAAAATATAAGTTGAAAAATAAATTATTTTGAGAACGCAATAACATAATTTGATTTCAAATCCATAAATAAAAAGACAAGGGATTCTAAATAATAATTAGGAAGTTAGTATTTTTTAAAAAATATGCTGTCTAAGAGCTCCTTTTATTAAAAACTCGGAGAAATCATCAACGTAAAAAGAAATTTGCCCCCAAATCTTCAATTATTATTCTATTGATAAGTGATGCGCATCTTTATATATCGTTTTATTTTTATTTTATCTTCGAATCATTACTTAAAAGCGCAATAACAGGGGAGTGAAAGTAAGATGTTGGGGGAGAGAGAGATAACAATAGAGTGAGTTTAATAGATTTGATGATAATATTGGGAGCCTGCAGATGACGTTGCTTAATCTCTCTCCCTTGTGTTTTTATTGTTGCTTTTTGCATCAATTCCATTTGTCCCCAGTTTTTGACTTCCCATCCCCCGCAAGTCGCTCGTCTTAGTGACTGATCCTCGCGAAGAACTAAACGGAGGCGCCTGGTTAGGCACTGCTCACATCTTCATTCTATGATTTTGAGCACTTTACCAATTGCAATGGTTTTACCTGAAATTTCAATAATAATAAGAAATCCGATAAATTATTAATGGTTTGATTTAACATACCCTCATCCCTGAGAGTGAACCTTCCCATTTGTGGGAACAACTTGAATTGCTCTAAACAGATTACTCCGGCGCATTCTATCCTCATGATGGCGACTTGGTCTTGTTTGACAAACCTTGGCCTAGTTTTAGTTTTTTCTCCAGTCTTCTTGTCTATAAGGCAAATCAACGCTTTGACAGTGACCTCTTCAGCGACACAATGGATGTGCATAACGGCTGAATAGCCCGCACATATAATAGATTTGTGCTCGAGAATGACAACCTAAACATTATACATTGTGTATTATTCAATAATAAAGCAAATTTTTATTAATAATTTATACCTGAGCATCAAAAACTTTGCCGGTCTTGGCAGGTGCGTTGGGATCACAGAGAACAAACCCAGGAGAAACATCCTCCTCTTCAATGCCTTTCAGCTTGACTTTTATATTTTCACCAGGACCTACAGACGTGACTTCTTCATCATCTGAAAACAACTGATCTACTACTACCGGGGTCTGGAAATGCAAAAATTTACTCATTATAACACATTACGATTGGAATGTTTTTTTAAAAACTCATCAAATTACCCTATTAGGCATTAAAATGAGGGACTGTCCTTTTTTCATTTCGCCGCTTTCAACCTTTCCCATGACTACTGTTCCCATATCCTTGTATTTTTCAACGACAGGCATGAGAAACGGTCCGTCCATTTTTCTGTTAAGAGATGGAAGGTTGTCGATGAATGTTATAAATGGCACTCCTCTGAAAAGTAGAAGTAAATCATAAGACAATTTGATAAAAGAATATAACTGAACCAATAAATTCCATAATTAAATAAGGGATTTTAATATAATTTCAATATTGTATTTATAGTGAATATAGACTTTTGAGTGGAGAAACGTATGAGCATTTTTCAGTTCACGCACGTCATAGGACCACTTTCTTTTAAGGCGCATATTAATGCGCGGTGACATTATGTGGATGAACGTCATGATGTTACTGATGATGCGCACAATGCAAAATAGTTCAATACTATTCCTGTTTATTTATTTTTAAGCCAGATGAGGTTATAATTTGATTGTTTTATAAGTTTATTAAATGTGAAAATATGAACAATTTTGTAATAAAACTGAAGTTAAAAAGATATTTTTTTTTTTTTTTATTATTCCAATTTCTTTTGCATATAACGGATCTTTAAATTTTTTGAACATCACGAATCCTAGAGCTGTATTCTAAAATAAAATTGCTGAAATCAGATGGAACAGAAGGTCCATTCCAACAAAAGAATGATGATGACATCCAGAAGAATGATATCCCATCCCATAATGCAAAGTCCAACACGCAAAATCTGTGCCACTGCCACAGCACCACACGTCTGTCAGCTGTGCTGAGCTGATAGCATCTCAATTTGCCCTGATCCATTAATTTCCTTATGCTACAAAAGGGGGACCTAATTCTCTTCACATTGCATGCCTCTCAATATGCGCCTTGCCTTATTTTATACAAAAGTTCTCATCGTAATGGTTAAATCAATTAAATTAGTTCATTCTTTCACAGACCTTAGTATGTTCTTAGTCATATATAAAAATCATTTGATCTTCCCAACTCTCATTCAACACAATTTGGGTGCAAACCCAACATTCAATGTGTTAAGAAAGATAATACATCAATGAAAAGTTTCTACTCACCTATACCAGGGGCACAGTTTTTCATCGATTTGTTCTTTTAGGCCAAGGCCAGTAAGTCCTGAGACTGGCATGAAAGTGAGATCCTTAGTGGTGTTGAATCCTAGTTTTTTAAGGTATGGAAGGATTTTATCTCTACATTCATTATATCTATCCTCAGACCATTTGACAGTCGGATCGTCCATTTTGTTAATAAGAACTACCATGTGTTTCACGCCCGCAGTCTTTGCTAACATGGCATGTTCCCTAGTTTGGCCTCCTCTGTCAAAACCTGTTTCAAATTCCCCTTTCCTAGCAGATATCACCTTGCATGGAAAAATGTTCCGATAAATTATTTTTCCCGTTACAACGATTAAATTAGAGTTTTTCATTGAACAATAAATACATACAAGAACAGCTAAATCAGCTTGTGCAGTGCCGCCGATCATATTTGGCACAAAACTTTTGTGCCCAGGCGCATCGAGAATTGTGAAGTGCTTTTTGTCAGTCTCAAAATACGCTCTACCAACTTCTACGGTTTTGCCCTTTTCTCTTTCTGAAAATTAATGCAATAGCAATTAAATATTAATTACTTATTTATGCAGAATCTAATTACATACCTTCTTGATTTGTATCAAGAGCCCAGGACAAATACCATGACTCTCTACTCCTCTCCTTTGCTTCTCTCTCATATTTTTCCAGTGTCCTTTTATCGACCATACCAGTCAAAGCCATAATTTGGCCACCAATAGTTGATTTTCCAGCATCTAAAATTAAAAAAAAAAAAAAATTAAAATGAATCAATTTATTTTTCAACAATCAACAAACACAACCACTTCACACAAAATTATTTTCAAGTAGGTAACAAAAATATGGCTAGTAATTTAAGTTAATCTTGTACAAGACATTTGCTTTAAAGTGAAATGATTTTAAGAAATTTAGTTTAAACTATAAGGTCATTTTTATAAACTAAATCACCAGCCCATACACTAATTATAAAAAAGAAATTCAGCTATCCACTATAATGGACTAGAGCCTAAAAATCTTTTTTTTTTTTTTCTTTTTTTTTTTTTTTTCAAACTACTACAATTAGCAGCATTAAGAAAGTGATCTCTAAATACTATATAAGATAAAGTACTATAATAAATTTCTAAATCTGTTGACATTGCTCACCTTTGAGACCAAGTAAAAACTTACTACGGAATGTGTTAATTTTCTTCAGATTAACAGTTGTTGTTAAGGATCATAAATATAATTTAATTTAGTAATAACTTAAATACTAATTGTATTTGTAAATATGTTTTGTTTATTAGTCATTACTAGCTGCTTAATTCCTGACTATGCACATATGTTACATTAAAAGACATAAATTTTAGTTATTTATAAAAAGGAGGACAACTTACTAATAAAAATAAAATACATCATATAATCTCAAAAATTACATAATGAACAATTAAAACACTTAGAATAATATTTATTTGAATAAAATTATATATAAAAGATAAATTGTACAACATGAATGAAAAATAAGAGAAAAACATTAACATAAAAAATAAAGTTGAAAAACTAGGTATTCATAAAACATTTCAAGTCATTAAAAAAAATTAATTCAAAAAGGACTATTGGAGGAAGATCGTAAATAAAACATTTCAAGACATTAAAAAAAAATTAATTCAAAAAGGACTATTGGAGGAAGATCCTAACTTTCAGTTTACATACCGACATGTCCAATAATGACAACATTGACATGCTCCTTTTTCGACCGGGTCTCCTCGGCGCGGACAGGTTTCTTTTTGGGTTTGATCACAACCTCTTCATCCTCAAGGTCAAGGTCCTCGTCGTCTGGTGTGAGTAGGGTCGGAGGGTCTGAATCCTCGGCCGCCGCCTCCCAAGAGTCAGCAGCTGGTGGTACAGGCAGTTCCATGTCCTCTTCACTAGCAACTCCAACCGGTGGTGCTTCGTATCCTCCAACACCTGTAAAAATAAAAAGTCTAATTTTAAAAAACTTACAAAAACAAATGGGCCGTGTCATTTTAATGATTATGGTCATTTTACACCCCCACGAATCTACATCTAATGGTTTACTTCCTGTAGCCAATTCAATGAGATTCAACCTCTGAACTCAATTTATATTGAATTTTATAATACACTTTAATCGTTAACTATTTTTTGTTGTACATTAATTCTTCTTATTCCTGAACATGTTGGTTTATTCATATTTTCCTTCAGCCAAGCAACAGCCCATATTTTGTTGTGTATTTCAAAATATATGTAGTTTTATGGTTATATTAATTTTAATGTAAACCAAACTATACAAGAATCGGAATTCATGAGTTTTAATAAAAATTATGTAATTATGATGGTTTGAAAGAAAATTCATCAAAACACCGGAAAATCATTTAATGATAGATTAAAATTTTACTAACAATTTATTACCAAGCTTTGCTCTTAATAACGCCTGCTACACCCTCTGGTTTCACGGAGATCCTGGTAAGTAAATAAGCGATCAGATTCTGCCTTGTGAAACAAAATTCCATTCTTTAGCATGAATAGTTTGAGGCTGCTCAATGCTTGTTGGAGGTGGCGAACAATGTGTAACCAGTATCTTTATCAAGATCCATAAGTGCTTTATATGATTCATGACTGGAGAACGTGCAGACCAATTTACGGTGGCAATCATACACTAAGTAATGGGTGACAACTTGAGCTAAATGGTAAAGCATTATCACACATTAATATGAAGTTGTCCCCAATAATGGAAGCAAATGGGATCATATCTTCCAGAAATAACTTTCTCCTTCCTTAGTGCAATCAAAGATCCCTTCTTTATGATAATCAGTTTGGTACAGGCTGGTTCCACCTCATACCATAATTGAATGCTTTTGAAAAGGCGTAACTCACGTTTGGCATAGAAACAAAACGTTCTCCACATCTGATTGCTACAAACTAAACTGGAATTCATCAGTGTAGAGAGCAGGCCCTGCATTGTTCAAGTGCCAAAGCAAAATGCTGATTTGGAATAGAGGAGGAATTCTCCCGAAGCCTTCTGATGTCTGTTTCAGAGCTCACCCTTACATTACGAACGTGTGGAGTTGAGTGCATATCAAGGAAGCCATTAAATGATGGTTCTATAGTACGGAAAAGCATTAAAGTGATTGCCTCCATCGTATGGTCAACCACTGCCTTCTCTTCGATCGAAACTTCCAGTGGCCTTAAACCTCTATAGACCATTGGGCCATATAATGAATGATAAGTTTACTCAAAATTTATTGCTTAATAAAAAATAATAATAACAATTAACTCGCTTGACAAGTTTGCTCTTGAAGGTATGAAGTTGAACTGATTTTCCTTACTTTAATCTAAAGAGTGTACAATGATTAGTACACCCTATAAAGATAAACAAAAATTATTGATGTTGAGTTTACGTTTTAAGTGAACTATTAATCATTATGCTTAGTTATGGAAAATAAATAATTTTTTTTTTGCCTTTTGAGCATTTTATAAAATATGTGACCTAAGAGTGGTTCCAGACGTACAGGATCCGTTGAATGCTGATTAAAGGTTCATCAAATCCCAAGTAGTGGGGATGGTTGCTTGGTTATTCGCCAAGCAACAACATTCAGTGCTCGCCATGCTCAGCTAATTGTCAGTTTCCTTGTCCGCTTCAAAGTGCACAAATTTTCTCGAAGTGGCCAACTCAAATCATCCACACATTCGGGAATCAACTGTACTGTACGGATATCAACTATAATCATCGATCAACACTATTTACTTTTCAATAATAAACTATTCCTAACTAGTACAGATGTATTAATGAAGGAACGTTCCAATTGTTGTATTCGTTTCCACACAAATTGTCTAGTTGTACGAACGTAGGCATGCTATTTGGCCAATGCCAAGACGAGCGTCTCAACAATTGGCAAATGTTCGGCAGCACTCGGCGAGTACACATCTGGAGCCACCTTAACACAAGCCAGAGTTTAAGCCAAATAAGATAGAAGCAGTGTAGACTAAAGAAAATATGAACGACTTTGCAGATTTACTCATCTTTCTTATCACCTCATGAACAAGAGATTAAAGTACATCGTTTATCAAAAGTACATTACAAAATTTATAATACATCTTGATTCAATACTGACTCATTTTTCTTATTGGAATTTAAGTACATTACAAAAAAATTAAGTTTTGCAATGCAGGTTGATCCAACAGATGTATTCTAGAGTTAAAAAGCTATTAAATAGTATAGAAGTGTTGTCTAAGGAAATATGAAAGTTGAAAAAGAATCAATGTAGACTTACTCATCTTTTTTGTCCCCTTATCTACATAAATTGGTGTATTTTCCTAATAAAGTTCTACTACTTATTGGTGAAAATTGATTTATTAAAAACAAATGACTATTTAATACTGGGAGAAATCTATGGTTCGATATTGAGAAGTGCTGTTATTCGAATCGTTTTACCACGTTATTTAGAAATATTGCACGTTGGAAAAAGGTCAATTCTTTTAAAATTTAGAAAAAAAATATTTTCTCCAGTTTTGGATAAGAGTAGATTTAAACTTTTACTAAGAAGGTCTGTTAGTAATTGAAAATACGGTTTAAAAGAGATGAATTGGCGTTAATAACGGAATTGAACTATCCACATTGCCTGAAAGTGTGACACTGACAAGTTCTAGAAAGTTAACCTTAAAATAACGATGTCTGTGGTTAAAAATGTTAAAGATATCGTTGGTATTCACCGTTGGCAACCGGCGAGTCGGCTTTTTTCTCGACTTGGTCCGAGTCCTCTTCTTCCTGGGGCTCCGAATACGAAAAGGAAGGGACGAATTCTGCCGCGTTGACGTTCAACGTGGAGAACTTGGTGGACATGTCCTTCTGTTCGGCCGTGGTCGCATCTCCGCTGGAAAGATCCGCTTGTTGCTCCCAAGAATCTGGGGCCGCGTTGCTTGCCATTTCTCCTGTGTTCAGGACTCGGGGCGATTTTTCCAATTCCCGGCTATTAAACGAGAGACGTTCTAATGGGGGAAAAATAAAAACAAAAAAAAACACCTCCCTATCGCACCGTCAGGGGGATTGAACACCTCGTGTGATCTACAGGGGATAACTGGCCCTCCTCGCCGGAAGTCGGCACCGCTTTGCGCCCGATTCTCCAGCCGCTAACGTCGACAGGATTTCAACTACTTTCTCCACTTTCAGACATTCTTTCCCACAAAAGTCAAAAAAATTTGGAAAATAGAAAAGTCGCCTTTTTTTCCCTAAAGGTCTAAATATTGTTTGTACGCGGCACTTGAAGATCCAAGACTTATATATGCAATAAAAACATATGTTATCCTTAAGCACCAATAGCCCTTAAAACCATTCAGTGCTTTCTACAGTTTATTTTAATAAACATCTAATCCAACTGTAATTAAAAGTCGAATTGAACTCTAAAATAAATCTACCGGAAATGACGGTTCACTAAGGAGGGAAAATCTAAAATTGTTTCGCTTTCAAATCATACCAGAAGTTTCCACCAATATATATATCTCGTAAATTTTAACAACGTTTATAATTTACGAATTTTATTTAACACATTATTATTTTATTTTTTTCTATTTAAATTCGTTATTCAATTAAGTTGGGATGAGTTTTAAACGAATAGAATGTGTTGTTCTCCTTTTGTCTGTATCCAGATTGTCTATTAAATGGCAGTTGGCAGAGTTAAACAAACAGAATCAGTGCTGCTTTAATTTGCTCTTTATGCAGATTATATATTTAATTTAGTAGAAATAAATTTTAAACAAACGAATAGAATCATTGCTGTTCTAATTTTGTCCGTATCCAGATGGTTTATTAAATGGCGCTTGGATAAGTTGTAAACAAACAAATAGAATCATAGTTGCATAATCAAATCATATATTATTCAAAATCCAGATTGTTTATTTGCTGACATAGGGATAAGGTTTAGACAAACAAATAGAATCATTGCTCCTCTAATGTTGTGTTTATGCATATTATTTAATTAATTTAGTAGAAATAAGTTTTAAACAAACAAATAGAATCATCGTCAATCATAGAACAATATAATTTAGTAGAAATAAGTTTCAAACAAACAAATAGAATCATTGTTGCTCTAATTTTTTCTTTATGCATATTATTTATTTAATTTAGTAGAAATACGTTTTAAACAAACAAATAGACTCATTGTTGCTCTAATTTTGTCTTTATGCATATTATTTATTTAATTTAGTAGAAATACGTTTTAAACAAACAAATAGACTCATTGTTGCTCTGATTTTGTCTGTATATTTTTCCCCCATCCCCCTGCAACAGCAGAGGTCATATAAACCCTTAACTTACAGTGATGAGTGCCGTGTCGACGCCTAAACCATTGCGGCCACCGCAATGCTTCGCTCAGATTGTTTATTAATTGGCACTTGGATAAGTTTTAAATAAAATTCAAACAGTGGTTGCGGCCGGGCGACGCAGGGGCCACTGGTCTGTGGGGGTCAACTGCTTTGGGGGGCGGTACTTCGGTGACTGCCGGTGCTGAGCTGGGTTTCTACCTCTGACTGGAGAAGGATGTGAATGGCATGGCACACATGCATATTCTTCGAAAACAGTCAGCCACGGTTTATAAAACAAACAAAATACAGTAAGAAAAAAAGGTGAGAATGCTGGCTTTCATGGGGGTGCAGTGCCGGGGGTAGATGGGTTCCCCCATTCCGGCGGTTCACGGGGCGTTGGCTGCGGCATGGCTACACATGGTTTATGGCTATAAAGCCAATACCAAAAAAAAAAAAAAAAATTCAAATACATTGTTGCATCATCAAGTTATTTATTCACCGACACAAGGGTAAGGTTCGGACAAACAAATAGAATCATTGTTGCCAGAATTTTGTTTGTATCCAGATTTTTTATTAAATGGCAAATAAATATATCACACTATTGACCAATGTACATTATTAATACATTCAGAATTATGCTAGGTAATGCTTAAAATAAATGTTAACAAATGAAAGTTATATATAGAACAAAATAAGTAAATAGATATAGTATACTTTTGCTTCCCCCTCTTTCATATAGAGTGCACTTTGTTGAGAAACTTGAGAAAACGAAGTTAGGCCACTATTTAGAAAGATTTTATTAATAACAATAAAGTACCATATTCACTAAAATTAAAAATATTTTATTCAGTCTCGAGAACCATGATCTGTTAGGAAGCACAAACTCAGGGTTGCAAGCAATTCAAGAAAATTAGTAAAGTTCAGAGTCATTTTGCAAAGCAGTTACCAAATCTATCAACATTTACACCATTTTATTTAATCTATTTAGAGTCTAACATAACACATCCATTTTTGTATATTTTAAGGTCCATCAGAAATACTTATATAAGACAATTAAATTAGCACATTATAGGTATACCAAATTAATTACTAATAAAATTATTAAAAAAAGATTTTGGATTAATGAATTAAAAAAGCTTTCTGTTGAATTTCATTTAAATTTTAACTTAAATGACCAAAAATTGAGGATTGGCCAAAATTGTTTACTCAATTTTGAAACTAGCACCAACATTTAGACAGAACTTTAAAATTAAAGCAATGAATTCTAGCAGAATTTATAAAGAATTGAATTGGGATCAGAAAAGTAAAAATTACCTGACTGACCAGAACCATAAATCATATGCGGTGGATTTTTAAAGCCAGGGGTGATTTAATTTTAGTGCATTTAAACACGAGTTTTTTCAGAGCTCTAATGTGTCCAATTTGTGCTCTATGTAACATGGGAGCAATTGATGTCCAGTACCATTTTTTTTTTGGGGGGGGGGTTTGCCCTATTCTAAATGAATTTTCTATGGCTTATTCAGGAAAAGCGAGATTATCCAGAGAGACGTGATAGAATATTTGAGTGGTTTTCAAAATTGTGCTCCTCTTTTGAGTTATTGTTAATCTGCTTGAAAATATAGCTATGAATTGGTCAGTGATTGCTCTCTAAATCGCCTCAAGTTTAGCAACTTTATATTTCACCATTTATAATTATTTTTATTAATCCGTTTACATTTAGTGGTCCAATTGATTAAATTATATAAGGTATTATATTATTAAGGTTATATTAAAAGGTATTATATTATTGTGTTGATTTATAAAAGTTAGTGTCATGTATGGTATTCAAAACCATGACCTTTGGCTAATACGCCGCTGCTCTAACCATTCGAGGTCACAATAGCTCAAGTGATTAGAGTAGCAGCGTATTAAGCCGAAGGTCGTGGGTTCGAATACTGCTTGTGACATTAACTTTTCCATCTCAACACAGACCTTAGATAAAAAGTATAATTTTTTAATGTTAAATTTATTTCTTCTAGACCCTAATCAATAATTAAATTGATGATATTTAAGGTGTGGTGAGAAATGCAAGATGATTGAATTATTAGTGATTATGAAATGACAATAACTTTATTCAATATTATGAGTGACAATTGTAAATATAAAAATAAATAAAACCCACTACGACTATGGTTAACAACCATCTGCCGGAAAAACAGGCAAAAAGTTTTTTTTTAATTATTATTTTTTCATAAACAAGCACATGAAAACTGTTATTGTTATTAAATTCTAACAATTTATGCAGGGAAAAAGAATAATTAATTAAAATTATTTTATTATATAAATTAGCATGTAGCAACTTTCCCGCTAATGTATTTCATCAAATGTATTCTTTATTGTTCATTTAAATTTAAAAAAAAAAGTTAAGTTTATTTATAATTTCCTTTTTAGTTTTACTTGTTCAATTTTTATTAAGATCTGCATATTATAAAAAGTTAGAGAACAATAAAGTCTTTATTATTATTATTGAAGAAAAAAAATAATACGACTTAAGTCTGGAAATTTGAATTGTCATGATCACAAAGTTGGTGGTTTGTAGGATTTTTTAAATATTGGCGGGTTCTCTTATCAGAGTGTACTATAATCTAATCTTTCACAAATTGTTAAACTATTTTCCACTGTAATATCAACAAATGAAAAATATTTTACAGGAATCTAGGTATGGAATTTTTTTTTAAACGTAACCATCGTTGGTATTAATCGTTTGTTGAAGCCAGTTTTGTACCAGTACTGAAATTAATACGTGCTTGGATTGGTTGTTGAATTCAAAAAGGAGGAGCCTCATTGGTCAGTTTAGGGTTTGTCGAGTCAGTTCTAATTGTGATACCATTTTTCTTGGAGGGCCGACTCTAACGCTGCTTCTCTTGAGACTTGAGTAGTATTTTATAGGCAAGGGAGAGAGTCGGAACTCGGACGTGCTCGCCGCTCCTTTTTCTTCTTCCTTCTCATCCGTCTCTTGTCATACGTTGCAATGTCGTTTCCTTTCCAAGACAGGCCCAGCTTCAGGGACGGCTTTCGAGGCAAGTCCGGAAACGAGATCATTGAAGAAATGAGGCAATCAATGGATGAGAACAGAAAGAAATTCTTCGAGTCAAACCCAAAGTGGGGACATTCACGATCACATGCGGCCTCCAAGTTTCCCAAAGTGAGTCTCCTTGCTCAAAAAAATAAAACAAACGAAAGAATGCCTTTTGTGTTTTCCTAATACCTTCGAGAAAACCTGCTATAGGAGCTTGAGCCTTGTGTGTTCATAATTTTTTGTTTTGTTTGTTCAATGTTTATATAACGGTTTTTGTTTATTGACTAAATTGTGTTCTAAAATTACTAACATTTTTTTTGTTTGTTTTGCCAGTGGTTGGAACACCCTCCTCGACATTTGGGAAACTTGATTATCTATTAATAGGACAGTTTTTCCTGTGAAAGAAACTCGGTTGTTAACCTTAAAAAGAAAAGGACAAGGGCTAATTAGTATTTTTTCCCTTTTATTATAAAATAAAACATTCCTCAATCTATCCAGTGCATAGTAAGGAATTACATTAACGTTTATTACACCACCCTGCCAGTACCTTTTTTGTAACTATCATAAATGAATTAATTAAACTTCATTAGTGATAACGATTCCCTGAGAAATTTTTCTCAAAAATAATAACTTAGCAACCATTTTTTTTTTCAACATAATCCACTTGACCTATAATAATCATATAAATATGAATGAGTCAATAATTCTTTTGTTATATGACGGTTAACATTTATTTAACAACGCTGACATGGCTTGTTTTGTAACTATTTAAAAAAAAAATATCAGCAACAATAACAAAATTCTTAAAAACTTTATACCATAGTAATAATTTAACAACTAGCGTTGTTTCAACAAAATCCACTTGACCTATAATCATAGAAATGTAAATGAGTCAACAATTCTTTTGTTATATGACAGTCAATATTTATTTAACAAACCTGACATTGCATCTTTTGTAATCATTTAAAAAATTAAACATTGTTGTTTGAAATAACGAAAACAAAATTTTTAAAAAAATTATTCAAAAATAACTGAGCAATCAGTTGTTTCAACAAAATCCACTTCACCTATAATAATAACGCAAATATAATTTAGTCAAAAATTATTTAATTATACAACGATTAATATTTAACAAACCTTACATTGCATCTTTTGTAACTATTTAAAAAATTCAAATTATTTCAGCAACAATAACAAAATTCTTAAAAACTTTATTCAAAAATAACTGAGCAACCAGTTGTTTCAACAAAATCCACTTGACCTATAATAATCATATAAATTTAAATCAGTCAAAAATTGTTTTGTTATAACAACGGTTAATATTTAACAATTACTCTGACAATGCCTGTTATTTTAAGTATATTAAAAATCAATAAAAAAACTTGGTAAATCATTAATAATAAAACCTTTAAAAACTTTTTCAAAAATAATAATATAGTTTGTTAAACAAAATCTACTTGAGCTACAATAATCATAGAAATATAAATGAATGAAAATGTTACCTAAGTTAAAATTTTTTTTATTATATGACAGAATATTTAAAAACAAACTTGACATTGCCTTTTTTTGTAACTATTTCAAAAAATTCAACTTAAATCAGCAACAATAACAATATTCGTAAAAACATTTTTTACAAATAATAACTTAACTAGTGTTGTTTAAACAAATCAACAAGACCTATAATAATCATAGAAATGTCCTTATAAAATAATAAATAAATCTGTGCAACTGAGTACCAAACTCAAAAATTCTTTATCAAACAACGGTCAATATTTAACAACTCTGACATTGTCTGGTTTGTAATTGTATAAAAAAGTTAAATTCATATCCTTAATGATAATAAAATTCCTAAACACTTTTACCAAAAATAATACCTTACCAACCAGTGTTGTTTAAACAAAATCCACCTGACTTATAATAATTATATAAATACCTTATAAAACATTAATGAGTGCAAATGTTTATCAAAGTCAAAAATTCTTTTATTCCACAATGGTTAATATTTAACAACCCTGACATTGCTTTTTTAAAAACTAAAACATTAGTCTTATATGTAATTGACGAACGAAGGAAGTCTGATTTTACCAAAACAATATATAGGCAGACCAAAATGACCGAAACCATTGAACTATATTTGTTGTTGATTTATAAAATTAATTTGGTTATACTTAAAAATCAAATGGAATTGATAAATGTAACTCTTAACCGAAGTCAATTAGTTCAATATACAACGGTTGATATTTAACAAATCTAATTTTTTTCAACTTAAAACTAAACATATATGTAGTTGATAAAGGAACGAAAATAAAATTCTTGAAATATTTTTTTTTCAAAATTATGTCTTAAAAAATAAATTAGCAGCCAGTGTTTGAACAAAAGAGATGTTCTTTAGGTCATAAAATTACATTTATTTCTTCAGTTTTGTCTGACAAACCAGAATGCCAAGTATAAGCAGAACCAAAATATCTGGAAACGAACAAAATATATTTTTTAATACCCAGTTATAAAATTAATTTTTGTGATATTTAAAAATCTTAAATGGAATGGATAAATGGCCATACAGTATGGCCAGTAGTAAAATTACTTTTTGTGATATTTACTTAAAAAGTCTTGAAATAATGATGATATATAATGATAATGGAAAATTGTCCAAAGTCCACTGGGGATAATAGGCTAAAAATCCTTTTCTGACACAAAGGTTTTGTTATTATGTTGTTTGCTTAATTATAGGCCTTGTGCATTATTGTAAACAGCCATTGACAATTTTTATTTTTAATCCTTTCTCACCTATCTAAAACAATATTGTTCACTTCACAACTAAAAGGCATGCAAAATGCATTGAAAGAATGAACAATCCATTGTATAATTGCTTCTCCTTGCTGTCGAATACATAATGGTATACAGTGTATATAACATAATGGCAGTAGTTTGAACTTTTTTCGTTTAAACATTTATTATTCTATTTAAAAAAGGAAATTAGTATCATGGTCATCACATTTTTATTGTGTGACATAATTAAAAAAAGAGATATGTTTAACACTAAAGTCAAGTCTCTAATAAGAAAAGTTAAAGTTTGTAAAATGTTTTTATATTGCCAAGTTAAAAAAACTAATTTTTTATTGAATTTTAATAAATTTCCAACACAATTTATTTTCAAAGAAAAGGTTGACATCGAACAGAGTAAGTCAGGTGAAGTCTGGCGCTTAGTTCTTTCTTCTTTGTTGTCAGATTATCACCTTTGCTTTGAAAGGTGGTCATGTAGGTCATGCTTCGCGATCAATATGCTCTCTGCTTAATGAATTCTCGTTTGGCTTCATTTAAAAAATATATATGTATATATATCGTTTAGAAAAAGAAATTTTAAATCAAATAGATAATTTAAGTTAACTTCTTTTTTTCCTTTTGACGCTTTTTTGCATCCTTCTCGTCGCTTCAAATGATTGTGAAACGTTTGTGCTTTTTCAAATACCAAAATTGAAAAATGCTCTGTTACAACTCGTACTCTTTTTTTTTTCTTGTAAAAAAAGCACACGATCATGACGCAAACACAAATTTTAAACTGATAAAATAAGTATATTTGAAGTTCTATTCTTGCCTAGAAAAATTATTAAGTTTTTGATTTTTAATGGTTATTATTTTGCCTTAATTGGGTTTAGACAGAAATTTTTCTTCATACAAATTAACTAGCGTGTCGAATGAACAGATCTCGGTTTAACAGAAACCTTATCACTCTAATAGAGAAAGCTATAAGTGAGCTTTTTAGCTTTAAGCTTTTTCTTTAGTTCTTGAATAGGATGATATGAAACATTTAGAATCTATAAGTGCGCTCGCTACATACAAATCCGAAACTCAAGCGAAAATGGTTATGACTTCAAAGTACAACTCTGAACCTAAACTTGCAAAATTATATCTGCATTATCGAAATTTACCTTTCGCGATAAAGTCCTATAAATCTATATTGAATGTTTAATGTTCAACTCAATAATTATTGTACTAATGTATTTTTGCTTTTTCTACTGTCGGTTTTTTTCTGCAGAAGCTACTTGTTCGCGGACAACGTCCTGTAAAGAAACTTGGTAATTGCCTGAATTTCTTTCTGATTCATCTTACGCATCCTGAAATTGCTTTTTCCCAAATCCTCCAAGGAGATACTTAAGATAGCCTGTAGCCCGGTGAGAAATCTATTCCCTTATCGTCTGTTTAAAAAACGTATTAGATACTAGATAGTAAGTATTACTAACCAAAAGAAGGGTCTGATATTGTTAGAGATGAGGTAAAAAATTTGCTTGGTGACAGTCAACCGTTCCTGGAACCTAGTGATGACCGTTCTGCATCACACTTTTATCTTCTCGTTTGATGCTCAGATTTGTGATGCTTGGCCATCTGTCACTAAAGCTATGTCTTTATTACTGAATTAGCGTGAATTTCCATGTGAAAGATGCTGTATGTGTCCAGGGGTTGGGGGTATATGATTTTAGGTCTGTATATCGATGTCTTGATCCAACTGTGTACCTTTCTTGATATTCCAATGATTCCCATTAATTTTCGTTTTCGTTCTAAGAAGTTTTGTTGGAACTCGAATATCACCCTCACGTCGTCTTCTGGAACCTTCCAAAAATAACCATCCAAAAATTTTCTGTTATATTATTTGCTTGAGAGGCATTCATGCCAGTATTTTTATCCAGTAATGAAAGACAAATTCTCAAAGCGTTGTTACAATTATCCCAAAGTTTCTTCGGAAATTTCTGTGCTATCCTTATTATTATTTGGTGGAGAGGCATTCGTGCCAGTATTTTTATCCATTATTGAAGGACATTTTCATAGCAAAAAGTTTTTACGCAGATTTTTGGGCTATCTTATTATTATTATTTGAGCGAGTATTTTTGGAGTATTTTTATTCATTAATGGAGGACAAATTGTCAAAGCGTTAAGTTACAATTATCCCAAAGTTTGCTCGCAGATTTCTGTGCTATCCTTATTATTATTGCATTAATGCCAGTATTTTTATCCATTAATGAAGGACAAATTCTCAAAGCGTTGTTACAATTATCCAAAAGTTTCCTCGGAGATTTCTGTGCTATCCTTATTATTATTTGGTGGAGAGGCATTCGTGCTAGTATTTTTAT